TGACGGAAAAACAGCAAACCACGTAGCGTCATGGCTAAAAAGGTAATTTGAAGCGTGCAAATTCACCGAACTTTGGCCTTTCGCCCCGCAGGCACCCAATAAAAACCTAAACAATTTTAGAGCTTTTTAGCTCTTTTTTAACCGTAGAAAGTAAAAAAATCATTATGCTTCTCGAAAAATCTTAGTGTTGGGTAAAAAAGGCCAGATACCTCCCCCGCTAACGAACAAGTACCCTAAAATGTGAAGCCCAAATTTGCAGCTATAATATTTATTCGAAACGCGCGAGAAAAAAGCATATAGAATCCAAAAAAACACACAAACTTTCACTAGGCCAGACACAACAATCAAGGCTGGGAGGGTACGCTCTAAAAATCCCGTATGTTGAGGTGCGACAAGATGTACTAGTAGAAGGAGTAGATGACCATGTCGTTTACTGGGGTTTCGTCTAAATTTAAATTAGAAGAAAAAGTAAGCCAGGGGATACCTTGGTAACGATCAGCGGGCCAACGTTGTCGCCGGTGTCGACGTTGTGCTTGTTGTGGGCGCCGTCGCAGTAGGGGAACTAAAAATAGAAATTATGACGATCGTAAAATGGTGCGTTTTAATAATTTTAATAGTGGCATTATTGTAAACAGCGCAAAGCTTATTTAGAAAATGAGAAAACATTGAGAATATAATTCGAAAAATTGAACTTCCGGTCGAAAAAAGCAACTTTTGCGTTTTTAAATCAAACTAGCAGTTTTTTACGCTTAGAAATAGTTTTTTAGCACCACCAACCTTTTTCGACTTCCAACAGCGGCAAAACACCTTCTTATCCCCGATATCTTCCATGTCGACCGTGTCGACGACCTTGTCGCACTCCAGCTTCTGCGCACAGTTCACACGCGCCGACCGTTTCGCGATCCCGTAGCCGATCTGAAATTGGACATTAGAAACAACCATAAGAATATCGTTAGCCATCCACCACACCCGAAACTTCAAACCAACTAGCAATCCGGCGCCCACTCCGAGGAGTACAAGCAATACTCCGGTGCCGGCGGCCGTCTGACCACAGAAAGGACAGTTAAAAGATTAGCTCAAGGATCTCTTACCGCATATCCGACTGCCGCTCCGCCCAGCACAAAAGCGGCGGCGGTGAGCACGCATTTGGAGTTGACGTGGCACGAGCCTTGTACGGTGGACATCTGGAAAGGTGAAATTAGCGCAAATAGCGGGATTCAACGGAAACGTTCAGAAAATGAAGAAAACAACAAGTCCAAGAATCTCTAGACGATGCCGGTATTAAAAACGTTCATTACCAACGCTAAATCCGCAGAAATTCGTGTAAATATAATGATTTAGACGGAAAAGCACGAAAAAGAGGAAGTTTTTAAGAAGCTTCCAGTATAGTAAAAACCTTAACTTCTAAGGAAAGAAGCACATCGTGCAAGAGATAGCCAGGTCGTGCGTGTAAATAACTGGATTTAGAAGAAACGCTGAAGCGAAGCGGCTAAAACAAGATTTTCAAGAAGTTCCAGACGATGCCGGGATTATACACGTTGATGTCCAAACAAAGCCCGCGAAGCTACATAACTACGAATTTTGTGAACGAAATTTAGACTGCAACCGGATCGAAAAGCAAAAAACAACAACTTCAAGAGGCTCCAGACGATGTCCGGAAAGCGCGTCACCCAGCATTTAGCCAACTACAGGGTGCCAAAAGCCCGGGCGATTTCCGGGTCCAAAACTGACAAAACTAATCCGGCGAGGGTTCTTAGGTGATTTTTAGCCTACAAAACCCACAAACATGAGAAGTAGGACGCGCGTAGTGATTCCGTCAACTACCGCCCCGGCTGTTGTCCCCTGGCCCACCGCACCAACAAAACGCGTGCGGGGACTTTTGCACGTGAACCGTCACATGTAGGAGGGGCGCACACGCAAACGGGAACAGGATAGCCCAAGGTCTGGCTTTGTGTGCGTGAGACTGCTGAATTGAGCCCTAAAATCATGTAAATGCAAAAATAGGCGGTGGGTAGAGGTAAGCTATTTTGAGCCGGGGTGAGCTATAAAAGTACTACCTAAAGATAGAGAAGAGAAAGAGGAGAAGCCAGCTTTTTGTTGCGGATTCCGTTTCATGCGGCAAGTAACCGGCGCCCTAAAAATCGATAATTGGCCGGCCGCCTATCTTTCTTGACGAGGCCTGTAGGGAATTTACAACAGCTTTTCTATGAGACTATGAAGTGAAGATCAAGCTTCTTGAGCTAGATAAAGCCCAAAGATTAAATTTAAAAAGCTAAAAAGGCTATACGAAAGCGAGAATTCGTAAAAACCGAAGCGACGGTTCGACGGAACCTGAAATAATGGCTAAAACGGTCCCGATACCCATTAGAGCTTATGATGCAACAATCTCGCGAAATCTCCCAATAAATCAACGACCTTCTTTCACAATATAATCTCTATCGAATCACGCGTATAGACTTTCACTTTTTCTCTTTTTCAAAAATATTTATCATAGGAGGTAAAGATAAGGGCTCTTGGGAAAAGAAACAGAAATTTAAGCGGATGTCAGAAGATAAGGCCACTTGGACGATGAATTCAAGCACAACAACCAAAACGGACGTTTTAAACTATTCTACCTACTACAAACAGCAAATTCGTGAAGGGGATATCACCTAATTTGAGGCTTGACCAGTAATGTAAGAGCTACAAAGGGAAACGATTAACACGAGAGGCAAATGCGCTATTAAACTCTGGAATAAAGCACAGAAACAAGAGGATGGGCCGCTAGCGAGCCACACAATCCATTTTGGGATGTCGTGAAACGAGGAGGTGCAAGAGAGAGTGGTGAAATTCGAGTTGATTTCATGATGCTAGTTCTTGGCCTCGCTGTAGCCGAGCACGAACTTGAACAGCTCATAGACGGACCACGAGAGGGCAGCCGCCGGGATCTAAAAGATAATAAAGATAAGCGAGAGGGGTTGGCAATGCTCACTTGGTACATGACGCGAGCCTGGATGCCGCAGGTGAAGCCGCGGATACCGCGTTGCTTGTAGATCGAGCGCATCGCGTCTGACATTCCCTGGTAGGCGTGTGTCGCCTGGAAAATTTGTAAAAACGGGTTTCCCGTCGGCCGATCAGCTCCAATTTCATAATAGCGCTATTTGCTCCACAACTTGACTCAACGTGTCCTATCGAACAACTGAATGCTTTGCTCATTCGTCCAACCATCCGACTCCAAACTAATCGTTCGTCGGAGCTGATCAAGCCAGACGCATTTCCTGTCTATACGGAAGCCAAAACAGACCTTCATAAAAACACGGTTCTGCTCGATTTCCGGTGACTGCTGGGTGTTGAGCACCGTCTTGATGCAATCCATCGGTGTCGTGACAGCAGCCGCCAGACCGCCTGAAAATAACGATTTTGAGGGACCTGTCAGCAACACTTACCAGCCATGGCTCCAGCTATGAAGTGAGTCTTCGGGTCGTACTTGTGCTCCGGGTTTAGCAACTAAAAACCAATTACAAAAATTGCATGATAAAACCGACCTGTTGCCAAAATTCGTAAGCCGAAAAATGGATCATTTGGAACGGGATGTTCATCGTCAATTGCGTAGCATAAGATCTGGAAAAAACAACAAATTTTTGGAAACTTAAAGGAGCCGACGGCAGCAATCGGTTACCGCTGGAAAAATTGCCTGGCCTCCCCCAGGGGCTCTCTGCCCTGTTGGCTATTTGCCAATTTGTTGATGGGGGGATCGACACATGCCGTCGGCAGCCCTTTAAATTCGTATACCTATAAAAGGCCTTGATGCCCTCCCGTCGATAAATACATCGCACACACTCTATGCTGCTGCCGTACGGGCTGAACGCCATCTGCATTCGCTGCTTCACAACCTAGACATAAGAATTACCACCGTGTCTTATAAGGATGACTTTAGGTGATAATTGAGTTTTGCTAGGCAAAATAGCTCATGCGACTGAGTTTGAAATTTTGAGCAAACCCCAGTTTTCGAAACCAACTCGCGGTTTTCTGCATCTCAAAATCGACATTTTGACGAGAAACGCGAAAGATGAGCCAAATCCGCCCAATGCGAATTTTGGGAAAACGGTTCTCGTTCAGCAGTTTGTGAAAGATGCGCCTTGCCCAGGATTCCAAGCCATCTCAAGAATCACATATTTTTAGAATTTTACCTCTGCAGGGTTCATGACGGCGTCGTGAATAAGGGTGGCCAAAACGCCGGCCGCCGCGTAGCTCAACGTGTTCGAGTGTCCGTGGGTGCCGCCGGTAAAGCGTTCCTAAAAATAATTATAACATACAAGCTTTTTTCTCACCTTAGCTTTTTCATACACGGTGAAATACAAAGCATGGGCCGGACCGGCACCAGCCGCCATCGCATTCATCCCACGCAACGGACGAAGCCAGCCCTCCCTAAAAAGATTTTAGTCCACAAAATTTCGATTTATTTACTTTTTCATTATCCTCATCAATGAGTGGACTGGTGTCGGGCATTTCTGAGTGTCTGGGCACGGGCATAGAGACTGAAAAAAGATCGAAATCATGTATTAAAACCTAGAATTGCCTGCATCCTTGTTTTTACAGAGTCGATCGGGTACATCACGCAATGCTCGGTGATGCCGGCGAGTGCGCCCGCGGCCATGTGGACCTGCAAAAATGAAAATAAATAGGCACCAAGAAGATTTCGTTGCCGCCCAAAACCGGCAGTTCTTTCGCATTCCAAGCCTCCAAAACTCACCGGGACACTGTAAGTCGATGGAAGACTCTCATAATCGTCTTCCTCAGGCATAATACCTAAAACAAGGAGTAAAGCTCTTTGAAATCAGCAGAACCAAAACTTAAAGCTCGTAAATACTACTGATAATCAAGGCTCCAAACCTCATCTCAAAATTCGCAAAAGAGCAATGTAATCAACGTTTACTCAAACAACCCTTTCAAATAACAATTAGTGAAAAACAAAAATTCAACAATCAATCCGGGAAATATGGAATGCTATAAAGAGATCATTGTTCGGCGGGCTCCGGATCGGGCAGGCGCCGGAAAACGGCTGCGAACTTGTCGCCCTTGTTTCTCGTCACTTTTTGGCCCTCCTCGGTCGACTCGTAGATCAGCGCCGTCACCGGGTCGGCTTTCTGGAAAAACATCAAACGTAATAAACAAAAAAAAAATAAAGCTCACCTCCTCCTCGTCGGTCAACCGCTCGAATAGTGGATGCCGGCTCAATTCCTTGACCATCCACTGTGACAGCTCCTCGACGTCACTGATCGTGTAGATGATGCCTAAAAATGGTAGTATAATTTTCATGAAAAACTGCTACCTCCAGGGCGCAGCACGTAGGCGTATTCTCCAAGCATTTCCCGCGTGATAATGCGCCATTTGTGCTAAAAAAATCACAATCAAAAGCATCAGCTTCCAAAAATACCTTTCTCTTCTTGAAATGCGGATCCGGGTAGAGGAAGAACATTTTGCTCAGCTGGCCCTTCGTGAAATAATTCGGGAGGTATCTAAATAGCTTTTGAAAATAACTATTTTAATCTCACTTCATAGCATTACTGCGGATACAGGCCAAATTCTTGAACCCGACGCACGTGTCGCCGGCCTCGAGCGCCTGTAGCCTCAGCGCCGCGATTTTGTCCATTACGAAATCTGAAACCTGATAGGAAAATGAAAACAAGCGCCGAATTACCTTCACCCTCAGCTCGATACCCAGCATCAGCGATTCCGGAAACATGGGGCTCAGCTTGAAGAGTAGACCTCCGTAGCCACAACTAAAAGGAATTATTCTTGAAAAAATTCCCTATCCTACCCAATGTCCGCGAATTCGACTTTTCGGCCATTGGAGTAGTCGCCGTAGTATTTGTGCCAGTCCATTCTAGAAAACAAACGTTTTTGCAGGGTTCCAAGCACTTACTCGGCCGGGTTCCGAGGATAGTCGATATCGTGGTCCGAATGCGGGTTGGAGTGGGCACGTTGCCTAAACAAAACCCATCATAAAAACTGCCAAATCGAGAAAAACTTGTTCTAAATTTCTCACCTGTAATATTTCTTCTGCGGCAACCCCTTCGGCCCATCGAGCTTCTGCATTTTTGAGGGCGGCTCGTCGCTCTTCTCCTCCGGCTCGACATTTTCCTGGGCTTCCGGGGCAAAGATCTGCGCCTAAAAGGGAAATAGCTCAGTTTTTTCCAAACCAAAACTCACTCTCAATTCTTGAACTTCTTCCGCGCCCAGCCGCCGAACCTCTGGTCTTATCAGCTCGGGGGCATCGGTGGAGGTCATGCCTGAAAGTAAGCGTTGAACCGGGTTTACTCATTACGAAATCATAAATTATGAAGTGACATACGGGAAAAGCGATAAATTAGTGGAAAATGTGGGGATAGATACATGAGAGGTCAGTAGCAGTCATCAGGAGCCAGATCAAAAAAGAGAAAAACACTACAAAAATCGCAGACCAAAAACTACCGGTAGTTTTTCAACCGTTATTCAGGGCAAAGAGAATGAATCACAAAAATTACAAGATATTCACATAATATCATGTTTCACGCCGTCCGGAACGATGTTCTTATGATCCTTCTTCAGCGCCCGAGACTCGTAGACGGCAATAACGACCTGGTCCTTGATCTCGCCAATCTTCTCGCCACGTAGCTCGATGTAGTTGATCCGCGTACTGTCACTGCCGAAATTCTCGGCCACATGAATGACGAGATGGGTTAGAGCGCCGAATTTCGTTGCCTTCATCGAGTGGAAAAGGTCGCCCTTCGGGTCCTTTTGCAATTCGAGCTCTTGATCGGGTTGTAGCCGGCAATCGTCGAACGTCATATTCGGTTTATTGGCGAACAGACGGATCTTGGCCGGACTCGAGCTATCCGCTTGGCTTCCAACTGCTATTCCGGTGACCTTCGTACGTCCGGAAAACGGGACGATGAAGAGTAGTTCCTCGTCGGCGTCGCTTGTTACGAAGGCGTCTCTGTCGGTACCATTCTTGTCGGCGCGGAACGCTTTCGCTCCTGAAAGGTAGATTTTTGACCAAATTTTACAAAATTGGGCCCGCCCAAAACTATTGAGAGGCTGCAAGGCTTGAATTTCGGTGATATCAAGCTAAAATAAGGCTCACCTGAACCCTCAACGGACTCGTTGTACGTTACAAGCTTCGCATGGTCGATCATTGAATTCAGGGAGAGCCGGCCGAAATTTAACGCATCCTCTTCGTGCGCTTCACAGACATGTGAATCGTGGTCGTGATGTTGGTGGGAGCACATCGAGTACCCTAAAAAATAGGTTTAGAAAGAAAATAATAAGAACAACCAAATAGAAACGAGGAGCGAGAAAATTCTTTCATAGGTTACCCCCGCCCAAAAGTTCAAGAAACCCCCACGAAGCTCGTTTCATCTTCGACCGATTTCATCAGAGTCCTATTTCAAAATCAGCCAAAAGCCTTCCCAATTTTATACACAGAGAAATTGGTAGTAAAACAATCCCTATTTAGTGAAACATAGCCTAAATTCGAGCGGTTCGTTGATTTTAGACGGGCAATGCGCAAGCAAAAAATCCGCACCACGCGGTGATCGAATGGAGTCTCCGTGCAGTGATCTCTAGAAATCATGGCGCGATTACGAGAGTCCACGGTTAGAAAGAGGGGGTGAGAGAGGCAGATGAACAGTTCCACGGCACAGACCATTCTCTCGCGCTCTATCATTTCACATCGTCGAAAAGGGTCTATTTGCTGTGGAATGTGCCGCGGAAGGGCGATAGGGGACCCGTGCACAGGTGCCAGTCGTTTTTCCGGGCCAAAGCGGCCCATTGTGAGGCGCGCCGGATGGGCCAAGCAAAGGATAAGCTGCTGAAAAAGTTATAATTTTTCTTGGAAAACTTGATTTTCTTGATAAAATTGGGTTTGTGAATATGAAAATCAAAAAATTGAGAGCTGAGAATTCGGCGCAAAAATTTAGATAGATGCTCCCTCACACTCCAAAACATACTTTTCCGTAATTACGTATCCATCGGAATGTAGTCCGAACGGCTCCAAAGACCGTATTTCGTTATTTGGCATGTCATGGAACAACAATTTTTGATTTTTAAAAAATTTCTTCTTGATTTTATTAATCCTTGTAACTTCTTTCTTATCCTCATTCTAATCGATTTTCACAGCCTCAAAATGTCGATTTCAGATGGAAGAAGCCGAAGTAGACCCGGGGACCTACAGCCAACGACGCCCTGCCCGAATTTTTCTACCAAATGCGACGCCCATCCCTTCCGCGGAGACTCGGACACTCACAAGCGCCGTGAAAACGTTGGTACGCACCATTTTCACTAACTACAACTTGTTTTAGATCGACCTCTGCGACAGAGGGCTCCACGATCAATCGCTGATCCGTCTCGACCAGCTGAACGTCACCCGGGCCTGCTCACACGTCCATTTTCACATGTGGCGACGGACGATGGCTGTGTTTCGTGCAGCAAAGAAGGTAAGGATAGGCGCCTGTTGCCCACCACGTTTTTAGGTACTTCCAAAAGAGCTGAAGACATGGCTTCAAGAGGCGCACAAGGGCTTGTCAGCGCATTTCCAGATGAGTGAAGAGGCGTTGAATCACTTGCAAGCCCGAGTTTATGAGCAGTTGTATCGGCTAGAGACGGTGGGACTTTTCTTTTGTATTTTTATTCGTCATTCCAGCTTCATAAACGATGTATGCACGCGTCGGAGGGTTGTATGGATTATTTGGATCTTGGGCATTGGGTTTGTTATTCCTTGTATCTTTTTAGAGGTTTGTAATTCCAGCAAAGCCTCTCCATGGTCCTGATCGCGATCGCAGCCGATATTTTCTGCGAAATCAAGCAAATCGTCGAGGTCCTTTTAAAAGTCTACTCAACAGTCGCTTCAATAAAACGAGAAGAAGTTATGTAAGTGCTTTTTTACATTCAGAAATGTTTTCTAGTTTTCCAGATGCAGAAAGAATAGGAAACAAGTTCCATTATTTGATGGTGAAAGGGGATAAGGTATCCAAAATCTTGTTTATTAACCCGAGTTTTAGAACGTGGATTACACGGAGGTCGAGAAGATTCTCAAGATCTCGCAAGAACAAGTAGAAGAAGCGGATATTGCTGTAGAAGTGAAAAAGATCAAGTAAGCTCATCTTTGTGGTTTTAGTTTTGTTTTAGGGGCGAATCACGCGCAAATATGAGACCCATCGACCTGGGGGTGACAATAAGTCGCGAGAATTTTGAGGAAAAACTTGTAGCAACATCTCAGCCAGAAGAGGTACAATTCTTTTACTCCAAAAAACACTTTATCTAGGCGACCCCGTCTATTTCGGAAAATGGCTCAAAGAAAAGGAAAAAGAAGAAGCTACGGGTTTGTTTGTGTATGATTTTGATACTTTTTTCAGCCATCCGCCATGGATACGTCATTGCCCGGCAACGGCCTTTCGACGCCCCCTTTCCCGGCCGTGAAGCCCAAAACCACACTTCCGGTATTTTGACCCTTTTTTATTTATTTATTTTTATAATTTAGAAAACCCCAGTCCAATCGATATCAGAAGGGGTGCGCAAACGAAAGAAGAAAAAGCGAAAGATCGAAGAGGTTTGCAACCTTTATCGTGTTCTATTTCCGTCTAGACTGTCGCGCCAGAAGTCCCGAAAAAGAAGAAACGGAAACGGGCGATTGTCGAGGTAAAAAAAAGCCTGAAAATCTTATCTCTATCTTTTCGTAGGAACCGTTGAGCGAACAGCCGACAGGGAAGAGGAAGAAGAAGTTGAAAAAGAAGAAACTAGCGCCGACCGCAAGCTAATCGATCGGGGTTTTTTAGTTTTGTTTGTTTTTCTTGTTATTGTTGCAGGTTGTTTGACTGATAAATATTTATTTACAGGGTGTTCGATCGATCTATTTAATGGTTCGGGCCGTCTTTTGTCTGTGGAGATTTGGGTGTGGGGGAGTTGTATTTGCGCACAGCAGGTTGTAGAGTGTGTTCCGGTGGTGCTACTTCAACTTTGCAGCAGATTCTATACGGTTCTGGTGCCTTAGCGGGGGGGGTTGTCGATTGTAACTTTTTGTATATTTTTTATGCGATATCGAATGGCGCAAATAGCATCGAAAAAATAGCCAAAATATCTAAAAATCTGCGAGAATACCACTCCCCACCCCTTAATAAACCAGTACCTCTATAAAGCCTAGTAAAGTCTGACCCGATTTTGCTAGTATAACAGCCGTTTTGCGCTGCGGGGCGATAGTGTGGACGGCCTCTCGACGATATCACGCCATTATTTTTGGCGGGTCGACTGATGGCCGGCCGGTGCAAATGATAAACCATTGGACTGGCCACTCGTTGAGGGATGTCCAAAGTACAAATCCAGCCCGAGGGGTGACCGCGGCAATCACTTTCTTGCTTTGTTATGAATTTTAGGAGATTTTAGCAGATCTTGCGAACAAATTCAGCAAGCTCTTTTGAATGGCGTTAGCCAATTTCGAAAAAATCGGCTGAACGGACGAAAACCGGCTCAAAAAACCTATTTTTGTATTCTTAAGAGCTATTGTTGTCTATATGTAAATTTTAAATTTTCGCTTCATACCATTTGAGATTACATTAATTGTATTAAACCTTTTAGTATTTTTCGCGAGGCGCTATCCCCCTCTAATAAACTAGGACATTGAGATTTTAGCTGATTTTGCGCTCAAATTTCGCAAACCCTTCCTGATCTTTTCCTTCTCGTTTATTTGCTATCTTTTTTTCCACACAAATCACAGTGACTCATCGGGGTTGTAGCGATTTCCAATCCATATTACAGTTCTTATTCTCATTTCTTCCATTCCACTTTTAAAAATCAACTTTACATCCCGTTTTTTTCAGGTAAAACCTGGGCACAATGATAGGCACCTTGTTAGGACTTTTTGGAGAGGTAAACCAGTTTTTTTTTTGCATTTTTACGTCATTTTTCAAGGCCTCCACCCTTCATCTGGCGCTCGAGACGACGCTGATCGGCGCCGTCGTCTATCTGTACTTTACGCGCAAGGAGAACAAAGACACCCGGGTCAAGCTTACCGAGAAGGTTTGAGAAAACGGCATGAATTATTTATTTTTTGATAGCAAAAAGATGAGCTGATCGCAGAATGGGTCCCCGAGCCCCTGGTGCCCGAGACGCCGCAGGATCATCCGGTGCTGAACCCGCGTTACGTTGAGGGGTATATTTTTCGCAGCATAGTGAATCTGTTTTCCTGTATAGCGATTAATAACCATCTTTTTTCAGTAAAATGACCAAATACGCGAAATACGACGGCAAAGAGTACCTCAACATGGCCACCAGCAATTTCCTCGGATTTGTCGGCGAGAAGAGGATCGAGGTGAGTTTTTGCGAGATCCTCTAAAGCGCTAAAACTCTCTAGTTAATGTTAGAGGAAAAACTTCCAGGACGTCGCCAAAAAGACGATCTTCAAGTACGGCGTCGGCTCGTGCGGCCCGCGCGGCTTCTACGGTACCGTCGATGTGCATTTGGACTTGGAAAAGGTGGGGTTATTGAAGTAAATGTATCTTGTCTTTTTTTCACGCTGAAAAAACCACTTTTTTAGGAGCTGGCCGATTTCTTTGGCTGTGAGGAGGCCGTTCTGTACAGCTACGGCTTCGCCACGATCGCCTCGGCCATCCCCGCCTATGCCAAGCGCGGAGATATCGTTTTTGCCGACAAGGGTACGTTTATTTATAGATTTTTCAAACTACAAATTCAACTCCAGGAGTAAACTTTGCCATCCAAAAAGGCCTCCAAGCCTCCCGAGCCCGCGTCGAATGGTTCGAGCACAATGACATGGATGATTTGGAGCGTTTGCTGAAGCTGCAGGAGGAACGCGACAAGAAGGTGTGTTTACTAGAGAAAACTTTATATTTTTTCGTTGAAGGACCCGAAGAAGGCGGCCAAGGTTCGCCGCTTCATGGTCGTCGAGGGGTTGTACGCGAACACGGGCAGCATCTGCCCCCTGCCCAAGTTGATGGAGTTCAAGTGGAAGTATAAGGTGGGTTATTAGAATGCAATATCAGAAAAATCAGGATTCTTACTAAATTTATATCTTTTTTGAGCAACTTTTAGCTAAATTTTCAGTGAAATTTTTTAAACTTGGTCATATTATAGAAATTTAGATCGAAAAATCGGGATTTGTCGTATTTTTTTTATTCTTTCGCATTATCGTGGGGGGATGGGGATAAAGTACCAATGTATTTTACTAAAATTTCACGATATTTGTATTGGGAAACATTCAAAAAAATTTCGGTTTTTAGGTGTAGTTTTGGTCGAAAAAAGTTAGTCCCCCTCAATAAAGCAAAATAACCTGTTTTTTTTTGATCACCGATCAATCCTGAAGAAATTCACAATAAATACCTCTCCATCCCTAAAAATCCTAAACCGTAAATTGAGCGTAATTTTGTTTCGAACTCCACGATCAGCCACTCTTTACAGGTGCGCATCTTCATCGACGAGAGCTTCAGCTTCGGTGTGCTCGGCAAAACTGGACGTGGTGGGTTTGCACTTTCTTTCTCTCCTGCTACTTATCCCTGTTTCGAAATAACGGCCAATTTATTAACGATCAAATCGGGGACCCGTTTCACAAATTAATATGCATCATCGATAAGACCTCGTAGTGGGCAAGGCACACTTAAATAATCACAATATCACGATAGCTAATAATTTACCAAATGAGGGCCCTAAGCAAGGCGAAGACTAGGGGCAGGGTGAGCAACAACTGGGGGCTGGGCTTGGTCACATCAATGGAGCGACCGTGCGGGACGGGAATTGGCTCATCGGCGGGGAGGGCATCGTTCAGGACATCTTCAAATTTGAGTCGATCTCCGTAGGTGCTGAGCAGGTCGAGGATGACGCCGTTCGTCCAGCCGAATCCGGCCTAAAATGGAAGATTTGGTTCTTATGCATTAGCGGGGGGGTTGCAGGGGTGCTATTATTTCACGTGTTTGCGTAGATCCGAATAATATGTAAAGTATTTTAATAGAATAAAAAATCATTAAAATTTTTGAAAAAGTTACTTTTTGGTCAAAAAATGAGGCATTTTTAATTTTTCGATAGATTTTCGTGTTTTCTGATATTTCTGATTCGTTTGCGGGGGGGGGCTATATTTTAATTGAATTTTTCGGTTTTTTTTCAGTGTAAAAACGCCTAAAAATGACCCAGAATTTTCCGGAAGCCGAAATTCCCAAAGGAACCCCGCTAGATTGCCCAGGAACGCTTCACCCACCTGAACCTCATACTCGCCACCTCCACCTCCGCGCGGCGCTCCCGATGCGACGTTGTACTTTTCCCACATGGCCCGGTCAGCCACGAACACCCGATAGTTCGACAGCACCCACTTTTCGGCCAAGTCGAACGCTTTTCGTTGCATTCTAAATTGCGCTTTTTCACGCTGGGAATGTTGCCTACCTCGAATTGCCCGATTTGCGCAATCCCTCGATGACCATGTGATTCAGCGGGCTCCACCCGTTCGGGAAATCCCATTGTTGCATCGAGCTCTTGACGAGTGAGGTGGGGATGCCGCCGACAAAGTCGAACGCGCCCATGTCCGACATTTGGTCGTATAGCTGGTTCGCTTCTCGCATGCCGAGGCGATCGTAGCAGCCTAGTAAGAATCGTTGGTTTATTTTTTAAGGCGCTAGAAAATTTAATCAGCTCTTCCTCTTCACTTCCTGGCAATAAGCCAACCATGGTCGCAACGCGCACCCTTTTTTGTCCCTGTTTTCATATGAAAAATCTTTAATTCGAAAATTCTGGCTCCATTTTTGAAATCTTCAGGATATTATAATCATTCTAGCCGTTTTAATGGTTAAAATTGGCTGCTGAATCATCCAAATCGATGAATTGGGTGCTCGAGGCGGGTTACTACATTTAATCCTCATCCTACTATATATAAAAAAATAGTGTCTGTGTGTGTGTGTGTGCATTTGCATGCAACTTCCGTGAGGATGTTCCGCACCTACAGCCTCAGGGAAGCATTTTTTCGGTAGTGAAGAAACGTCATTAGGTAAAGAAGGGTCCGGAATCGACTGCACGCACATAAAATCTTTGAAAAATTGCTATTTTCGCTATTAAAAACAAATTTTTGTAAAATTCTCGCCCACCCTCTTTGTTAGGGATCAATTAGCATAAGCCGGAAGTCGGATAGCCTATATAAAGCGACAGAGGAGCCGTTTTTCACTTTTTTCCTGATAGATTTTGGGGAAGAAGCATGCAAATTGAAGACTTTCATCGGTCCTAGACGGGGCCAGGGTTGAAAAGCCGCGGAGCGGTTTTTCAACCCTGGTATTAGCAAAAACTCGCTTGCCATTAAATTCGTTTTTTTTCCATTCTTACCTGTAAACAGCGGCACGGCCATGGACGGGTAGAACTTGAGGTTGTGCTGCTTCGTGCGCAAGTTGTAGTCGTACCATCCCTTTCCTTCCGCCACGTAGAACACGTTTCTGAACTGCTCGCGGAACTCGACGTACTCGTGCATCCATTGCAGCTCCTTGTCGGCATTACCTAGATGGATTTTTATGGGGATTTCGATGCGTTAGATAGCACAACTGGTGCAGAATATTTTTTTGCTGAAAACGATGCGGTTTTCGTAAAATCTCAATCTTTTTGTTTTAAAAGTTAGATCTGTTTTATTGCCCGTAAATTTTCGAAAACAACTTTAATCTTTCAAAAAATCTCGTAGAAATTACACATTTCCCGAGCTTGAAAATCGTGCCCTTTCGGAAATCCTTACCCAATTCCCCATGCAAGTACGCCATAATGTTGAGGTTGAAGCAGTAGAAGGCGTTCAGGTCGACGGGTACGACGTTTGTCGTTTCAATTGTCGACAAATTCTGGCTGTCGGCGAACCAGCGGCTGCTAAAGTCCCAGCCCGACTCGGCGGCACTCCCTAGAATTTTTCGTTTCATTCTAATTTTTGTAAACCCACCAATATCCTGCCAAAATTGCCGCTTTTTCGTTAGATCCGTAAATTGGGCGGCTATCGTGACGTCTTCCCGGAAAGATTCGGGCCTAAGTTCCGGATGAAAAAGTCCGATTTTATTAAAACCTGGGAACATTTGCCGGGGTTCTGTATTGCAACATTTTGTACTCGGCATCTCCCATCTCCACCGTCACGTTCCGATTTTTACGCCAGAATTTGAGCTCGCGCTCCAAGCTGGGAAGCACCTCTTTTACGAGATCAATATCCTAGAATTCGAATTTTAATGTCGTAATCGATTGACTTACTGAAGTGGCCGCGTAGTACTCGTAGACCATGGCCGCGAAAAGGGGTGGCTGGGATCTTTGGAGGTAGTAGACGCGGCCCCCGTTTGGGATGAAGCCGATCGTGTCGACAATGTGCTAAAAATGATAATTTTTTTGCGCTTTTTCTGGCGCCCACCTTGAAGTTGAGGATCATCGCCTTGGACGTGTCGTACATGTTAGACGCCAAAAGGCCGCGAATGATCCAGTAGGCATCCCAGTAGTAGAATTCGCGGAATCGACCTGAACCGGACATTAGTGCCCCCTTGCTTTTTTGCCGACCTCCCGGAGCAATAAATTTATGTGGGACGTAGAGTAGGGAGTAGCGTTCCGGATCGTCTTTTACCTAAAAATTTTATTTGGGGGTTCCCGATTTCCTTAAAAAAAATTTAGATGCAAAAAATTAACAAATTATCGAGTTAAACACACATAAATATCATTTTTTTGTAAGAAAATACCGATTGTCGACGAACGTTTAATTTTCTAACCATTTTTTAAGGATTTTCAAATGTTTCTCCACCTGAAAAACCGCGCACCTGATCCGGATTTATCGGAGAAAATTGGTCCCACGGTAATGCCAAAGAATCGCTTTTCCCCAAGAATCCTCGCTAGTCTCTCCCCGCACCCACTTTTTCATCGACCTCCCTGCACAGCTCGTTCCAAATTTTGTTCAGCTGAAAGGCGAAGTCCCTCAGCTTCGTGTCCCCAATATCCAATAGTCCCCTCGGCTGCTCCGACCAGTCCGACAATGTGCATCTACTCGAAATTTAGCGCCTATTTCCCTTCACCAACTGCGTCAATTCCTGTCCCTCCACATCGAAATTCGCATCGACGAATTTTCGAAGCTTTTCCGCATCGATTTGGTCCAGTTCTTCCGGGAATTGCGCCATAAAATCCTTGTACACCTCGGGGCCCGTGCGATTTTCCTTGAGCGGACGGTCGACGTATGTCTAAAAAAAGATTTATGGCTGTAATTTCCTTAATTTTATTTATTTTCTAAGCTCACCTTACTGTCCGGGTACAACTGCTTGGCCATGACGGCTTCGAGCAACTTTCCGGAACAGTAGATATTTGCTCGCCCGCGCGCGTTCGTGTCATCACACACGTATTTGGCGCCTGAATATCGTTTTAGGCGATAACTAGCTCATTAACGGGGGTCATAAAGCCCCGTTGATCCTGGAAATCTATCTAACCCGTATTTGTGCGTGAAAACGCTTAAATTTTGAAGTTTTGACACTATTTCTGGAATTTTTAGGACATTTCAACCATTTTAATTGCTTAATTTTCTAAATAGGCCCGGAAATCGATGGATTAGGTGCCGTAGATCGAATTACGACATGTAATCCTTGAAAAAAAAGCGATTTTGACGTTAAATGATTACTCTTTTTCGAAATATTGGGCTATTTTTGCAACTAAATCCGTTTGCTGCCACTTTTAGACAGATCCCCTGGATGTTTGACCCCTAGATTCAATTCCGGACGCGTCAATTATGAATTCTTACCTCCTTTAAAAAAAATTTTAGCCTGGAAAAGTTAATGTGAAGAAATAGGACCATTTTTCTAACCGCCTTACCTTCTGTCGACTGTGTAAAATTAATCGGATAGTCGACAGTCGGCCGGTTCGGCGGATCGACATCTTTTGGCGGGGCTTTTGTTTTCTATACTTGGAATTAAATGTAATTTTTAATGCTTACCACTCGATTTTCCGAGTCGGGCGGGTTGATCTCACGCTCCTTTCTGTCCGTATCGGCAATGGCGGCGGCGTGGAGGGTGAGCACGAGACTGGCAAACACCTCGAGCCGCATCGCTATCAAGCTGGGGTTGGATTGGGAGTGAAAACTGAGAATTTGAGAGCATTAGGGAGGCAAATCGTGGCTAGGCAAAGTTGAGAAATATTAGTTTAGTTGAAAGATACTTTAAAAAAATAAAAATTCGGCTTTCAAAAAGACCGAGAAGGGGGCTATGGATTTTATCGAAAATCTATAACGAGACTTGCATTTCTTTAAAGAGATGAGGGGGGCTCGGTTGGACCCCCTGGGGGGGGGGGGGGAAAAGAAGGGGGGGGGGGGGGGGGGGGGGGGGGGGGGGGGGGAGGCATTTTTTTTCCCGCGGGAGAGAGTGTTTTTTCTCCCCCCCCCTTTAAAGGCATCGGATGCCTATCAGAAATCTAGGTTTAAAATGGCTTAAAGAGCCGATAGATAAAGCCGAGACCAAGGCCAACAAGGGCAAAAACTACCCGAAACCAGCAGCTGGCGCTCCACTTTTGCACATTGGCTGATGATGGTGGGGAGCGGGAGGGCCCACGCGGGTAATCCGCGTCATCCCCCCACGCCACAAAACAACCGATTATGAGTGGAAACGGCAGAACTTTACGAGGCCCCCCGAACCCGTTCCCAACTTTTGGGGGTTTTCTCTATCTATAGCTCTCTCTCTCTCTCTCTCTCTCTCTCTCTCTCTCTCTCTCACCCCAATTTTTGGTCATAAACATGTACGAGCGGCCAAATGGGCCCCAGATAAACCTCTAAAATTGAGGGCCCAGAATGGGATTACCGCTGTTTTGTTCTGTTTTCCCCTAATTTGAAAGTGTGTTCCAATTCTACCGACCAGACGATACGCAGCGCAAATAGAAATGTGATGATGATGATGATGACTAGCAACAAAGTGAACACGGGGGGATTATTGAGGGGCCAAAATGGGCTCCCCAGCCCCAACTCGGCTCGAAATTGCCGTTTAGTGGGGTGGTAGTGGAACTTGTTTTTGCCAAAATGCCCCTATTTTTTGTTTGATCAAATAAATAGCAGAAGCTTGGGGAGCGATTTTTTTGGGGTTCTGAAGGGTTTTACGTGTTGAGGTTCTAACTTTGTGCGCAAGGAAGCAAAGCCCGGGTAAGGTTTGTATTAGGCTAAAAGGAGATTCAAGGAGACTTTTTAGCGACAATTTATCTAGACGAGACGAAGGCTATCTGGTGCGGAATTTTTCGCTGAAACCGATCTGTCTGCAAAATCTGCGTAACGACCAGATGAAAAAAGTTATGGAGCTTTTCAGGTTTCAAACGAAACAAAATTTCTCTAAATTGCCCCTTGGACCATTTCCTCGGCTAAAAGCTCCATGACTTTTTTAATTTGCAGGCGTTGAAACTAGACTCGGAATCAGCGCGAAATTCTGCACGAGGTGATGGGTTGAAACTCGATTGTCACGAAAAAACGTCTCATTTGAAGCTCCAGCTCAAGCTAATAACGAACTGCACTTGAGCTCGACGAAACCAAGCCTGCGCTTGAGTTCAAAACGAAGTCCCTTATAGTTAGGGATAGGCACGGGTTTCCGGAATGATCTTTGTTATGCACAGTTCCGTCCCGGGTATCACCAACAATTAGTCCTCCCCGTTGAATTTGTGCAAACGATCAATCAGCCGGTTTGGCGAATCGGAAAACACGATATATCGTGATCCTCTGGAACTTTTCGGACTTGCCAATACTTGGAAAAGATCAAAAATTAGGGGCAAAAATAGTGAATTCCATAGGGATGCAGAAAATGGGCTTTTGGCTAGACGAGGAGGTAGTTCCGGCCACTTTTTCCTGGGGTCCAAAGTGTCCGTCTCGAGGCTGTACTACTCCTCATGCTCCTTTTCTCCTCCTCTTCGAAATGCTCCTCCTCACCCTTCTCCTCGTGGTTATGACGTGATTGTGTCACTATGGCCATCGATCATGTTGTCACGTGATAGGAGAGCGGGAGACGGGAGGTCGAGGCTGTTTGATTATTATTATGAGTCGGACTCGTGATCTTTTGTAAGAACACCCCGGCAAGGAGGGTGGTTCCACGAAAGATGGCTGGGGACACTTTTCTCAGGACTATAGGTGTATCTGGGAATCGGTTTTAGGGAAGATGCAACGGGTTAGATTAGAAATGGTTTTTAGATAAAACTAAATTTGGCCAGAAACCAGGAAAACCAAATAGTAAACAGCTAATTTTTTTTGCGCGCAGTCCTTTTTTCGGTAAAATTGGGCGGAAATTAGCCATTTTGTGAGCAAAAGAACCTGTTTATTGCCGGGCCCCTTTTTATTCTAGGTTTCAGGCTCGGAATACTTTTTAGATGTTACTGATTTTTCTTGGGAAACTGGACTCAATTATTACAGTAAATAAATATTCGGAATTAGGAAAAAATTGGGTTTTTAATTTCGTAGTTTTTAAGAATTCTAAGCGCGTAATTATGTAGTTTTCCCAGGCGTTCCCTTCGCTTTTATTCAAACGGTTCCAGGAGAACAATCCAGTCTGTAAACACAGACTTCTATAACTTTTCCGGTCAAACCGGTGAGTTTTGAAGTTTGCGTTGGCAAATAGAGGAAGTGAAAAATTGGTTTAAAAACGTGTCTGGCCGGTAGTGACCGTGATTTTTGGAACACACGAGAAAAGGTTAATTTTTAGTTTGATCAAGAATTTATAAATTCATAGATTGAAATCGTGTTCGGCATTTTAACAGAGTTTAGTTTTTAGAATTCAGAAATTGGGAATTTGGCATAAACGGGAAGAAGAGCTATATTTTTAGTGAAAACACGAATTTCTAAATGTACGTAATCGGAACGTGGTTCTCACATTTATTTATAAATATTTTTTTTTTTTTTTTTTTTTTAAATTTATTTAATTTTTATTTTTAAAAAAAAAAAAAAATTTTAAAAAATTTAAAAATTTTATTTTTTTTTTATTTTTTATTTTTAAAAAAAATAATTTTTTTTTTTTTTTTTTTTTTTTTTTATTAATTTTATAATTAAATTAAAAAAAAAATTTATTTTTTTTTTTTTTTTTTTTTTTTTTTTTTTTTTTTTTAAAAATTTATTTTATATTTTTTTTTTTTTTTAATTTTTATTTTAAATAAAAAAAAAAAAAAAAATAAAAATTTAAAAATTTATTTTATATTTTTATAATTTTAAAAAAAAAAAAAAAAAAAAAAAAAAATATAAATAAAAAAAAATTTTTTTTTATAATAAATTTTTTTTTTTTTTTTTTTTTTTTTTTTTTTTCTTTTTTTTTTATTTTTTTTTCTTTTTTTTATAACGCGCCGCACAAAATCAATGGCCTGGTGGAGATGTTCAAAAGAAGGCATGGTATCTGGCCGGAACGGGCCCTCCATCCATCCATCTATCCTTCCTTCCATCCACATCCATCCATTTCATTCCAATCGCTTTCATCAATGCCCCCGCCCAGAAAAGATCATCTCCGAATGCCCCATCCTTTCCTGCTTTTTTCTTTTTCCCTTTGCCCTGGCGGCAATCAAATCACGCGGTTATTAGACACAAAAATTCGCGAAAAAGCGCACAGCGGACAGGCGGCGTGGGCGACCGGAAAGAACCGGGGTTAATTGATTTTGGGGGTGATTGGAGAGTGCAAAACAAGATTTTATTCGGGCTGTGGGTTTCTAAAAAAATTGTCGACGATCTTTCTAGGGGCGATATGAGCGAAATTTTAAGTTTTCAAGTCGACCCGCCGAAAGAGTGCCAAGATTTTTCGCTATTCTCGTTATTTTTTGAATGGAAGCTTTCTTTAGCGATTTGAGCGAACTTCGAAGGTGATCCTGGAAACTTTAATTAGAGTGAAAAACAATTCGAAAAGGGTAATAACAAGAACAAAAAATCGCTGATCGGTGGGTTGGGATGCTAATTTTCGACATTTTCGCTATATTTCGGCATTTTTGAAACGCCATTTGATAGAGCGGGGGAAAATATACTCAGAACTTTAATTTGCGCGCAAAAAAGAGAGTATAAAATAGTTATAGCAAAAACGCGTTGATAATTTTTGTAAGATTTTTTTGTCGAAAAAATGTGAATTGGTTATGTTATGCGTCAAACCGACAGCCCAGACAAGACAAAATTTCCAAAAATCGAGAGCAATATGGCATGGCCGGGGACGACCCGCGCTCCATTTTTTGCAGCGAAGAACGGCCGAGGCGGGCTTCTCCGATTTTGAGCACGAGGTCGAGGTGTCGCTGTGTTGATTATGACACGCGCGGCACAGCTTTGTTCCCATTGAGAAGCCAGGGATAGATATCATAGCCTCCGCCCCTATTTTCGGCCCACCCCTGCGATTTTGACAATGGTTTGGAGATGGTGTTGACCTTCTGGTAAAAGATCTTTGAAGAACGAGGCGTGAAAAGGATGATAACCCCGGCCGATAAAACGGTCTACGATACCAACGAGGGAAAATATTTGTATGGGTTCAGTTTAGGCACGGGGCCATTGAATTGTAAGAATGGGTGTTTGGGAATGGAACGGTTGAAAGGGCAGCTTTTGGGTCTTTGAAGTGGCAACAACGACTTATTTCTTGCAATTTCGCGCCTTGAAAAATGGCCAAAAATCGGGGATGGGTTACAGTGAGAGAAATCAGGGTTTTTTAGTTTTCCTACAACTCCAGAAATACCTATTAGTATAATAGCAAAAATTTTAATTGTATTTTCAAGTCTAATAGGCTGTATTTCAAGCCGACAATATTTTGAAAACTTGTAAAACTGCCTAAAATTTAAATTTTTTTTGTCGAAATTCGAGATTTTTGTATTTTTCACGAGTTTGCACTTTTTTTGCGTTTCCGAATCGCTTGAAAATATGAGGAACCCCTCCTCTATATTAGAAAACCTGGAATTTAGGAAGAGAACCTGGAAAAACTGTTGGAAAAATTAAAAACTCAAACCCATCTCTCCGCAGACCAAACATTCAAAGCCCAAACCCTCATCTCATCTCCCTTTTTCCAGGGGTCACCGAGCACTACGATGTGAAGATGATCGATGTCGATATGGTGATGGCCTCCCTCGAGAATGCGATGGCATCCACCGGTGGATTCTGCGTCGGACGTAGCTATGTTGTTGGCCATCAGCGACTTTCCGGTACTGAAATTCCTTATTTAAAAATGGGCTCTTTTAGGTCTGGGCTACTGTTTCTCCGCCTCGCTGCCCCCACTTTTGGCCACAGCCGCCTCGGAGGGGCTGAAGATCATCGACGAGGAGCCGGAGCGTGTCGGGCGGCTGAAGGACAATGCCCAACGTGTCCACGGGATCCTGGAGAAGGCTTTTAAGGTTGGTTTTACTTGAAAAATATATGTGAAAAGCGGGGATTTACCGTATTTTTATTTTTGTATTTCATCTTCGATAATCCGATGCTTTCGATAGATATCTAGATCTTAACAATTGGATCTGCTCCGGTGCGCCTTTTTGGGAGAAGCAACTTGAAGCAGCTGTATCTTTAAAAATGTCTGGGAAAAACATGGATTTTCGTTTTTTTTTGTAGCATAAGCCGTCATTTCAACGAAATCGCAAAAGATCGAACTCGAAATAGCAGACGCACTTTCCCAACCAGCCGCCGGGGATTCCCCCCAAATACCTGCTACTGCCTTTTAAAGATCGCCCCAGCCACCCATCAATCATCCCCACCAATACACTTTCCTCTTTTAGAACACCTCGTTTGCAATCCGCGCCGCCGACATTTCGCCGCTGAAGCATGTTGTGTGGAAGGGGGATGGAGCTGTGGCTGATCAACGGCTTCAGGGACTTGTTGACACGGTAGAATTTCTTGTTTTCCTGAGAATATAAAATTGTTATAGCTCTTCAAAAAACACTCGATCCTGGTCGCCCGCGCTCGGTACCTCGACAAGGACGAGATGTTCCCGATCACGCCTAGGTAGACGAGATTTTTAAATTTTTTTTAGCTAACCTACCGTTTTTTGGTTCCTTGGCATTATTGGGAGGACCAATTTGTCCGGCCGTATCCAATTTTCTAACATAGATAGAAAAAGCGATTGCGCACTTTTTTACTGGACTTTTTTACACTCACTATTTTACCCATTTTTTGCAGCGTGAAAGTGATGGTGCAATCCGAGCTGACCGACGAGGAGCTGTCCCGTTTCGACGAGGCCGTCAACAGCGCCGTCAAAGAAGTCTGCTAAAGCCTCGGGAAACCTGCCCCGCATTTGCTCAGTTTTCTTCTGCGTGATCTGCCCGAATTGGACATGTACCTAACCATCGACCCATCATCGGTACTGGGTTGTTAGCGGGGGTGGACAATCTGTCTAGCGTTTTATGGCGTATTTTATAGCGTTTTGAGTATTTTTTAATCACTAAAAACCTAAATTTTGGATATGCAAGATTTTTTATGAATTTTATCTACGTAAAAACTATGCAAATGGCTACAAAACGGTTGGACCCTACAAGACGATATACCAAGTTCGGTCTCCCCCGCTAAGAACCCAGTACCGATCCATCCATCGACAACTAGTCCCTACAAAATTCTCTCCCTTTTCCATGGCCATACAAAAATTATAAACAAAAGAATTGTTGACTCGTTTCCGCTTCTTCTTCTGCCACCCCCGAAAAACCTCGCCATTTCGCTTTTTGTGCGTGTGATAACAACTCTGGCAACTGTTTTTATGCCTTTTTCTCGCTGTAAAAATGTTTTTTTTTCCTGGATCGATTTCGTGTGCGTTTGTGATTCTCTGTGTGCCTGTGGCCTCGCGCCTCTATAATATGAATAAAAATCGTTGGAAAATCGTCGTGGAAACATGGGGGGTCTATAAAGTTTTTGGCTGGTTACTTGTTGGGGAGGCACGCGTGAACTTCTAGTAGTTGATGGTGGCTTAGGAGTTAGCTTATAGCTTGAAAATTGCGTTTCTAGGGATGTCGTTTCCGGTCTACGCGGATACCTACCAGATTTCTGGGAGGAATTATCGGAGGAATCCGTTTTCCGGAGCAGGTGAGATAGTTCGAGTTTTTAGGCTTAGAAAGTCGGCTTCGTATGGCAAACTAGCAGCGTTTATTTATGAACCCGAAGGCTAACACGCGCCTACAAATTAGCGGGTCTTTTTAGGGCTGGAAAAAGCCCTTTCAATGTTAAATCTCTCTATCTAAGCCGGGCTTGACTTATAAGCGCCGCTCCGACGTTTGTGGCGCTTTTCGCATATCTACACACTAACAGGAATATTTTTGTGTATGTGAAAGCTTGATAGCTTGTTAGGTAGGAACCTACGATGCAGAATCGGATTTATCAAGCAAAAACTAGCTTAGTTTCTAAAAGTTTGAAAACTCTTTTTTTTCAGCCCCGGTCCAACCTCCAATCGGCAATGGCGACACGGCCGACCTGTACGAAGACGACGCCGATGAGGACGAGCTCCTCGATTGTCTCCCTGGTAGATCGAGCACTTTGTTCTGATGATTTTTTTAGCTATCCCCAAAATTGGCGCGCCCGACGAGCTGGAAGAAGCTGGTCAGCACGACTTTTTTAAGCCGTAATTTTTCTTTAGAAGACGCTGCGGGACCAGCTGCATACCAGGCTCCGGCTCAGCCCGAACCCATGCCATCATCCTCCGTACAACCGCCAATAGCAGCCATGGCACCGCCGCCGGGTTTTGAAAAGGTATTTAAGTTTTTGAGCATAGAAAGATCTTAAAAAAAGCCTCAAAGCTGTCGAAAATTCGTCTTGTTTTCGTCCAAAAGATAAAAATCTGGATTTTGCAATGTTTGGCAATGTTTTAGTTCTTTTAAACTACTAGAAACACGAGGAAAATAGTTCAGTTGGCAATAACTAAATTTTTACACATTTTAGAAAGTCGTCACGGCGACCAAGAAGGAAAAGCAGCAAAAGCCAGAAAAGCCAAAGCAGCCAGCTTCTGAAGCTCAACCAGCCGAAGCTGCCGTTGCTGACGTATGGATTCGCTGTGAAGAGGATGTGAGAATCGAGCAGTCGGGCCAGAAATTTAGGGCTAGGTGAGTTTCGGATTGAATTTTGAGGTTTTTATCTACTTTTTAGGCTTGAAGTAGCTTCCGCTTTCCACGGCCGCCTGATCGGTTTCCGGGGAACGATCCTGAAAGAAATGGAGGCCAGCACGAGGTGTCGCATTCGGATCCCGAACAAGAATGAGGGCAGTGATTTGATTGGTAACTTGAAGCAGCTTTTTAAATTTTTGGGTTGTAGACATTTCTTCGACCGTCGGAATTGAGAGTGTACAGCGTTGCTTGGATCGAATTGACATCATCGTGATCAAGGCACGCAAAGAGTCACGGTATAAAATAGATAAATTTTTATTTATATCCTTTTTGCAGTCCCACCCACTTCCTGGCGCTGCCGATGAATACACCGGAAATCCTCGAAGGCTACGATTATTTTAAGAGGACCGTCAAGGCGATGCCGGAAATTTCGGTGCGTTTTTCATTGGTTTTTGGGGATGTGATACTTTAATGTTTGGTTTCTCAAAATTCGAGATCCAGAAATTTCGATATTACGAAAATTCAAAATTCTCAAAAATGGTTTTTCTGGAAATTCGGGATTATGAAAATTGGAAATTTCTGAAGTATCGATATTTCATAAATTCGATGAAAATCCGCCATTCTGAAATTCAAGATTCGGTTAATTCGCTATTATGAGAGACCGAGATTCTCAAAATGTAAGCTGACGATGGCAATTGATACTAAAGTCCGGATTTTAAAAAAATTCTGACATTTCAGGACGTATGCAAGGACGAGAAGCTCTACATGATTCCCGCCAAGCTCCACCTGACTCTCGCCGTTGTGCGCCTATTTACAAAAGACGAAAAGGCCCAAGCAGCTGCCGCGTTGGCAATGGCTGGCGAGAGGATTAGGTGAAACCGAGTTTTTGGCTACCAACTTTCCTATTTTAGAAAACTATACGGCCGCACCACGCTGAAAGTGAGCATCGCTGGGCTGCAGATCATGAACGACGACCCGACGCAGGTCAACGTGCTCTACGCCGGGGTTCGGGGCGAAAAGTACGAAGCTTTCCGATGGCCATTAACTCTTTAGGGTGCAAGAGGTGGCGAATCTGGTGCGTGACGTCTTCGTCGAGCAGGGCCTTTGCGAGCCCGACAAATCGGACGTGAAGCTGCACATGACGCTGATGAATAGCCGGTACTTGGCCGAGGTGAGGTTTTGTCGCGAATGGTGGATTTTCTAGCGATTCTTTTTAATTTTAAAATTCTGTTGATTTTAGCTTTGGAGCTTTTAATAGAATTTTCAAGCGCGCTTTTTCAACAAGGGTTACCAATCCCGTTAAGCGTAGCCGACGCGAGGCACGAAAAGCCCGTCGAGCCGCATCGCTGTCTTCAATCTCTGGAGGAGAGGGGGAACCGGAAGATAAGCGCCCCCGAAGGGTACGGTCGATTGCCGTTGTAGTGGAGTGTAGCGTGGTCCTAGAAATTTTCTAACTATCAAAAACCGCAAATCTACAACTTTTTCAAGCCTGCAAAACACATATAAATTCCAGGAAACCAACTCGAGACGCACAAACTTTGACGCGAAGGCCCTTCTCGATGAGATGAGCGATTTCTGGTTCGGGGACGTCACCTCGGATAAAGTGAGTGCTTTTGTTTTTGTCTGCCAAACCCGATTACCGTAATTTCCTGTTGACGAATGCCGGCTTTTTGGGCCGATTTCGCGTTCGAAATTGCTCGAAATTGCTCGAAATATTTTATTCAGTCTTGTCCCAATTTTTCGAGATCGTAATCGTAAAAGATGGATTCTTAGAAAAAAGACGGGGTCGCTCGGATAATTCGAAAGAACGGGTTACAAATTTCTAAAAATATTTTATGCTGTCTTTCCCAGTTTTTGGGATTTTTCATAAAGTTTTTGTTATTTTATCCTTATTGATATCCTCATCAGGCGGAGTTTCAATTTTCCAGATTCACCTCTGCGCAATGTCAACGGTCGGCGCCGACGGTTTTTACGAGAGCATCGAAACGCTGAGCATTGCTTGATTTTGTTTCACCTATTTTTCTTTGCTGTTATTTGAGTTTTTGCTTTGTAATAAAGTTAATCGGGTTTATTGTCTTGACCAATGGCCGATATGTACAAATTTCCCAGAGATTCATGAGTTTTTCACGTTGGCTGCTGCTCTATAGGTTTCGGCTCGAAGTCGGCGACTGTATGCAAGGTCAACGAGACGCCGTAGAGGTTGTCAAGTTCTCGCCGGATGTCCTCGATCGTCACGAAGCCGTCGTTGTCGACGTCGAGCTCCTGAATGGTTTGGAGCTATTTTTGAGGTAGTTCGTGTGTATCCATTTTTACGCTTACTTTTTCGGCAAGAAAAATGAAAAAAAGACGTTTTCACCCGATTTTCCTTGCCCCTCAGACTTACCAAAAACCTTTCCCGCGCGTAGCGCTCAAAAAGCGGTGCCAACCGCCGGGAGGCGATCATTTCCGCGTCACCGTGCAGGCTCATCGACTAAAGATCTTTTTTGTGCTTTTTATAGCAAAAATTGCTTTCAAAAGTAAGCTTTAGGAAGTAAAAAAGTTAATAAGAGAAAGTACAGCTCTAAAAATCAAATTCTGACCTTATTATGGTGCAAACTGTTCCCCTGACTCAACCCTATCGACGCCGCATTCTCCACTGCAGCCGAGCGCGAAGCGCGCAATCCCCAGATCGCCGAGGCGTATTCGAGCCACGAGGAGAGGGCGACGCGGCCCTGAAATGATTTCATTTTTTAATTTGTATGCATTTACCCGCTCATCAGCCCCAATAATATTAATAATAAAATTGGCCGTCGAGTGCTCGGTGGAGAGATCTCCGTTGAATTGTTGCGACGCCTCCGTCAAGTCGAACAAGCACAGCACCAGGTCCTAAACGATTTTGGTGCTTGAAAAGTTCAAAAACCCACCTCGAAAGTGATAAAATTCCGGCCAGTCTGGTGGGTGATTGCCTAAATTTTCAGTTTACGGATTTTTGGGTGTTTTGGCAATATCGGGGGGGGGGGGGGTTCTAAAATACAGGCATATTTAGTACGATGTTAGAAAGTCTTTAATAGTTTTTATGATAACATTGCTGTTTAGGAATGATATAAAAACAGTGTTGACAATTGATTTTTGAATTTGGCCAACTTCAAATTAAAAAATTTTCAAGATTTGGGCAAAAATCGGTCAGTTTGACCAAAAATCTATTTTATTTTTACAAATAATTATCTGTTATTTAACATTTTACGTTCGTGAAAATTTTAGAAAACAATTTAGAAACGATCCAAGGCTTACCGAAAACAGCCGATCAGCAAACGCATAATGGGCAGCTCTGGGGAAAAGTTGTCGAAAAATTCCCCGGCATTCCGGTTGGCCCATCCGGCCGCTCGGGCATTTCTAAATAATGGCTTTCAAAAGCTACAAAAACCGTACCTGCTTGAAATTCCTGTACAAATACATCAGCCATTTCCGGTCGAAATTCGTGGCGTTTTGGAGGCGTTCAAGTGAGGGGGGCTGGGTGTTAAATGGGTTCCCCGCGGCGTCGTCGGCCTCGATTTCGACCTCTTCAAGGAGTAGCTTTATTTTCGGGGTTAATTGGGACACGTTTTGGCCCATAATTGGCAATTATTGGGACTGGGGAGTACATCAAATATGGGTGGCTCTACGAGGTGGTGTGGCATATCGAATTTCCGGAAGCGTATGGCGCGCTACCTTTGCCCACCTGGGGCTTCGAGTAAGTGAAAAATACCAGTTTTAAGGCAGTAGATGGTCTTTGTAAGCTTAAAAATTGCCTGAAAGATCTTACCATTATCGTAGAAACACAGCCAGTATTGAAACCTTCGCAACGCCCAGTAGACGCGCGTCCAAAATGGTGATTTGCACTTCGGCGAGCCGAAAAGGCTGAAAAAAACTATTTGAAAGCCTTTTAAAGTTCTTTTAAACTCTTAGAAGTTTTAAAACCCAGCAGGCTTAAAAACTAACATTTTTAGTTCCTTTTTAGCTAAAAAACCAGGGTTGAAAAGCCGCTTCGCGGCTTTTCAACCCTTATGAGCGGAACATACATCCGGAAGTGGATGCAAATCTACACAGACACAGAACACACACACACTATTTTTTTATATATAGTAAGATTAGGCGGTTCTTTGGCAATATCGGGCGCGAGCAGATTTTTCGATAAGATCCCATTTTGTTAAAGGGCTAGTTCAGCCAATAAAACAAAAGAATTTCCGCGGTCAGGAGTCGAACCCTCTCTGCGTTTTTGTGTCTGCGCCTCTCCCTTTTCCCCATTCTCTAATAGCTGACGTAATGGGGGACTGTTCGGGCGCAGTGTGCCTACGTCCATAGTGTCCCAAGGTACCAGCCCAAGCTCTAAAAGTTGAACCAGCCCTTTAATATAGATGCAGGGAGCTGATTTTATATTATTTCAAGGTAGAAACGTTACAATAAAAATGTTTACCAAAAATATACAAAAAAATCCAGATTTTTCGCCTAATTTCCAAAATTTTTAGAATTTGCTAAATTAGCTAACATTTTTCTACTTGAAATCAAGCTATAGTTGATTTTTGATTGTTATTACATTACTAGACACATAGAGCTCTAGGGCCTACCCCTGATATTGCAAAAACTCCTTAAAATATTATTTTTAGACCCCTTTCCCTCAAAAATTCGTTAATTAACACCCCGGCTCGGACTTCAACTCCATGCGAGTTCGGGATCAGCACGGGATGCCAAACATTCCCTCCAATTATAACCCTTCTCCTGTCCTCCTAGCTCCTCTTCTTCTTCTTCTTCTTCTCTTTTCAGATGCCTCGCTTTGCCCCGAGGGGGAGATAATTGGAGTCCGCATCTCTCTTCGTATTCAGCGGATACTACTCGGTGGCCGGACGCCGATTCGATTAAGTCGCTCATCGGGCAAGAAGTGGATGTGTTTATGTCCATCAATGGATACGGGAGCAAAAGTTATATAAAAAACGGGATAGTTCTAAAGCTAAGCCGCGGGTCTAAACTCGTGTTAAGCCTACGCCTAACTGTAAAGTGTTTTTACTCAACTTGGAGTTTCGATTCGGGACCAAGCTCATTTTGTGCAGAATTTTTCGCTGATTCCGAATATGTTTTCCAAATTTGCTACGGACTTCTATTTAAAAAATCATTTTTGGTAACAATTAGGCCGAAAAATGCCAAAAATTGAGACACAGGCCCACTATTCCTTGTTTGGGGCTATTATTCCCAGGGGCCCTGAAGTACCCTCTGACAGCACCCTACCCGGTTGGTACCATAGTGCATCGGCAAAGTACTCGCTTGCCAAGCGCAGGGCGGCGGTTCGAACCCCCGCCCTGCATCGCTTCTTTTGCTTTTTGCATAAAAATCTCATTTTTTTAATCTAAAATGCTTGTTTTGCTGTAGGATGCTTGTCGAGCCAACGCCTAGTCAATTTTGACGTTGAAATTAATGAAGAAAATCGAAAACTATAACGATACCTTCATTTTGGTGAAAACTAGGGTCATAATTGCCGTATAACTTTCAGAATAACGGTCCGTAGCAAATTTGGAAAACATATTCGGAATCAGCGAAAAATTCTGTACAAGTCTTGGTCCCGTCAATGTCAAAGGTATGTCAATGCACTTGGTCCCGAATCGAAACTCCAAGTTGAGTAAAAACACTTTACAGTAAGCTAAGCCCGAGCCTGCGCATAAGCCAAGCCTATCCAAAAGTAAGCTAATCAAGGTTAAGCCAAGCCGAGTTTCTAGCTAAACTAACTAAACTACGCCTACGGATGGCATATTACTGACAAAAAAAAAACAAAAAAATAAGCGAAACCACGCCCAAACTAAAACTAAGCCCAAGCCCAAGCTTGTTCTAAGCTCAAGATTAAGGGCGAATTAAGCCCAAGCATACGCACATGCTACACCAAAGCCAAACCTACGGCTAAGCATATCGGCAAAGCCCAAACTGTAGTCTGCCAAACATAAGTTGAAGTATAAGCTCACCAAGCCCATCAACAGTTTCATTTAAACTAAGCCTGAGTTTCAGTAAACCAAGCCGATACGTAAGCCTAAGCTTCGCCTAAGCCATATCTGAGCTACGCTTAACCTAGAGTCGATCGCGCATAAGCTAAGAATAAGCCAAGCCGACCTAATTACATCTTCAATCGGTTTTGGCCAAGTTTCTATTTTCAGAAAACCCCCCACTCTATGGCTCCCACGAGAATATTGACGTACCATTATTATTCCCAGGGCCACTACTCCCCTAACCCCGACCCCCAGAATTATCCGCGCGACATTTACAGAGATTACTAATCCGACGCGACACGGCTCGAGGGGGAGGAGTAGACAACAAGGATAAGCCGCAGAGCTTACAGTTTTGCCACCCAGGAATATTCGAAACCTGGTGTTGCCCTTGAAATCGACAAAAAATAGCTTTTGAGGAAATAACGACAACAACAAGGCGTTCAACCCAACCAACCTCCTCAATTCGGCATTCCTTTCGGCGGCTTTCCCTTCAGTAACCTTCATTACGCGATGTGCCGCGAGTAAATAGACGATTCCGGGGCTCACTACTGCCTGCGTGTGGCCCTTGCCCCTTTATCCGGCAAAGCCCCGCCGCCACCCACAACCACGCCCCTCATCTCGGCCCCTCTTTTCATTCATTCATTCCGGATTCATCAGCCTCGTTATCCGCCTCCCAATCTGCAAAATGCGCTTTTGGCTCAAGGGGCCCCGAAAACTGCTAACAAGGAGTCGCTTTTAGGTGCTTTTGGAGTTTCTGGACGGGACCTAGCTAGTTCGATAGAGAAAAAAATTCTGAACACCATACCATTTTCAAAAAGTGCTGATCGATAAAGGAATTTTAGAACATTTAATTTAAAGTTCGCGCTTTTTTTTCTAGTTTTCAGGTCCATTTCCCCGGTTGACGTCGTTTTCGGGGCTGTGCAAGGCGTCATTCATAACATTCCGCCTAGACCTCCATCGCAGCTTGCATTGGCGTATTGGTAGCGCGCTTGCCTACCATATTTTTAACATTTTTTGCCTCGGTTTCGAATCTTCGCGCTGGCTAACCCTTTGCTTTTTGTTTCTTGAACCCGTTATCGGCGCATAAAATTTTAATTAGCAAAAAAGCAAAAGTTAACGATAAATGAGAATCGAACTTGTGGCAAAAGGCCAAAAAAACTTTGTAGGCCGACGCACTAGCCACTTGGCCATGTCTAGGACGGGATCCAGGGCGCGTGAAGTCCCCATGTGGCAAGGGCGGTCGACCGCCGCAAATCACCTCAAATTACCTCAAGGGTCCGGATACCGGGAACGTTTTTAATTAAATTAAATTTTCTAAAACACCTTTATCGATCAGCACTTTTTGAAAACAGGATGTTGCTCAGAATTTTTTTCTCTATCGAACTAGCTAGGTCCCGTCCAGAAACTCCAAAAGCACCTAAAAGCGACTCCTTGTAAGTATGAAGTGGGGAGAAAAATATTGTGAAGCAGGCTAGAAGCTGAAGGTATACTGTCGAGAAGGGGGCTGAAGCAACGATGTTTCCGGATGGTGGTTTCCGGAAGGTTAGCCGGGGCTTTATCCAGCCCATAACGTCAAAATGGCATTTTTTTAATAGAAGGAAATTTCGCTGAACTTTCTAGATCTAAAAACTGTGTAAAAATGGTTTATATTTCAGGCCTGTTACCCCATGGGGCGCTCCGCCAAAGCTAGCTTCCACCCCCCCGCTAGCAGTTCAGAACTCCGATACTTCGTTATTCTCCATAGCGCATCATCGAATCTTGCGAAAAGCGCGCTTCGAATTTCGGCCGGGTTATACTTCAGCGACCCAAGCTCTTGCCCGAGGTAGCGCTCTGATTGTGTACGTACGCATTGTCCTATCCACAGCATCTATACCTAAAACTTTTATAAAAAAACCGATCCCAATTATTATGCAAAAATAAAATCACAACAGCACACCAGAGAAGAGATTCCAAACAAGAGCGAGACACACCAGGGCACCAAGAAACAACCAATAGCATCACAGTAAATGAGGGGGGACAAGACAATGGCAAGCGGGGACAACAATCGAAAAATTTGGGGCATCTAGAGTTCGGTTTTGGAGAACTGGGCCTTGTAGTGGTTGAAGGTGGCCATGCCGGCGGTGATGATGTTGTTGAAGAAGGCCTCGCCGAAGAACGCGACTTGGTGGGCAAAGTTGACGAAATCGCCGGTCCCAAGCGTGCCCATCGTCGTCCAGATCGACGACACCTAAAAAAGAATAATGATATGACGTCGTCGTTTTGCAATGTACTTTCTCAAGAAAGGGTTCGAGATAAACTTCTTCCTTTCCGAGCGAATTTTTCTATCATACTATTCCACAAGTCTCTACAACTTAAAGATAGATTTGTCAAACATCTAAACAGTTTGAAAATTTTTGCAAACAGTTTTACTCTTTATATAATTACATTTGCGACAAAAAATCGAAAAACAGGCTATTACACTACAAATTTTTCACTATCCCCAAACTTAAAAACTTTAAATTCAAGACCTTTCGGTTTTGCAACAAATTTTTGAAACAATTTTCAAAGCCTTCCATCTAAATAATTTATACCCTTGAAATACTAACTCTATTTTACGAAAGCACTTGCTGTTACATTACTAGGCATATCCACCCTTCTAGAAGAAATTCGCCCGCCCCCCGATATCGCTAAAGTACCAAAAAAATTACCGGAATAATGCCGCGACCATAGCATACAATGTAGGTCTCCGGGGCGAAGTCGTAGGTGAACGATTCCCATTGGCCGTGACGGAAGTTGCCTCCGGTCTTGAACGTCTCCTTGCTGATGGGCTGGGCGAGACGATCCTGGGCGCGAGAGACCTCGCCGGCCATCACGGTGCATGTGCTATTGCTCCAGTGAGCTCCTAAAAATCAAATTTTAAGTCCAGTAAAAAAAGCAACGCACCTGAGCGCCCGGTGGTCTTGTAGGGGGCAACGATGACGGCAACGTACTCGGTGAGCGAATTGTGGAGAAGCTGCATCTGCACGTTCAGCCCGCCCGCATTCACAGGGGCCCACTTCGGGCTGGGGACGATGGAGCCTTTGTACGCCTTGGAGAGATCGCCGAAGAATTTGCGAGTGGCGTCAGCACCGTTTGAAGAAGCACCTAGGAGAAATTATAGCAAAAAAAAAGTGGAGAAAATACCTTGCGCTTTCGTGGCAATGCTGCGGAACTCCTTTGGCGAGAAGCGGTAGGCCTTCCATCCGAGGTAGAAGTTGGCGGCGCTGTAGAGGATGTAGATGAAGACGAGGTAGCGGATGCCCTTGGTGAAGAGGAACACCATCTGAAAAGCAAGTGATGAACTGGAAAAAACAGGACAGAAAGAAATCAGGAGCGGAAATCTGCGATAATTTTTAAGAAAAGAGATTCGCCCGGCTGACGCTGTCTCTCGAGCCTTCACTAAACAACTCGTATTTCCCATTTTTGGGCTAGCGCTACTGCAAAAACATTCAAAACAACGGGACGTTTTTGTCGGCTTCTCTAGTTAGCACTCTAATAAGGAAACTTTTGTAGCCCAAAATTTAATCTTACTAGCCTAAAAGCGCGGGCCACGCAGAATCCCGAGCGTAGGGAGAAAATGAGAGGCGCAGTGACACGACAAGCTTTAAACGATGCCAAAACGATACTCAAGGTTTTAGAGAAGATACGCAAAAGACCTGACAATCAATTCAGCTGATTTATACTAACGGCGCCATCGGGGGGCGAGGGAGAATCGCGTCTCTCGTTATCTAGCGCACTACCTAATACCCAGGATTCGAAGCGTATGAATCTTATAAATCGCATGAACTGTATCAATTTTTACAACTTGACATCTCGCCCAAAAATTTGAGAAGAGAAAAGAAAAAGGAAAATGACTGAATTCCCGGAGCAATCGTATCCGGTGGACGCACATTGCCTGGGCGTCAATAGGCCCCCTTCGTACCGTTTTGCCTTGTTTTCGCGATCATTCTCCAAAATTCTCTTGCACTTCTCATTCCCCGGCGTCTTATCTTTCCCGCCCGCCCTTCTTTTTGCCCCAAACTCTGACACGGCTGTTGTAGCCGAATATCTTTTGACAGAAAATGTCCACCCAGTTGGTCCTCGAATTCTCTGGCGGCTCCGAATTTCTGGTCGGCAACCAGAAGGTCCACCAAGTTTCGGTACGTTTTTATAGACTTTTGCCCTGTTTTTTGGAAAATGTCGCTTTACGGTAACAAAATGAAAATTGGATATTTGTCTGAGCGGTGTGATTGATTCTTATGAGATCCGCCGGGAAAGTGGTTTGTCGTCGCCTGCTCGATTCAGAAATGTTAAAAATGTGGCCTAGAGTTTCAAAAAGCGCCGAAAAATTGTTTTGCTCAAATACAGGGCTCTACCGAGGTTAACTTTTGAGCACGGTATCTCGCGGTCAGAAGGCTGCCCAATCGTTTTTTTTCACTGATCCAGAATCTACTCGCTGAGCGATCATTTGACATGTAAAACCAATAAAACAATCAATATGAAATTCAAAATTCATTTAGTTACCGTAAAGTTACATCCTGCCGCCGTTAGCAGGCTTCTGCGTGCTGAAAATTGCGTATATTTCCATTTTTAGGTGCCGCTCGAGTCGCCAACAGTCCGCGGCCTGATTCGCTGGATCAAGGAGCATCTGATCACCGACCGGGCCCGCGACACGCTCTTCGTTTCCGAGGATTCGGTCCGCCCGGGCGTGCTCGTGCTCGTCAACGAATGTGACTGGGAGCTGTGCGGCAAGGATGACGCCATCCTGAAGGAGGGCGACGTCGTCACCTTCATCTCCACGCTGCACGGCGGATAAACAACGCGGCAACAATGCGTGCGACGCTCAAAAAGACTGAAATCTAACGATTCTTACGCTCGGCTCATTCGCCCTGTGATTCTCCATGTGATTTTCGACGACAACTTTTGAAATTTGTGATCTTGTTGACTTTCCCATATCTATTCCTTCCAAGTGATCTCAATGCTGTTATAAAACTTTTTTTTGAAAGATATTTTGCAGGTCAGCATGCCCATCGATTACAGCCGCTGGAAAAAGATCGAGGTCTCCGACGATGAAGACGACACCCACCCCAACATTGACACCCCTTCTCTTTTCCGGTAAATTTTTGACTATTTTCTGATCCTTTTTGTTTAGGTGGCGTCACCAGGCTCGCTTGGAGCGGATGGCTGAGAAGAAGATGAAGCAGGAAGAGATTCAAAAAGGGCGAAACGTCGCGCAGAATAAGAAAGATGTAAGAAATCTCAGTTCTCCAGATTCTATCATTTTTCAGGAGCTCGTCAAGAAGTTGGAAGATGTCTCGCTGGACGAGAAGGTGAAGTCAGACCTCGAGAAGGAACTGGCCGAGCTGAAGAAACAGGAAGAGGACTACCAAAAGAAGGAGAAGGAGCTCGAAGACCAGGAGCGCCTCGAGCCCTGGAACGTCGACACGATCGGCCACGAAGCCTACTCCGCCTCCCGCATCAACAAGGTCACCGACAAGAAGCCCGAGAAGCCGAAGATCACCGAGGAGGAGGACTCGAAGCGGATGGCCAAATACTTTGAGGACAACGAGGAGCTGTTGCAGAAATATGGGCGGATCAGCAGCATCAAGGCCAGCGAGCAGTTCATCCTCGAGAATCCGCGTCTGTCGAGCGAATATGCGGCCAACTGGCTGACGATCGAGTGCCTCAACCTTGCCATAGATAATCGGGTAATTTTTCAATTATTTTCCAATTCAATTCTTTTTAGGACGGTGAGATGTCAAACATGGCTCGCCAGTGCATCATCCTCCAATACCTGCTCGAGCTGGCCAAATCCCTCAACGCCGAGCCCACCAACACTAACATCATCAAGAATTTCTTCAAGAAGTATGCTATTACATCTTTTTCTAAATTTTCGTTTTAGGTTCCAGAGTGCCGACCCGACTTACATGAAGATGTACGAGGACGAGGTGACGCAGTTCCAGGATCGCCTCCGACGCCGTGCCAAAGACAAGCGCGACCAGGCCATCGCTGAGTACGAGTCGGATGAAAAGGTATTCAATTGAGCGGCTGCATCATCCAACTCTTTTCCGTAGGATCTATTTTTTTTCAAACTCAGAATCTTGAGGGTTTCTAAGCTGTTTTGACTATTAGAAAACTTCAAATCGCGGATTTTGGTACTAGTATACTTTGGGGGGGGCCAAAAAAATTTTCGGCCAAAATTTCTCATTTTCGATTATTTTGTTCAGTTTTTCGTGCTGAATCGAATGCAAGTGTTTCCAGATTTTTTTATACAATGTTTTCTAGTATGAATTAACTATTGATATTACAAGTAATTTCAATAGTTTTTCAGTAGTATAGCGTAGCACAAGCCGCAGATCAGCCTAAGCCTAACCTGAGCCTAAGCCAAAGCAGGAGCCTGAGCCTAAGTCTGAGCCTGAGCCTAGGCCAAAGCTTAAGCCTAAGCCTAAGCCTAAAATAAGATCCATTTTTCAGCTTTTGGTCGCATGTATAAGAGATCCACCCCTGCGAGTAATTGTTCTTGTTGCCTAATTGTTATGTTGTTACAATATACAAAAACGTCTGGAATCACTTCATTCGATTCAGCATGAAAAACTGAACAAAATAGTGCAAAATGAGAAATTTTCGCCGAAAAAATTTTTTGGTCCCCCCAAAGTATACTAGTACCCGGATTTTTGGTATAAAAAATGGAAAATATTGATTTATCGAGCAGCATTTGAAATTTTTTGGTAGTTTTTGACAGTTTTATCCCATTAGATATAGTTTATTTCTACTAAAAATAAAATACTTGCTACTGCGCTACTAGACATTTTATGATTTGGAAAAATTCTGCATTGAGAAATAAAATATCTATTTTCTTCCAGGCCAAGCGCATTGCGAATGCTCCCGGCGGGCTCGACCCCCAGGAAGTGTACGACTCGTTGCCGGATGAGATGAAGAAGTGTTTCGACGAGCAGGACATCAGCATGCTTCAGAAGGTGGCCGAGACGCTGGACCAAGAAGTCTTCTCGCATCACCTCCGGCGCTGCATCGATTCCGGCCTCTGGGTGCCCAACGCTAACGGTGGTGATGAGGTAATTCATTTGATTTCAATTACATTTTATTCTTGTCTTGATAGGATGACAGCCCCGACCAGAAGGACTGAGCGTCCAGCCGTCTTCGCCCCGCAATAACTTATTCGTCTGTCCATTCAATCGTATTCCTTCAAATCTCAGCCTCTTTCCCATGGTGTTCTCGATGTATTGTGATTGTGGTTATCCTTTTTCTCGTTGTCGGTTAATGTTTTTCTTTGGACTCCCCACGCATGGATCCTTGTAATAAACGTCTTTTTCTTGGCAGTCCCAGGTTTCGCAGGATTTCTGGGTCGGATTAGCACAACGGATATTTTGGGCTGCGGGGGAGAGGGCCCTCGTCAGGCGCTGTAGTTTATAGCTTGGTTGGCGCTCCGAGTTTCGTTGCGTGGCTATTTGATTCGGCGCCGCGATTTCGTTAGTGCGACAAAAAGTAACTTTTTGCTGGTTTTAGCAGGATTCCAAACTTATCACGGCGTAGAGCTTCTCTGGAGCTCTCCGTAGACTTTCTAAGAAAATAGTATTTTTCGTGTAAGAAGCCACGTTCTTTCTATACTTTATCCCTTTGAGACCAAGCTATCTCCATTCTGAGCTTTTTGCATGCTTCTCTATCACATTTTGCCTTTAGGCATGCTCTCGAATCGAGGGCGCCGTGCCCTCAACGACGGTGAGTGGGCCTGCCCGGACGCGAAATGTGCCGAAGTCAACGCGGAGCGCGTGCTGTTCTGTCAGGGCTGTGGGCGATGTATGTTCTTCCTCATTTGCTTGAAATGTCCTATTTTAGCTAAACCAAAGCCAAAATCACGCGCCGGCAAAGAGTTGGGCAAGGACCAGGCCGAGAAGTCGAAGGGGTTGTTCGCTGCCGAGGACTGGATTTGCACAAAGTGAGTTTTGTTATGGGCGTTTCTTTTCTCGTAAGCATACCTGGAAATTCATGATTTCCAGATGCGGAAATGTGAACTGGGCCCGCCGCAACACCTGCAACGTTTGCAATGCCAAGAAACTGGGAGACACTGAAAGGAGGACTGGTTGGTTGCTGAAAAATTCCAGTCAAGCTCGTTGTTTAGGCTATGGTGGTGGCTACAACGACCGGCAAAACGTCGAGTACATTCAACGCGAAGACGAGGACGAGTTCGACGAGTTCGGGAGGAGAAAGAAGCGGAAGGGAGGTGGATCGGCTCCGTCTGGCGACTCGAACCTTGATTCGGCTCAACGATCGTCTGTTGTCGAGGTGCGACCGTTTTGATGGCAAAAATATAATGTTTTTTAGAAAACAGATGACGCCGATGAGGATTCACGCTCGGATCGGACTTCTAACAGTGAAGGCAGTGATGATGACGAGGAAGAGCTGGGAAAGTACGACCTGGGAGATGATAGCAAGGTTTGTGAAATTTTTACAGATTTCCTACCGAAAATCGTAAATTGGCCTCGTTCTTCACTTGATATTCTTTTTTTTAGAGTGAGGGTGATGAAGAAGAGGAGGATGAGGCCGATGACGACGAACTAGACAAATACGATCTGACTGCCGATCCAGAGATCGCTTCCGTACAAATCCCTATCCCGCCAGTGAAGCCAATTGAAGAGTGCGAATCTGAGTAAGGGGCTATTTCAATTTCTGGAATTTTCGATTTTTCAGCTGCACCTGTTCGTGTTCCGGTGGAGAGTGCTCCTGCAGCGACAGCGAATGTGAGGCCGAGAAGAAGCCCGATGAGAAGCCAACGGAAACGACCCAGGACGCTGCTGCTGGTGGACAGGAAAAGGAGCGAGCTCGTGATCGTGACAGGGATGCCGATCGTGAGAAGGACAGGAAGACTAGAAGGTAAATTATTTCAGGGAAAACTTGGTCCTGGTGCGTTAGCGGGCGGGGGAACCACTGAATTCTTATCGCCTTTACAGCCATTTTGCGATTAATAAAGAGTTATGACAACATGAAAAGAGCTTACTGCCGCAAAATTTCTACGGTCTCGGCATTTTTGAGAAAAACCTCGATTTTCGAAAATTTGCTTTTTTTAAGCTGTAGGTCTAAAAACGTAGCTAAACTGTTATTAACACAGTTTAAATTTCAGTACTCGGCGTCTATGAGAACCAAACAATGTTTTTTCGCTGTGAATCCCCCGCGCTAACCAACCAGAACCGAAAAATGTATGTATAACGAATTTTAGGTCTCGTTCCCGCGATCGGAAGCGCAGCCGTTCGAGGGACCGTGTCAGAGACCGTGACCGTGACCGTGAACGCGATCGGAAAAGGTAGGTTGAAACTGTAAGGTTGTTCTAAAATGGTAATTAAAAACATTTCTTCTTTTAGATCTCGCTCAAAGGAGCGTCGCCGTAGCAGCCGCTCCCGTGATCGCTCGCGCGACCGAGACCGTAACCGGGATCGCAGCCGTGACCGTCGTCGGGATCGCCGTTGAATTTTTATCGTTTTTGTTGGCTATGTACCCACTTTTTATTACATACCGGTTCTAGAATTATCGTGGTCTCATTTTATGTTTTTATTTATAGTTGATTGTGTTTTCAATAAACGGCTGTGTGCTTTTTTTGTTTGTCATCTGTTTTCCGAAGTTTGAGCTTCGCCGATTATCGTGAACCTTTTCATTTTGCGTTTTTCGATGTTGGTTCTGGTTCGTTCGCGAAAGGCGGGAGATTTTGAGCATGGAGAAACCATTTCCCACGCTCACCTAAACCCCGATTAATATAATTTCAAATCGTTTGAACAAGTCGATTTTAGTGCAAGCCGTCACCCAAGATGGCCGAGCCCGGCGGAGAACAACCGCGGCCAGAAGATGACCTCCCCGGCAGCAGCCAGCGTCCCCCCAACGAAGACCCGGATCGGCCGAAGGACATGTGGGATTGTCACATATGCCTCGACACCGCCCAACACGCCGTCGTCACGCTGTGCGGGCATCTCTTCTGCTGGAATTGCCTTTCGCAGTGGCTCGAGACGCGCCCCAATCAAGTGTGCCCCGTGTGCAAGTCCGTCGTCCAGGCATCAAATGTGAGGATTTTCACGGGTATTGGAAGGTTGAAAAGGGTTCTCTATCTATGCTTTTTCATCTCAAAGTTACAAAACCCTACTAAAAATACAAAAATGTGTGTTTTCGGCCCAAAATGCTCATTTTTCGACCGAAATTGTGTTTGAACGGTTTTTAGATATTTCTAGATGTTCTTGGGACTAAGGCCTGGCAAAATTGTACTAAAAATCTAATAAATTACGACAAATCTGGGCGTGTAGAGAAGAAAAACGTCGTAAAACCTTATTTGCAGGTGATCCCGATCTACGGGCGCGGCGGCGACCAATCGGACCCACGACAACAGACCCCGCCTCGTCCACGCGGTCAACGCCAAGAACCCACCCATCGTCATCAGGGACTTTTCGGTGACTTCGGAGGCGGCGGAGGTGGCGGCGGTGTGCACTTCTCGCTGGGCATTGGCGTCTTCCCGTTCGGAATCTTTGCCCAAATGATGCGCGGAGGCGGCGGAGGTGGTGGTGAAGCACAAGCCGGAGAAGCCGGAAGCCATGCCCCGCCCGGCAGCCAGAACGCCGAAGTCGAACAAATGCTCTCCAACGGCTTCTCCATCATCGCCGTACTCGCCATCGCCTGGCTGCTCTTCTTCTGAAACCGGAACTGTACAAAACTGTACCCCTTTTGTGCTTTGGCACTGGACTGTTAGCGGGGGGAAGAGCTAATTTTCTTCCTGGTAAGCCCGTACGGCCCCGATAGCGAAATAGATATAGAAAGGTGTACAAAGACTTTAAATTTTTCTTGTTGCCCAAGACTATATTAAAAAAGACCCAAAAATATACAAATCGTCAAAATTTCAATTTTTTTAATGATTTTTGTAAGTTTCTAGCAATAAACAAGGCTACTAAAGACTAAAATTAGCCCCTCCCCCAGCTAACAGTGCAGCCCCTGTGCTTCCACACTCTATGACTAGTTCCTTGCCGCCTGCGATATGCTTTTTCTGTGTCCCCCACCCACCCATATTCTCTCTAAGCTCTGAGTACACTTCTGGAAATTGTGCTAAATTGTAGTCATGTACAAACGCCCCCGTTACATCTGACGTGATCCATTCCATATTGATTTCACGGATTTACCCTATCTTCTTCTTTTTTTTTTGTTCTTTTCGATTTATACTCGGTGTTTAGTCGATTCTTCTCGTAGTCAAACAATAAATTTCAGATCTGATTAGACCTACCGGACTGCACGGAAGTCATGTCTGGTCTGCAGTTTCAAAGTAAAATTTTGGCATTTTATTGGAACTGTTTTTTTTAGGTTTTACCAACGCCGACTTCAGCGCCAGCGATCCGAATCCTGGGCAGATTGGGGATAAAGTGAGTTTCTCTTTTTTATGGATCAACGGATCCGAGGCTAGCTATTAATAAGGCTTAAATTATTTTTTGCTGTTAATTTTCGATGATTCAAAAAGTTTCAAAGCAAAAAAAATTAAGTTTTTTACCCAAAATCCGGCATTTTCATAATTTTTGGAAACCTTTTATAGCTAAAAAAGTATCGAACTGTGGTATTTTTCTTGATTTCTGAAGGTTTCGGTAGTAGGCAAATTTTTCTATTTTAGACTGAAGCTACCTCGGATCCGTCGGCGGGCCCGAAGCGCAATTTCTTCTCGTTCGGCTACTACCAACAATTCTTTGACGTTGACGCCGACCAGGTTTTCCTGATCGTTTTCGATATAAATATTTTTTTAGGTGACGAAGCGTTTGCTGAACAGTGCCATCCCCACCCACAACAGTTTTATCGCCGACTTCATCCAGCCCGTGCCTGACCTTTACGGTATTTTTTCAATACTTCCAGCCAAATTGTGCGTACTTAGATAGCGCTCAAAATGACCGCGAATGCTGCTCATTTCGCTACTTGTATAATTTTCTAGAAAGGTGTAAACGCGATATTTTCGCGCTCAACGTGACTAAAAACGGCGAAAACTAAACCATTCAGGTTTTGGTCACATTTCGAGTTTTAGAAGCGTGTAGAAAATTTAGGAAAAAAAACAGTAAAATTAGTAGTATGCTGAGATTTATGCTTTTGCCAATTTCGAACAATATCTAGCTTCCTCTATTCCGTTATTTAGGTCCGTTCTGGGTGGCGGTGACGCTGGTCTTCTCCATCGGCATCTTCTCCAATATCGCCCAGTACATCGAGAATGAGGGCGGCACCGGGGAGTACGGCTCCGATTTTGGAATGGGTTGGTTTTGGCATTCATCTTTTACAAATGCAATTTAGTAACCGGTGCCTCTTCGTTGATAACTGCCTACTTGGTGCTCATCCCGTTGATCCTCTACTCGATTATCTGGTATCGAAAAAGCGAGGTTTAAATTTTTGATCTTTCTTTACAGATTTTTAGGTTCAATTCTCGTACTTTGAGATCTTGTGCGCCTACGGCTACAGTCTCACCGTGTTCATCCCAGTTTCTGTAAGCCTAGACTTTCCTACGAATACTCTTTGTTTTTTTAGTTCCTCTGGATCATCGACATCGGCATGCTGCGCTGGGCGCTGATTGGCGTGTCGGTGACACTATCGGGCACGGTGCTGGTCAAGGCGCTCTGGCCAGCCTTCAAGAACGACTCCAACAAGCTCGTGAGTTTAATTTAGATTTTTGGAACGATATTTTCGCAAAATTTACGGAAATTACTTTTATCCAAAAGTCAGATATACATAGCAATCTAGTAGTATTGAAAAAATTTATATAGTAGATATTTAAATGGTGTTTTTGATCAATTGAGCTGTATTTCAAATCAGAGCACAGTTTAGACAGCTAGAAATGTTTAAGAATGAGAAATTTGGGGTTAAATTGAGTCTTTTTAGCGGAAAATTGATGATTTTAGGTTTAAAAAGATAATTCGTTGCAGAAAAATCTACTTCATTTAGTTGTCGTTCGGCGTCACGTTTGGCATCATCTTCTTGCACTTCGTTCTGGCCCTGTGCTTCAAGGTATCGTTGAACGCCGAATTTCAATTGAATTGCATTTTTTAGGAATACTTCTTCGACCCGATCCACGGCCGCCCCTCCACGCCCGTCGTCGTCCCGACCGAAAAGCCGGCCGACGTGATCCCGACGCTCCCGGCCAGTGTCGCTTCGTTGCCCGGCAAAGGTTCGACTACATAATTTTTAAAATATTTTTATTTTTAGTTGAGGAGCCAGCGAAGCCAAAAACCGAGGGCCAGCTCGCCGCCAACGTGGCCAACACGCTCGCCGCGGCCGGCGAGGTCGCCAAGGCTGCCGAGAACAAGACGAACGTCGATGCGGTTCCCTCACCTTCTACGACACTCTTCTCGCCGGTGGTGGTGAAGAACGACACCGAGGTGAAGAAGGACGAGACGAAGGTAGATTTTGAAGGCTTGAAAAATACAAAACTTTGAAGTTTTAACTTGACCGTTGAAACGCTTGAAAAGTGCCTATAAATAAAGTTTTTTTTCCGGCAAATCAATTTTTTACACAATGTTTTTAGCTGTTTTGCACCAATAGCTAACTAAAAGCTAAATAAAGATTGGACAAAAATGGTACGAAAAACCATGGTAATTTTCTATTTTCAGGCTGAACCTGCCGCCGTCGCGCAGTAGAGCCGCCGCCCGCCGCAACTTCTCCGTCTCGACCTGGCCCGCCAATCCCTAATGCATATTATCGGCCACATCCCCCTCGTGTTTTTTGTTGTTTCCCTCGCCATAGTGCCCTCACGTCGTGACCCTTGTACTCCACCCCATACCATACCCCGCTGACACTGTGATATCTACCCCCCCGCACTGATACTTGGTTCCCATTGGGTGATAATTCTTGCAATCTCTCTGCCCCGTTTTGTCTCTCTTTTTCTCTAGCTCTCCCTCCGCTCCTCTCTTTCTCTCGCATTTCCCCGTACCCGGGAAGCCGACGATGCTTTATGTGGTGTCCATAAATTATTGTGTACTACTGGTAATTGAAAAAACTCCAAAAAAGAATGATTTATTAAGTTTTCGACCCTCGTCTTAATATAATTTAAGGTAACGTGTTGTGGACGTCGAAGCGATAGACGTGTTTGACAATCTCTGGTCTCCATCTATGGATTCTGGGGGTCGTGGTCGGAAGTGGAGGCGGGGTTGGAACATCTTCAAAGGATCGACGCTGGAAAATGGTTGATTTTAGTTATGTAACTTCTAATTTAAGTGTTCGTTTTGACGACTGACCACAATATCTGCCAAGCCGATGCTTCTCTGTGGACAAGGGCAGTATGCGCCATCGGGACCGGGTAGAGCATCAGCTCCTGGTTCTCCCGGCGCCCCGTCGATACCGTTCACGCCCGGGTTTCCTGAATATGACTGCTCCAGACCCTCGGGAATTTCGCTAGTTAGAAACCGCAAAAAACAAAGTTAGAGTGTACTTACCTGGTGCGCCGGGCGGCCCTGGCGCTCCTTGTGCAGCTTCTCCAATCGGAAAAGCCGAGTTCCCCGGAGCGCCGGGCATTCCGGGATCTCCTGGAGGGCCTTGTGAACCCGGTTGGTTTCGGATACGACTACCAGGCAGGCCGGGCATACCGTTTGGACCGGGGCGGCCGTTTTGGCCTAAAAATAAGAATTTTTGAGACAATAGAGCCAGATTTTCTATTGATGAAAAAGAGTTATTTTTAACGTACCTGGTTGACCGTCTGGCCCTTTTGGCCCTGGTGGCCCGGCGGGACCTGGCCGAGATACAGGGCCTGCAGCCCCAGGATTTCCTGCTGGTCCCGCGGCGCCTGGCGGTCCATCAGGACCGATTGGGCCTGGGGGCCCAGCTGGACATCGGAGGCAACCATCGGAAGTCATCTAAACGCATTTTTTGATCGGATTTTCCGCTTAAAAGTTTGGCCGGCAAATCCGGCATTTTCGGCTTTCGCAACGCTCGTTTTTAGATTTTTTCTGTAGTTTAAGTCTAGAAATACTCGAACCTCTGGCCTCTGTGGCCCCTTCGATCCATGCTGACCATCTTGCCCTTGTTCGCCCGGTAGACCATCATCTCCAGGTAATCCGGGAGGACCCGGTGGCCCTGCCGGACATACTGGAGCTGCTTCACAAGCTAAAATGGCTTAAGAAATTTTTTAGCAAAAATCTACCGCACTCCGGTGCTTCTGCCGTCTCTTCCGAAATTTCCGGAACTGTAGAATATACCAATTGACGCGGGCTTCTCCGCCTTGAAGCATTGTCGGCTTCAGCCATTCGTTTCAATGCACCGTCGGCGAGTGTCTAGGGTAGTAATAAGTAATAAAAAAGGAGTATAAACGGCTTTTTAGCGCCTTGTCTTTAACTTTTTATTTACGTTTTTTTACCTGAAATTGGTGAATCTCTCTCCTCACTACGACGTCCCACTCGTCCATTTCGCCGAATATTTGACCCTGGAAATTTGGATCGGGTCTTTGCGCGTTTATAAAATTTAATGAGACCAAATTTATAGTTGTTTTTAGCGAATTTTTGATCAAAACGCACTTTTTGAATTAGCGGTTCATTTTCCTGGATTTTCCGGAATTTTTTCCATTTTTTTTTGGCGAAATAAACGTATTTCAGTTTCAGACTAAATTTTTTAAAAAACACGCTGGAAATAAAGGTAGTTTTAAGCTACTTTTAAGCGGTGAAAATCAACTTTTTAAACGAGCGGTTGCTTTCATTGAATTTCCTCGTATTTTAGCTACTTTTTGATCAAGTTAAGGTTTTTAAAACTCACAAAAATGACTAAAGCGACGATTAGCGAGAACCCGGCGGCCACCGCGAAAATTGCCAATAGCGAATCCGTGAGGAGGCCCATTCTGGGGAAGCGTTTGAAGCCGTTGGCTGTAGAAAAACAACCAGATCAACTAGGGATACCCGGCCGTTCAAGCTCAGGGCAGGGCATAACCAGTTACTTGGGGGCGATCTCGACTTTATGCCACTGCGCCGCTTGAACTTGTTTGGATAGGGGAAAAGCTGAACATGGCCGGGATTGGCATAGAGTTTTGGCGCAAGTTTTTCCGGATAAAGCAGCGCTAAAACGGAAGATATTAATTGTTCGCTCTATTTTTTTCTCAACCCTCAATCCGAAAAAGCGAAAGCTCCGAACGATCTTACGTCACGAGGCCCGGATTTCAATGAATTTTCTACCATTATAAAGGCAGGAGATTACGAGTTTGCTAGTATGCTAGTTTGAAATCTGTATTTTATTAGACGAACCGGATTTTACAAGGAATCTTATGTCCGCCTACACATTTTAAATTAAGTCAAGAAATTCCGGTGAATTTTATTGCAAAAAAGGGGCTGGATTGAATCGTGGAATTGTTGCGATTTAAAAGACTGGTTAGCGGGGATGAGTGCGTCTCCTAATTTTGTCCGAAACCTGGCTAGCTAACAACGATTATTTAGGAACTTTTTAAGGTTTCCTTCAAATTTCGAAATCGATACTCTCGAAATTTGACAAAATCGAAATTTCTGGTAGAAGCTGGGTGATTTGCCGGTAGCTTATTTTTGGTTGGCTTTGTTGGAGAATGTCGAAATTTCGTTACTCAATCCTCTATAGAAAATATTTGCCTATTTCTCACGATTTAACCATTTTCTACACCGAAATGCTACATTAATTTGCCTGGAGCCAGCGTACCCCGTGGCTACAGACCAGGCCACGCCCCTTTTCGTGGGTTATCCGCCTCTGGCCGAAAAGGGATGTGCCCCTTGAGGATTGTCGTAAATTAAATGTGGCCACAGAGCCTTTGCTAGCCTTTGAGGCATCTTCTGACAGGCCGCGCGTCCCATTTGGCGGCCCATTTGTCTTCACCCGGCAATCCTCTCAACCCCCCCACCACACACACAAACCATTCACACCACCACAACGCCTCGAATATATATTTCTTGGCCCCGTCGCGTTTCCGGTCAAAAATTTTGCTTGTTCTAAAGGGTTTGAAAGTGAATTTGTGAGCGCATTATTTTAGGGATTTCGCTTCAAACAAGATCCGGAGAAAAATTTGCTAATTTCCGAAAATTGATTTGTTTTTTGATTGCTGTTCTGGATGCTTGTCCAAAAGCGCGATAAAACATATTTTTTCGGCGGAATCGCGCGCACGCCCGCTCTCTCTCTCGCTCTCTCTCGCTCTCTCTCGCTCTCTCCCTCCCCTCTCTCTTTCTCTCTCTCCCTAGATCGCTCTCGCTCTCTCGCGCGTTCTCTCTCTCTCTCTATCGCTCTCTCTCCTTCTCACTCCCTAGATCGCGCTCGCTCTCTCACGCTCTCTAGCCCTGGCGTTCTATCGCTCTCTCTCTCTCTCTCTCTCTCTCTCTCTATATCTCTATCTCTCTCTATCTCTCTATATCTCTCTCGCTCTCTCTCCATCTGCCTCTCTCTCGCTTGCACTGTTTTGCTCACTATCTGTCTGTATCTCTGTCCCGTCGAGATCGATTTCGCTTTCTTTCACTTGCTTTCTCTCCGCTCGCTCGCTCTCTCGCACTCTCTCTCGCTGTCTCTCTCTCTTCCAAAATCCCTCAAACCCGAATCCCATTCCCCGGTTTTCATTGCGTAATCGATTCCTCGGGGACCCATGCGAAAAATAGTCGGATTTTCGGGCCGAAGCGGTGGGTACAAAGGGTATGTTGCGGGGTGGATGGGTGGGAGTATGAAGAGGATGGGTGAAGGGATACTGTAGCCCTCCCCCCTTGGTTCCCAGCCCTCCAAAAGGGGCACATCCTCCCCCTCTACAGCCCCCTCCTCTCCTGCTCCTTCTGCTGTCCCATTTGCATTCCCCCTTTTCTTCTTTTTGGTGGGAACGATGGCTCATCACTTGCCTCTCTTCCACCATCCCTTCCATTCCATTCGTCTGCCCATCCCCGCCAGGAAGAACATGACATCGATTGATTCGGACCCCCCATAGACGGCCATTTTGGCTTTTGGCTTCTTGCCAAGTCGATTAGACGGATTTTTCCGTTTTAAAGCGATTGGCAAGGCAAAAAAATATCATCCGTTTTCTACAAATTGTTTTTGAGGCTCTAATAGCGTGTTTGTGGATTTGCGATGGCAAATGTTATTTTTTATGAATTTAGAGACCCTTTCGTCTCCATTCGCTTCTTGCAAAGGCGAATGGACAGATTTTTCGATTTTAAAGGGGTTTGCAAGGCGACATCACCTCATCCTGATCGCTTATAATAATTTTCTGGAGCCATTGGGCGATTCTCGATCGAAAAAGGCCCTTTTTCTGGCGCTAAAGACACTCACGGGGGGAAAATCTTCATTAAAAACCAGGTCCTGGCTCCTTGTCAAGTCGACACAAGCCAAGCTTTTAATCTTAAAGGGCCAGTAAGCCAAAAAAGTTCATCCTTCTTTCGACTAATTTTTTTGCGGCGTCGGCTTTTATTGTTTTGCCATCTGGAAAAGCTGTTCCTATGGTTTTAATGGAGCTGGTAAGCCACAAAATTCTGTGCGATTGGTTTCTGTAACAAGAAGTCTCGGCCTTTCGGCTGCTTGGAACGTCGATTCGAGAGAATTTTTTGCGTTTTAAGGGGAGTGGGAAGGCTCAATAGTTTATCCTAGTGGCCCGACCATGTTCATCGATTTATCTAAAAAATGACATTTCTTCTTTTAAAGGCGTAGGAAGGCTAAGCAACGCTGATGAACTGAACAGAAACGAAGGAGCCGCTAGCTTTTTCTCCCATTTATCATGGCTTTTTTTAATTTTCTGGCTTGTTGTGGAGCTTTGAAGCTCTTGTTTGACACCCTATTCCTTCTGAATTTCCGCGGCCAATTCCGCTCGGGAAGTCGCTGGCAACTGACGAAAATTCCAAGCGCAACCCTGTTGGTTTAGGTCTACAGAATCCGATCAATTTCCGCCTCGGATTTCACCGAAAATTCGGTGAATTACCTCGATAAATTTCTGAAAATAAAATTTCTAGTTTATTTTGTGCCAAAAAATCGCCGTTTTTGCTCCAATTCCTATGCAGGCAGTATCGATGGATTGGCAACAGCCCGGTTTTTGGAATTTGTTTTCACGATTTCGGGGTTCCCTGCTCTCTCTCTCGCTCTCTCTCGCTCTCGCCCTCGCCCTCTTTATTTTCAACATTCCAGATATCCACCAATCTCACAGGATGGCCTCCCCAACACCAGCTGCCGATACAGCCATCACTGCACAGGAATTGAACCGATTGGCACAGATTAAGTAAGTTGAGAGGGAGAGAGAGAGAGAGGGAGAGAGAGAGATTGCGAGAGAGACATGCAGAAGGCTAGAGAAAGCCACAATTCCTCTCGCTATCTTTTCAATTGTTCATTCTACCGAGTGTAACCTTCAGAATTGGAATTGAGAAGGGCCTCGAGGCGTTTTATTGCTATCCCGAGATGGGGGGATGGGTAAACATTAAGGGGAAGGGAAAGAGAGGGACAATGGCCAGATGTGTCGACCATTTATGGGTTGAGGCAGGGAGGGGAGCACGACATTGAAGGGAGGGGAGCAGCAGTCGACACAAACGACAGTTATGGCCCCCCTATTTATTGCCGAGTCAGAGAGGGGCGATGGGCGATGGGTTGGTTGTCACGTTTTGAGTAGTTTTAAAGGGACTTGGAAGTGCTGTTTTTAAAATATTTTTAAATGGTAAATATTTCTGTCAGATTTTCCTATTCCAGCGAATAGAATTAGAGTATTACAGGCAAAAATAACCGAAAGAGAGTTAAAGATAATGAGGTGAGAGAGAGACCACGAGAGAGAGAGGAGATAGGGCGAGAGAGAGATAGAGCGAGAGTGAGAGAGAGAGCGAGAGAGAGAAAGAGAAAGAGGATGAGAGAGAGAGCGAGCGGGAGATACATATGGAGAGAAACGCAGAGAATCAGAGAATTCCTCGTTCACCTAAGATCAATTGAAGTGGATGCCTAGTGAGAGCCACTCAATCATCTGATCCTCGCGCTCTCTCCCTCTCTCTCGCTCTCTCTCTCTCTCTCTTTCGCTGTCTCTCTCTCTCCAGGGGATCTTTTTAGGGCAGGTGTTTATGGGTGGAATCAAAAAGGGCCGCATTCGAGTAGATGCCCTCGGGCCATAATGAGATTATGGCATGCGATCTGGCGAGTGAGCGAGAGAGCGACGATCTGCATCCAATCTGTCCACCACAATAGAGACCCCCGATATCTTTCGCACCATCTGAGAAAATATTATTGGGCAGAATTGGCCAATAATTCACCCTAACTGGGCTAGTAACCTTGTAAAAAGCCAAAAAATAAGGATTAAAAAAATCTATCAAAATGTACAAGAATTTTGCCTTGTTTGTACCTTTAAAAAGTTAGCCCTCCGTTTCTAGATGGAAAATCGACGACTACAAATCGAAAAAGAAGGAGCTGCTGGCGGAGGTGGCCGAGTTTCGGTGCGTATTTGCTGATTTTTTGTATTTGTTATTTCCATGATTTAATTTTCAGTTTAACAATAATTTTAAAAAAACAAAGTTTAACCCTTCAGACACTATTTTGACTTAATTTGAAATTTCAGGGCAGCGGAAAATTTCGTGCGCGAGCTCCAGGCTACCATCGAAGAATTGCACCGCGAAAAGGAGGAACACTCGGAGATTATTCAGCTTATCAACCAGGTAAAATCTATCTTAATTAAAATTAAGAACTATGCAAATAATAGTACGAGCTATAAGCTACAAATCAAAATCTACGCTATAAGCTTGTTTATAGGACAAGGTCGAGCTCGAAAAGGAGATGGACGCCGCGAAAAACGAGCAGCGAGAGATCGAATCCCGGCTCGCCTCAAAATATGAGGGATTATTGAGGTGGGCAGGGCAAATTAGCAGAGGTTCTGTGCGGAATTTCCGGTCACGGTTTTTCATCTCGCAAGCCATTTAATAAGGGCAAAATGGGCCAGCTAGGATAGATTATTTGCGGAATTCGGGAAAATAGCTTCCTAAGCCTCTAAGCTATCTTTTCAGGGCCAGAACGGGCAAGCTAGCAGTTTTTCTTGGAGGAAATTCGGATACCTGGCGTGTTTATGTGAAAACCGTCGTTTTAAGAGCGAAAATGCCAGCTAGCGGAGGCTCTTTGTGGAATTTGGGGGAAAATGGAGGCTTTTCCTTGAAGAATATCATTCCGAGATCCCGAAATGGGGCATTCTAGCAGGGATTCTTTGGGGTAATTTTGGAAAAAAGGAGCTTTTACTTGAACAATGTCTTTTCGAATACATGCAGGCTAGCAGTGATTTTCGCGGAAATTGAGGCGAATTTAGGCTTCTGAGTACGATCCAGCCAATCCCCATTTTCAGATTGATGGAGCAATCGAACGAGCGTATCCGTGAGAGTGGCCTCGGCGAGGAGCACGAGCTCAGCCAGACGGATCTCCCTCCAAATATGCCACGAGAGGCCGTCGCTACACCCTTAATTCGAGGCCCAGCTCCGTCTCCTTTGAGGGCCCTCAACCCTCTATTGCCCCCACACATGATGGGTTTTGATCAGGTGAAACTTATAAAAATAAAATAATTTCGATTCTCGAGGTTTTAAACGTTTAAAATTTGTTTTTAGAACTTTTTAGAAAGTATTAAGTTTTATTCAAAATTAAAACGATACAATAAAACTTTTAAAGTTTATTAAAAAGGCTCTATTTCCCCAACAAAATTTTTCACACTCCTTAAATTTAAATTTAAATAGTTTACCAGGGTTGAAAAGCCGCTTCGCGACTTTTCAACCCTGGCCCCGTCTCGGATCCCATACTATTCTGCCCTTTGCATAATTGTCCTCCATTCAGAAGACAAAAAAAATGAAAAACAACCCTTTCTGCCTCTTTATATAGGCGACGGCCCACTTCCGGTCTATGCTAATTATTCCTAACAAAGAGGTTTTTACAAAAACCTAAATTTAATAGCGAAAATGGCTAATTTTTAAAAATATGATATGTGTGCAGTTATGCCTAGACCATTACGCACCTAATGACGTATCATACGTAGCCTAAAACCCGCCCCTGCTTGAGATATCCTCCGGACAGACAGACGGAAGTGGATGCAAAGTGGCACACACACACACACAAACACACAAACACTACTTTTTTATATATAGTAGGATAAGATGATTTATTGCAAGTTAAATTTTTAAAATCTGAATAATTTCAATTTAGGAACTCTAAAACGCTCATAAACAAATTTAAAAATAAAAGACGATCAAAAAACAATTAAATTTCATGAGAAAAACCCTTTTGAAAACGCAAAAAAACTGTTAAATTGCCAAATAATTAAAATTTTATGAATTTTTGGCAAATTTGCAGCTTCCAGAACTTTAAAAACTATTAAATTTCTTGGGAAAAAGATTATTTCTGGGCCTAGAAAGTTCAAATTCAATCAAACAAGTTTTTCAGATGCTCCTGGGAAGGAATCCATTCGGCGCTCGCCCATCTCCACTCCCGCTCCCCCCACATCTCGCGAAAAGTGAGCACCAGAGCCCACCGATGAAGGTAGCGTTTTTCCGTTTTCATACAATTTAAGCTTTGATATACCTTTTTACGAAATTTTTCTAGACGTGCCAATCCTGTTTCCAACAAATCCACCGGAACGCCCCGATTTGCCCGATGTGCAAGAGCAAGAGCCGGTCGAAGAACCCGAAAAAGCCCAAGAAGAAGGATTAATTCTTGGAAAATTTACTTTAATATCGTTTACCCATGACCGAGACAAGTGGCAATAAATTTATTTATCTTGTATGAGTCAACAAGCATACAAAAACGCCAAAAAATTATTTTTTTAACCTAGAAATCGGGTAAAAACATCTTTAGCTCGAAAATCTCGCCGTTAAATTATCTCTGCTAGCTCGTCTTCTATGAATATTCTTCAAAAATTGTGAACTTTGATTATTGAGCGTTGAAACACACGTTAAAATAATTAAAAACCACTTCTCTCCTAAAAATCGCATGAATATCCCAAAAATATAAATTTAATTCGAAAATTGGCGGTTAAATAATCACTGCTAGCTTGCCGTCTCTGGATAAACGCTTACAAAATATAAATATCAGACATTTCTCATTATTTAGCATTATTACGCAAAGAGATTTTGGCCGCCATCGAAATCTCACGACTTTTGGCCCCCTAAAATTGAATGACACATCCCAAAGCTAAAACCCCAACCCGAATGCCCTCCCCTAATTTACGGATCCCAAAAAAACCCCGACACACCTGCCAACCCGAAGAGGAGAAGCTCCAATTTTTCAGTTGCCCAATCGAATTAGCGGCCCGGAATTTGGGGAGTTCCGCGGGAGTACTATTGACGCGTGTACCTTGTGCGCTCACCGACAAGCCCCATTATTTCATGGCACAATGATACTGGGTCAGGGCTACCGCCCCTGAAGCCTGGTTTTCGGGTGAAAAGCCATCGTTTTGCTATTGTTAGGGAGATCGGGGCTAAACGGATCTGTTTGGTGGGAAAACCGGCGTTTCCGGGCCGATCTATAGCTTTGCGGTGGCCTGAAAAGTTCGGGTTTTTCGAGCGATATTCTAGAAATCAGTTTTTTAACGTTCGCTAGAAGGTTCAGCAGGAATTTTGGAGCTTATTAGCTTCGTTCTGATAGACATAACCTTTCGAGTGCCATTAGCTGCGCTTGGATACGTCTGTATAGCTTTGTATAACGCTAGAAAGTTTGTGTTCTTTTGGGGAGATTTAGATAACTGATTATTTCGAGCGTTTCCAGAGATTTTAGCGGGAATTTTACGGCCTAGTTGCTTGGTTTTCAGCGGCTTAATCCAATAAGCTTCAATTTTGAGGAAAAAGTTCCCTAATTGGGCCAATAACGGAACGTTTTCGAGGTCGGATTAGCCAATTTGATCCCGAGATTTCATGGATTTTCAAAATGGGGTGATATTAAGTTAAAAATAGCAGTTAGCTGGCGTCTTGGAAAGTTATTTTATTAAAATTGTCCAAAACACGTTTCTGGTTATTTGATGTATCCGAGTGTTTTTCGAATCTCCCAAACTTCCACCGCTTTTGGTTTGTTCGTCCCTAAAATGCAACCAATTTTATAGCGCATTTTCGCTTTTCAGCACCCCGTCGAATGCCACCGTGGTGAAGAATGACGGTGGGCACTCACGTGGCCGAGATACTCCGCCAGGGCGTCTGGGCGTCGTTAACCGGCGGGTGGTACTACGAACCGGCCCATTCCACCTTTTGCAATACTGTAGGTTGATTACAAAATAGAAATCGGTATAAAAATCCCTGTATCAAATTCCCATCCTCAAAATTATAAATTTTTAGGTACATTTATACTTATGGATCGTGCTTCTAATCCTTCCGCTTCTCCTCGGGCTCGTTTCTACAGGTAGGTTTTTAGAAAATTTGGGGACTAAAGGGAAAAATGCTATATTTTTAATAAACTTTTTAAGGTACCCTCTCGCTGGGACTGGTCGCCGCCTATTCCACATTTATCTGCCTGCTCTTTGCCGCCATAAAAATGATTGTCGCGTATTTGCATCGGGTTTTTGACACCACGGAACCGATTATTGTTACGAAGAAATGTAAAGAAGAGGTCGGAAAACTGAATTTTCGGGGTTTTGACGATTTTTTAGAAGGAGAGGATGGACTCACGGGAGCGGCTATCTTCCACGGCCGTCCGCGGGTCCCGCAGCGGGGATCAGGGCTTTGAAATGATGGAAATGACGGAGATGAGGACCAATTCTTCGTCGCCGAGACCTGGTATTCACTCCGAAAATCCCAAAATTCCCGTTCAGGCTCCCTGGAATCGCGGCGTCGCGTCTCTGAAGTGAGCTCGAGATCCGGGGATCGTGACCGAAGACGGCATCAGCATCATCACCATCGTGTTCGGATAACGGATCACACAGACCCTTACAGGGACTACAATGATTTGTATCTGCCGGTGATTTTGATACCGTGAAAACATTCATGAAATTTTTAGGAACCCGTCCCACCGCTTGACACCCATGTTGGGGATCCCCTGCCATCGGTTAGGGAGGTAGGATAAGAAATCCTGAATTTTTGGACGCCTTTTGGCCCGGTTTCTCCGGAATTTTACTATTGACGTAAAAGCTAAATGGACCGGAAAGTATTTTGCCGCGCCGTGACACGCAGCGCCCGGCTCTTTACGTTATCTTAATTGGTCCGATCGGCGTGCGTCGTCGCGTATCGCGTCGTAGTCGGGCAAAATCAATAGGAGGATCGGCAGCTAAATGATCTTTAAAGGGCCTTTAAAGGACCGTATAAGACCTGGATCTACCGCGTCGCGACACGCAACGCTCGCGCGAACTTTTTGATTACGTAATGGTTTTCGGTCTTTGACACACGTTGCGTATCGCGGTGCGGTAAAATCCACAGTCATGCCTTGCCGCTCCCTTTAATTCTGTCAGCTCAGTCTCCAATTTCAGGCCTCCGAAATCGGCCCCTCTACATCCCTATGGGGTCAATCTCGCAACAACCGTGTCCGCTCGAATTCTCTCGGGGATCTGGAGCGAAAACACAGGCACAGGAGACGAAGCCGAGATCCGCTTCTCAGGAGGAAACAGTCAGTTTTAATGTTTAAACTGTTTTTCGGGCAGAGTACGAGACAATACGCTTGATACGATACCTTCATTTAGCCCTCTAGCCGACGTGGATCTGGACAGTCCACCACACGAAGAGGCACCCATGTGGCCGCCGGATGTGGAGCATGATGAGGTACGGTGGTGGATTTTTGCTTTTAAAGGACTCATGCAGTGAAAAAAACTTGATTTTTGGATTTTCCCGAGCGTTGAAAGGAGTGATTAAGTCCATGCATCGACCCATGGAATCCACTAGGTGTCGACAAATCCAGTCATTTCGTGTTTTTCCGGCCAACTGTCGAGACCTAGCCAGGATAAGGGGTAGATTCTCGCGCTTCCTGTCCCCTTTAAAGGCCGGCGCAGCTGGAAAGGCAAAGTCAGAATTTTTGCGCAGTTTTTGGGTTTCTGGGACCCTTAAAGGAACGCTGAAGTCCAAGAATCGACCCCGGAAGTCGAATAGGTTGAAGAAAACTCTTAACAACGCGATATCGTTTTTTTCGCTAGACCTAATCAACAGAAAGGGTTTTGCTCGCCTTTCCGATCCCTTAAAAAGTGCTCAGAACTTCTGAGTCAGAAGTGAATATTAGCCTGCACCAATTTCTCAGGCGTTTAAAGGGACTAGAAAATTCTAGAATCGACCCCCTCGGTAGCTAGGTGTCGATAGTGCGTATAGTCTAGACCTAGCCGATAGCAGGGGGTCGATTTTGAAGCTTTACAGTACCTGAAAAACTGCATTTTTAGCCTCAGAAAAAGCGGCGTAAGAAGCGGAGACCCCGTGCAAAGTTGGCTTCCGAGCGTCCGTATGAAATCGTGGAAGGCGGGAGGATTGTAACGATTGAAGATGAGACCGTTGGAACGTCTACTGGTAATTATCGTAGTTTATGATTCTGTATCGTCTCGGATAAAGCTAATTGTCTAAAAATCGATAAAGAAATTCCTAAAAATTCTACGTTTAGAAGGCACGAACGCTGAGAAAGAGGAGCTGGAGAATGAGGAGGCAGACGATGAGGAGACGCTGGAGGAGATCGAGATGGAGGAGATGATGATCAGGGAGATGGAGGAGAAACAGCGAAAATCGAGGCCAATCCCTCCACCACCACAAGAAGATGCTCCACCACCACCCAATGTCGCTCCGGTCATTATTAGTAGCAGGTAGGTGTCGAAAAACCTCAAAATCACGATTCAGCAGCGAGGAGACGGAGGAGGATGAGGAAGTCGAAGAAGAGGAGGAAGAGGCTGAACCGGTAGAAGACGCCGGAGAGGAGGGAGATGATCAGGCAACGGAGGAGTTGGAGGAGATTCGGGAGGAAGAGGAGGAAGCGGAAGATGAGGCAGAAGCCGAAGTGGAAGGAGCTGAATCCAGTACGAAAGACGGCCAACTTACGACTGCCAAACCGGAAGTGAGTAGAAATTTTTTGAGGGCTATCTAGCAGAGATTATTGCGGAGAAAATGACCATAAAGGGGCGGGGCAGCTAGCAGAGATTCTAAGGGATAAAACCCAAAAAAATTGCGATTTTTAGGCTGGCACGAGCTCAGGCTCAGCGGCATGGACCCCGGTTGTCGTGTCATTTTCGTCTTCTGATGAGAGGGCTGGGCCGACGTTGCATCGAGCTGCTGATCGGATTTTGCAGGATGATCAGGTTCCCAGTGAGTTGAGCGAGAATTTTTCTCTCTTTCACTCTCTCTCTCTCTCGCCCTCTCGCACACTCCCTCTCTTCATCCAAAATTTTCAGGCACTTCCACGGACCCAACCCCCGATCTGAAAGTGGAGATCACTCGCTTCCTGGAAGATTTGATCGATAAGCACCCGGAGACCTTGGATGCAATTGAGAGTGTGAGACAGAGCAGAATGAGGGGAAGGGCTCTGCCTTCGAGGACACATGCCACACATCCACATATCGCACGCTGGAGCGGGTAGGATTTTTGGGCATTAAAATTTGTTTAAAAGAGCGAGAGAGAGAGAGAGAGAGAGAGAGAGAGATAGACGTAAATTTTCTATATTTTTCCAGCTCCCGCCGTGCCCAACAACGCGAAGCCCTCAGCGCCCTCTCCGATCTGACAATTCGTGACGGGACCCATATAGCGTCAGGCCATGAAGATACGACGCAAGGAGCGGTGCGTCGAAAATTAGGAGTTTCAAAAAAATCGAAATTTATTCAACTTGGGTCCCCCCGCTAACAGTCTAGTACCCAAAAAACCAAAAAAATTCCAATAGACAACTATCGCCGTCCATTTGCAGATCCACTCATTCCAAGATGAAGACGGCAATTGGTGGACCTATGCCTTTGATGAGAATGGAGTTGGAACGGCCCAAGTATTGGGATCTGGAAAGGCACTGAGGGATTTGTTATCCACTGCCCCGCCACCACCTACAAAAAGATTGGAGGTACGGCAGAGGGCCACTTTTACTCGTTTTTTTTGTGTTGTTTTAGCCTTGAACCTTGGTTTTTCTAGGCGGTGAACGAGTCGCCGGATGACACGAGCGGAGAAGAATCGCCACATCCGGAACCGGAACCCGGGCCGTCACGCCGGAATACCGAATCCACGTCGAAGAGCCAGAGGTGGGTGTTGTAGTCTGTGGCGTATAGCCGTAGTACGAAACGGTACTACGAACGTATCTCGGCGTATGTGGATAATTCTGACTTGTGGATAATAACGCTTTGTACTTTGTAGCCTACCGTACCAGACCCACAAACTACAAAAGGCCCTTTTCTAGACAAGCCCCTTCCGGCGGCACACGCTCTCGTGCGGCTTCCTCTTCCTCCACAGAGAGCCAAGCCTACATAGCCGGTGCCCCATCCACCGTACTGCACGCCGGGGCGACGTACGTGGCCGCGTCGCGTAGCGCGTCGCAGCCACCGCGAAGCATCCAGCAGGCACAGGCACACGTTCTCTCGATGGCTGCACATCGACTGCGGGCTGTTTTGAATCATGAGAGGTGAGATTTGGGAGTAAAGGGATTGTGAAGGTAAAACCGGGATTTTTGGCTTTAAAAATTAGATAGAAGGAATACTGCCTAAAATAGGTTTTTCCAAAAAGAAAAAATCTAAAACTTGCGCTTAAGAGTAAGTTTACCTAACAATTTTAATTCGGAAGATATGGAAATTACAGTACCTGGCGGCCTCCTAAAAACCAAAATAAATCATAAATTTTGCCTTCTAGGGTCCTTTAATTCGCCTACTACCAAAATAAAATGTACGTAGAAAAGCGTATAAAAAATTTTTGCCTTCTCAGACCATTTAAACCCCAAAAACCCCCACAATTCCAGCCGGGACCCCACCTACGAGCGAACGCCCCGCGAGGAAACACATATGCGATTGGAGAGGCCATTTTATGAACTTAACGTAAGGATAGAATCCCTATTATTGACGCGAATTCAGAACCGGTTACGCCAGCTAAACCGGCTGGACTCGACGCATTCTACCGGCTCTTCCTCGTCTCGTTTCCGGTTGCTTTCCGAGTTAGGAATTGCCCCACCGGTACCGGGTGGTGGACAATCACAACATGCATCACTACCACCCATCGATCCCGGCACTTTCTTTACGGGTACGGTGGATGGGGCACCGGATAGTTTTCAGAGGTTTTAAAGGGGCAGACAAGGCAGGAATATGGATTTTGCCGCGCCGCGAAGCGCAACGCACGCGGCGCTTTGTCTTTACAAATAAATCGTAATCGATTACGCAAGAAAGATTGCGTAGGCGTTGCGTGTCGCGGCACCGTGAAAACCCCTCGATAAAGAGGGAGAGAGAGGGAAGAGAGAGAGAGAGAGAGAGAGAGAGAGCGAGAGAAAGAAAGACAGACAGACAGACAGACGTCCAACCTGGCCAGCCAACAGAAACCATTTAGGAATGGGCTACACCCGTCGCCCGTCAGCAGCTAAAAAAACGTACTACTACAAGTTGAAGCTGATCCCGAGATCCGAGAGGACCTACAAGGTTAAGGTAAGTGACCCTCACTGGCGGGATTAAAAAGGCCAGAAAGACAAAATTATCAGATTTTTGCTATGGATTCGTCCTGGGATTTTTCTGTAGCCGCGTGATACGCGCGCGGACTCACAAGTGCGTTGCGGAACCGACAGCGTGCGTGTCGTGTCGCAGGTCGTGTCGCAGGCGCGCTAAACTTCAGCAACCTAGTGAAAACGACCAATTTCAGCTTGACCGTCTCCAAGTCGTCGCCCTATTCGATCGCCCCCGTTCCATTTATGCGGCAATGTTGGATATTTTCCTGGCGTTGGCCGTGTCGTTGCTAGCTGCTCAGGTTATATCAAAGGTATCAAAAATTCTGCTTTTTTCTGAATTTGCTAAAATTTTTAGGGAATCTACCACGATATAAATCTCTTCGCCTTTGCATTTGTCGTCGCCGGGTCTCACGTGGGTTTTTAGGTTTTAAAATAAGCTAAGAATTAATAAAAAGCTATTTAAAATATTCAGACCGCTTTGAAAAATCAAATTTCGAATTTAAACTGTAATTTTAAAATGTCACATTTTTTAAAAACTTCCAAATTAAAACAGTTATTTTAAGCGATTTGTAAAATGTTCTTAAGGGCCTTTAAGTATATGAATATTTTTTTATGCATTTTTTACAGTTTTCCATGCTAAAATCCGTGCAACCCGACGCCGCCTCGCCGATTCACGGGTTCAATTGGATCGTCGCGTACAGGTGCGTGACTTTTTCGGATTTTAAAGGGTCATTCAAGGCAAAAATCTCTGGATTTTGCGTAAAATCCAATTTCCAGCCGCCCGATCTACTTCTGCATTTTGGCCTCGCTATTGCTGTGGCTGCACAGCGCTGCCGGGGTCCAGCCCGATGATGAGAGACCGTGGAATTGGAATTTTTACAAGTAGGTGGACGAGGGAGAGAGAGAGAGACAGAGAGGGAGCGAGAGAGAGAGAGAGCGAGAGCGAGAGAGAGGAGTGAGAGAGAGAGAGCGCGAGAGAGATAGAGAGAGGAGTGAGACAGTCAGAGAGAGAGGAGTGAGAGATGCAGAGAGAAAGAGGCGAGAGCAGAGAGGGAGAGAGAGAGAGCGCGAGAGAGATAGAGGGAGGAGACAGTCAGAGAGAGAGGAGTGAGAGATAGCGAGAGAGAAAGAGAGCGAGAGCAGAGAGAGGAGTGAGAGAGAGAGCGCGAGAGAGATAGAGAGAGGAGTGAGACAGTCAGAGAGAGAGGAGTGAGAGATAGCGAGAGAGAAAGAGAGAGAGGGAGCCAGAGAGATAGAGAGAGAGGGAGCGAGAGAGATAGAGAGAGGAGTCAGAGAGTCAGAGAGAGAAGGCGAGAGAGAGGAGTGAGAGAGTGAGAGAGAGTGAGAGAGATAGCGAGAGAGCGAGAGAGAGAGCGAGAGAGAGAGAGACCGAAATATTCATTTTTTGCAGCGTCCCTTGGAACAACGCGTACATCCTCCTTTCCATTCGAGACCTTGTCGCCACTGGAATCCTGTTTCTCCCCGTCGCATTTACGATTGGATGGCTTCCGCAGGTTAGATCGGCTTTGTTGTCTAATTTCCATTTTTCGTAAAGCAAATCCAAGGCCTTTGCGCCTTTGGAAAAATGGCAAATGCTAAATTTTGGATGTTTAGATCAACACCCTGTCCCTCCACATCCTCGAGCAGATCCAGATGCACTTTTTTGGTGCGTAATTTGGAACCTGATGGAAATTTTGGTGTTTTCCAGGCGGCACAGCCTGTACATCGGTGTATTCCGCGCTGCTCCAAATTGCCATCTCTCTCTTTACGTGGTCCGTACTGTCGGCCGGGACGTACTGTGCGCTAACGGTAAGTTTGGCTGGGGAAGGCGTCAAAATGCAGAAACACAGAGTTTTATCGGCAAAAATTTGATATATTTGAACAGTTTTTCGCAAAACAATTCCAGATTTGCAAAACCGCAAATTTTGCAAAATACCGCAATTTCGCGCAGATTTGAAACGGGCTGGAAATGTGGTAAAAACACCTAAAATTTAATTTTAATTTAATTCCAAATTTTGTTGTTTTGTTCCGAACTTTTCCAGTTAATACAAATGTTAAAAATTCAAGTTTTTCTGCAAAACACGTATTTTTGCTTCCCAAATTCCAATCAAAAATCATAAACTAGAAAATACAGTAAATTTTAAAGGTGAGTCATGCAAAAATTTTTGTTTTTTCGAAAAAAACGGATCGAAAAAATCGAATTACAATAAATTTTTTAAGCTTGATTTTTTCATTTTTAGGTTGACTCAAAATCGACGCAAACGGTGAGCTTCTCGATAATGTCGGCCATCACCGTGGCCATGTGCTTCCTGTTGAGCAGGTATTTGACCGTTTTTACGATTTTTAGCTACCGTATCATTTTCCAGACTCCCATCTGCGCCAATTTTTATGAAGTTGGGCGTCGCTCCGCTGAAATGCAGCCTTTTGGATGAGAATTTCGACCCGGACGACCAATCCGATCATTCCGGAAGTCGACTCCTTTGCACCAGCAAATCCCGGCATCCCGTCCAGGAGGCTCAGCGTCGGTTTTTTTTGCTTCTAAATGTTATGATAACATTGTTTGGCTTGAAATTTTTACCATAAAATTAGAGCACTAAAAGCTAAATTCTCACAAAGTTCCAGCGCGTTCTATGCTATAATAAAGAAGGTAGCGCAAAAACACGGTTTTACAACGTTTTGGTACCGTTTATGACTGTATTTTCGTAGTCAAAATCAAAAATTGCGACGTTTTTGCAAATAGATGCAAATAGAGAAATACCGATCAATTCTTATTGATTTTTAGATAGAACATTAATGGCAAAAATAGGTTTTTAACCCTTCGAAATCAAAAATAACCCACCTTACTTTTGCCATAACTTTATTTGGCAGTATTTTGGCCGGTCATTTTGTGTGTAAATAGTTTATGTACGTAAAAATCCATTATAAAATTTCAAGCCGATCCGAGATAACCTGAAAAAGTTAGATTAATTTTTGCGAACTTTCGAGTGGTTTTTTGTGTCCATTTTTATCTAAACTTAGTTACGTGATTTTCAGCCGATGACTGGATCGACGATTCGGCTTCCTCCCCGCGAGCCTCATCCTCTCCCCTCCCCCATTCCCATCATCTGCAAGAAGATCCCCTGCCGGCCCTTCTCTCCCAAACGATGTCTCTCCGAATCCGCCATGATCTTTTGTTCTCCTTCATTCTTGCCCTCATCGTCTTCGCCCTCCATTCGACATCGTTGTTCACGGCTACGAGTCCATACTTTACTGTAAGTTATTTTTGCATACTGTAAACTTGATTTAGTTTCTCAAAATTCTCGGAAAAGCTTAAAAATTTGTAAAACTCCACTAAAAATCATGTTTCAGCTCGCGATCTCGCTGGTGGCCATCTTTTTCGGGATTTTCAATCACTATCTCTACGTTCAGCTGCGGACGCATAATCCGTGGAAATTGGTAAGCGGAAAGAGAGAGAGGGAGAGAGAGAGCGAGAGAGAGACAGGGAGCGAGAGAGAGAGAGAGAGAGAGAGAGAGAGTGAGAGATGGAAGGAAGGCTATAAAAATAGAGTCGGCCTGAGGGCGAGATCGAGCGAAAGAAAAAGAGAGAATGAAAGAGTGCGAGAGTGCGAGAGCGCGAGCGAGAGTAAGAGCGAGATAGGGAGAGAGAGAACGAGAGAGAGAGCGAGAGCGAGAAAGAGCTCATTTTCTTTTTTCCAGCTAGCCCGCCCACTCCTAAAATCCGCGGAATATGGTCAATTCGAGAGCACGAAACAGGCGCATTTGATGTGCTTTGAGGTGGCGCACGTCTGGTCCGGGATTCTGGAGCGAAATGTGGTACGGTAGACACTATTTTGTTAATGAATTTTGCAGCCCACTAGCCAAAGTTCGCCATTTTTTAAGGTGTACCCCCTGCTCGTCGTTTCGACGATCACCGAATACGGCTGGCGCATACCGTATCCCGTCGTGTTTTTGCCGCTTTTTTGCATAAAAATTCTCAGGTAATAATTTAGTTTTTTACTGTATTTTTACGTACTGTTTTTGCTCTATTACTTTTAGTATGTTAAAATTGACATTTAGAACGGGATACTGTGCCCCTCAAGCCCTCTACATCCCCCTCGGCCTCTCTTTTCTGCTGGCCCGCTTCGATTGTGTCAACTCGTGCTCGATTCCGTTTTTCCCGCAATTGGTAGGTTGAAAAACTCGAAGCACTACTATTTTCCCCTTATAGATTTAGATAAAAAGCGGAGATACCGTAATTTCTAGACCTCCCTAACGGACCTGTTCCCGATGGTGTTCCTCACCTTTGCCGTCATCTACCCGAAATGGCACGAGTTGTACTTGAAGTTGTCATTCGTACTCGCCTACGTCGCGCCATGGCAGATTAGGTGGGCAGTGGTTTTAAAGGAGCATTGAAGACAAAAAGGCGGGGGAGAGAGAGAGAGAGAGAGATAGAGAGAGAGAGAGAGAGAGGGAGAGAGAGAGAGAGAGAGAAGAGAGATGGCGAGATGGCGAGATGGAGATAGGGAAGGTAAGAGCGAAAGAGAGATAATGAGAAAGAGAGAGATAGAAAGCTAGAGAGAAAGAGAGAGAGAGAGAGAACGATAGAGTGCGTCAGATGGCGTGAGAGAGAGGGCTCTAAAGACCTGAGAGAAAAAGACAAAAATGAAACGATTTCGCTAGTTATACAAAAAGGGCCGTGGCCTATCGCTTCTACGTCCATTTAAAATGATTTTACTCCACTAAATCCCCTTATTTCAGTTGGGGCAGCGCATTCCACGCCTTCGCCCAGCCGTTCTCGGTCCCTCATTCGGGCATCGTCTGCATCCAGACACTGTTCTCCTCCCTCGTCTCGGCCCCTCTGAATCCATTCCTCGGCTCCTCCTTCTTCCTCACCTCCTACGTGCGCCCCGTCAAATTCTGGGAGCGCGACTACAACACGAAACGGGCCGACGCGTCGAATACGCGGCTCGCGTCGCAGATTGATCGCGGGCCGATGATCGGTGAGTGGCTAGAGTTTTTTAGCTTGTAGTCTAGATCCGCCAGATTCTGTTTTTGTAGCTTGTAGCTTGCAGTCTCGGCCACTAGGGCTTGTTTTTTGTAGCCGTTAGCTAATAAATTTTGCACTGTGTAGTTTTGACCTGTAGTTTTGACCCAATAGCTCGCGTAGTTTGAAGCCTATAGCCGAGATATTCCGTATTTTGTAGTCTATAGCCGCTGGGTTCTGTAGCTTGGAGTCTGTATCCAATAGATCTCGTAGTTTGCAGCTTCTCCGATCTTTCTGTAGATTTTTTTTGTGAATTTTCTACATTGTAGCATATGGTTTGTCGCTTGTAACCTGTATTTTGTAGTCTGTAGCCGGTTTGCATTTTTAATTTTGTAGCTTCTAGCCACCTAACGCCAAATAAAAGGCTACCTTTACGTTTGTAGCCTGTAGTTTAAGCTCTGCCAAACCATGTATTTGTAGTTTGTAGCCTTTCACTTGGAGTTTATAGCCTGTGGTCGATCGATTTCTAAAAATTGACGATGTTCCTGCATCTGTAGCTTATAGCCAACCTACGAGCGACTTTCCGAGCTTTTGGTCTGCGGTTTATAGTCGAAAAATTCCCTCTTTTCCAGACGACTCGAACCTGAATGCCGTCTTCTACGAGCACCTCACCCGCTCGCTCCAAGCCAGCCTTGCCGGGGATCTTCGCCTGGGACGATGGGCCAGTACCGTACACCCGGGGGATTGCTTCATTTTGGCTAGGTACGGTGCTGGAATCGCCGTACGGGGTTATGCTTTGTAGTAAAAAAAAACAGAAAAAACGAAGTTTTTAGCTTCTACCTGAACTGCCTGGTGCACATCATCGAGGTCGGGAACGGGTTCGTCACGTTTCAGCTGCGAGGGCTGGAATTTAGAGGGACATACTGTCATCAGAGAGAGGTAAGTAATGGAAAGTAAACGATATTTGTATCTCCCTCACGTTCTGGCTCTCGCTTTCTCTCACTCTCTCGCTCACACATCCTCTCGCTCTCTCTCACTCTCTTTCTCACACTCTCTCGCTCTCTCTCACTTTCTTTCTCGCACTCTCTCTCTCTCTCTCGCTCTCCCTCTCACTCTCTCTTTCTCTATATCTCTTTCTCTCTCTCTCACTCTGTATCTCTCTCTGTACCTCTCTCTCTTTCTCTCTCGCATACTCTCTCGCACACACTGTCTCTCCACCCCCATATTTCCAGGTGGAAGCCATCAGCGAAGATTCCTCCGATGGTGCGGGTTGTTGTTGTTGTTCCCCCGGCGCCCTCCCCCGGTTTCCTCTCCCTCAACACTGCCTGGACGCTACGGTAGTTTTTCCAAAAATTTTATTTCTTATACCTCCCTTCAGCTGGCTAGCCTGGGAGGTGACAGCATCGAAATACATCATTTCCGGATACTCGATCACCGACAATTCGGCGGTCAACCTGCTTCAAGTCCACGAACTGCGTCGACTTCTCGTGTCCCTGTTCGTCAAGTGTATCATCTACTTTGCCATGAGGGCTGGGAGATTACGATCTTGGCTGACGAATGATACAATACAGGTTGAACATAGGGCTTTTGAGAGGCTTTTCTTATCCTAACAATAAGACCGTTTGAAACAATGATAAATCACCAAAAATTCCGTTTCAGACCTCTTTACACCCGATCGAATCTCGGACCGGATATGCCGATGTGGACTCGATGTTTTGCCAGCAAAATGATGAAGATTATGATCCAACTTGTCAGGTGGGAGAGAGCGATAGCGAGAGAGAGTGAGAGAGTGTTAGCAACTCTATAAAAAGCAAAGCACAAAAGCCTAAAACAAGGCGAAGATGCGAAGGGCGGGGCCTGGCTAGGGCCAAGGCCCAGGGATCACCTTCAGGGAGTCCGTACCCCCCTTGTTATATCCTTATATATATGTGTTAGTTTATGGATATAGCGTGTGTGTAGTCCTCTGTTCTCTCAGGGAACGTGTAGCTGTGTGTAGCACTGCACTAATTAGATTCAAACCTCCTCTGTAATAGCTCTTCCCAAAACTCCGATCTCAAGAACAAAGCAATTTGGTCTGGGAGTACAAAAAGGGAGTTCACAACGTGTTAGCGGACGCGCTGTCACGCCATCCACCGGATCCAGAGGAGCAAAAGGAAGAGATCCATGCCCTAGATTCCGAGGAACTCCCGAACCCAGAACAGATCCGCGAAGCCCAGGGGAAGTGCAAATGGATAACTGAAATCCTACGGACAGCGACCGTCAAGGGATATGAGCCGGAAGTGAAATCGAAGAAGGTCACGGAATGGCAGCAGCGCTATGTTGTGCTAGAAGGAATCCTTTATACAAAACCGAAGGATCAGCTGACTACGCCGACGGTGGTTCTCCCGGAAGACTCGAAGTGGAACGAGAATATCATTCGTCATTTCCACCAGCGACCACATTTGGGCGCACATTCTGGGAGCGAGCGCACTTCAAAGCTCGTCGGGCAAAAATATAGCTGGAACGGACTGAAACGACAAACCGAGAAATTCACTGCCGAATGCAAAGAATGCCAGAGAAGAAAACCTGGACCCCACCTGACACAAGTGCCCATGGGCCGCTTTGAACCAGCAGCCCGGCCTTGGGAACGAGTGCACGTCGACATTTGCGGCCCATTGCCGCAGACGGAAAGGGGTCACCGCTACTTCGTCACAATGGTAGATGCGTTTTCGAAATACGTCGTGACGAAAGCAGTGGCAGACACGAGAGCGGAAACAGTCGTGCGTACTCTGTACGAAGAATTGTACACGAAATACGGATTTCCGACGTTGCTTGTCTCGGACAGGGGCTCCAGTTTCATTGCAGAACAATTCGAAGAAGTTCAAAAACTCTTCGGCATCAGGCACAACTTGTGCCCGGCCTACGTCCATTCTACGAATGGGCAAGTTGAGCGAGTCCATCGCACTCTGGAGGAGCTGATGGCAACGGTTATGGATGAAAGAAACCTACCAAAAACGGAATGGGATCGGTACCTCCCATTAATCACGTTCGCTCACAACCGAAGCATCAACAAGACGACCAACAAGGCTCCATATGAGGTTCTATTTGGGAAAAGGCCGGACGATCCGGAGGATTTTCTGAAGGAGCTGCCAAGATGGAACTACACCACAGTAGACGATTATTGCGATATCCTCAAGTCCTCGTTGCCGCACATCTGGGATGAAGTCAAATACCGGATCTCCACGGCACAGCCGGAAATGAAGCAATACCAAGACAAGGTAAAGAAGGCCAAGGAGAGAAGCTACGCTCCCGGACAATTGGTGATGATCAAGAACGAGACGGCGCACAAACTCGGACCACAATGGGATGGTCCGTACGAGGTGCTTCGAGAGGAGGATACGACTGTGGAGCTCAAGGGCCGTACCCGACGTCAAAAGCTCACGGTACACAAAAACCGTATCAAGAGCTTTCGAACCGGGATCGACAATGGAGAAGTAGACGAGGATGGAGAGATGAACGATTCCGCTCTTGCGGAGCGCGCCTAAAGTTCGAGGACGAACTTTTCTCGGCCGCGAGGGATGTTAGCAACTCTATAAAAAGCAAAGCACAAAAGCCTAAAACAAGGCGAAGATGCGAAGGGCGGGGCCTGGCTAGGGCCAAGGCCCAGGGATCTCCTTCAGGGAGTCCGTACCCCCCTCTCCCTTGGCATCTTCCCCGCTATGTTTCGTTTTCATATTAAGGTGCTATAAAAGGTCTAGTCTATAATTCTGTCTTCGGAGGAAAATGCACAGTCAGGTTGGTCGATTGCTTGCGGACTTTGTTCTTGAGATCGGAGTTTTGGGAAGAGCTATTACAGAGGAGGTTTGAATCTAATTAGTGCAGTGCTACACACAGCTACACGTTCCCTGAGAGAACAGAGGACTACACACACGCTATATCCATAAACTAACACATATATATAAGGATATAACAAGAGATGGAGACAGCGAGAGCGAGAAAGACCGAGAGAGAGAGAGAGAGAGAGAGAGAGAGAGAGAGAGAGCGAGAGCGAGAGAGCAAGAAACAGACAGACACAGACAGAGAGAGACAGCCACAGAGGGAGAGAGAGCGAGAGACAGCTAGACAGTGAAGAGTGAGAGCAAGACAATGAGGGTGTGAGAGAAAGAGAGAGAGAGAGAGAGCGAGAGAGAGAGTGAGAAAAAGCAATAGATTTCTTCTATGATATTTTCATTTTCAGGGCATTTCTCGCAATTCCTTTTCTTACCTCTACTCGGCCTGGATCGACTATTGCCTCAAAAAACGTATGGAGGCGGATGGGTACTGTACTACCGTAACCTCGGCATTTTCCCCCTGATTCTAGAGAGCTAGAAGTTGTTGGGGATCGCATCTTCGCGTTCTGCTTTGCGGCCTCACTTCTCGGAAGAAGGGCCCTGGGTGCTGCTGCGTACAATCGACACTCCACAGCTGCCGAATCGTTCCTCTACGGTCTGCACGCGCTTTTCAAGGGCGATTTTAGGTGAGAAAATCAGTTGAAAAATAATGGAAAAAGGAAAATAAATCATTTACGAATTTTTTTGAGTTTTCTTGGTCTGAAAAACGCGTTTTTGAGGGGAAGATGGCAAGGATTCTTTCAAAAAATTGGGTTGGAAATTGTTAGCAGCATCGGGATGCTAGCGGTGATTATTTAGGAAATTTTTAGGGCTGGACGAGAGACGAGAAACGCCTTGGCAGGCTACCAGAGACCATTTGACCCCAAGAATTTCTGGCAAAAAAGCAAAAAACGGGCAAACTAGCCAGGATTCCTGAGGAATTTATGGATTGCCAGTATAATGAGAGGGCCGGGAAAAAGATGCGCATTTTTTATGATGGGCTATACCTAAGCACCTCTCTCTCTCTATCTCTCTCTCTCTCTCTCTCACGCTCTCTCTCTCTCGCCCTCTCACTCTCTCGCTAATTCCAGGGTGACATGCCAGCGGGATGAATGGGTGTTTGCCGACGTCGAGATCCTCCGTTCTGTCATTGCCCCGGCCGTCCGGATGGCGCTCAAGCTGCACCAGGTATTTTTAGAAAATTTGCCAGTCTTGCCTGCCAGAAAATTTTTAAAATCTATTTCTAAATCGAATTTTTTTCTATTGGGAAATCCAATTTTTAGGACCACTTTGCGGCGGCCGATGAATTTGACGACGGGGAGGCGATGTATTCGATGTTGGAGAGTCATGAGGCACAACTTTTTATTTCACATGAGCATGATCCGGGCTGGAGACAGGTGACGATTTTACGTATTAAAAACGAAACGCGGTGCGGAGCATTGAATTTAAGAGAAACTTTTATTTTTAGAAAAAAAACGAACTTTGATAAAACTCGAACTCCTAGGCGATCCTGGCCAACACCCCATCCCTGCTCGCCCTTCGCCACATTTACGATGATGGCCAGGATGATTACAAGATTATCATGCTCAACAAGATGCACCTCAACATGCGGTACGTCAATGGTTATAAAATTGGGTTCTTTTGCATTAACGGAGAGCCCGATTTTTTGGAAGAATCGAATTTTTAAATGTAGATAGAGGGTTTTCTAAGTTGTTTTTACTGTTACTAGACGTAAAAAAAATTATGAATTTTCGTTACAAAAATACAAAAATAACGATTTTCGACAAAAATTTTGAACCAAAAAATTTTTCTTAGTGTTTCTATCTAAAATTTTAAATTTTACGACAAACGCTATTAAAAGTCTTGTAAAATACTAGCCATTTTGGAAGTTATAGAAAGAAATTCTGCCCCCCCCCGATAGTGGAAAAGAACCCGCTTCAATGTTTAATCTTTGTTCAACCCGATCATCTACCCCCTTTCCAGCGTGATCAAGCTGAACCGCGAGTGCGTGCGCGCCTTCTGGGCGGGCCAGCAGCAGGAGTTGATCTTTCTGCGAAACCGAAATCCCGAGCGCGGCTCGATTCAGAATGCCCGGCAGGTGTTGAGGTATCATTTTCTACTACTTTCCGCTATTTGGAGCCCTTAGAAACATGATCAACTCATCGGCCGATCAACCAGTCGGCTATCCGATCTACGTTTCACCGCTCACCACATCATTCGTCGAGACTCACCCACAAATTCGGCAAGTACAGGGGCCGCCATTGACGCTGCAGGTAAAAATTACGCCTTTGAAGTATAATTTATACATAAAACTCCAAATTACGTTTCTCTAGGGTATCGGCTCGTTCCTCGGACGCTGCTGGGACGGGCTTCTGTCGCACTTCGGAACGTCGGTCTCCTCCCAGCCTCCACCATCCAACGCATCCGGCACCCAGATGCCCGCCAGTGGACCCGCCGCAAATATTTCGGGTACGGTGGAGAGGGCATGAATTAGGAAAACCACAAAATCGATCGAAATCGTTTTTTAGAAAAATTTCACAAAAATCGCAATTTTCATCAATTTCGTAGCCGTTTCCGGTTGTAATTCTACTAAAATTTAGTCTATTAGATAAGTAAAATCTGGAAATAATGGAAATTGTTCAAATTAAGCAAAAAAAAAGAATATCGAAGTTCGTTTACAAATAAAGGGTTTAAAAACGCCAAAAATCGATTGAAAAGATTTTTTGGAGCAAATCAACGAAAATCGCATTTTTTACCAATTTCGTAGCCGTTTCCGATGTTAATTTTACAAAAATATAATCAATTATGTGAAGTAAAAATGGTTCAAAAAGGGAGAGCTAATGGGAAATTTGGAAAGTAGGTGTAAAAAAATCTAAATTTTGCAAAAATCAGGTTTTGTTTTATTTTAGTCGCCATTTCCGGTTGTGATTTTAGAAAATCATAATTTTGTTTAATCAGTAAAATATTAGAAATGCCTAGATCAACGCGAAAAATTAACTACAAATTCGAGGAATCCTTTCTAGCTCCCCCAGCCCCACCAACACGCCCGCTGGCCACCGTCCACAATGACAACCAGGAGCCCGATCGGATCAGTTCCGGCAGCAGCCAGGTAAAACTGGTTACAAAACCCAGGGATCACCTTTTTTAAGCACGAACAATCAGTGGTGCTCATGATGGCTGATGGGTCAGCGAAAGTGAGCCTCGCGCGACCGAGAACCATCTCTTCTCCTCCACTACCCCCCCAAAAATCTCCAAGAATCCGTCAAAAGCGACGCGACCACCGAGTCGAAAACTTCGGCAGACAGCCTCGAGGCCGTCCCCGGGTCTTCTGATGAACGTCAGACTTCTGGGGAGGGGAAATCGCTGAAGGAGGATGATGAACCGAATACATATGTCGCTATTACCGATGTTGAACAGGTAAAAAAGCGCAAAAACATTTTGTGATTCGTAAAAAAACGTTTTATCTCGATGTAGGAGTGTCGGATCGTAATCATTGTTTTACCATTCGAAAGCCCAGACCATGGGATGTTCGACAGTATCTCAAAGATTATGCTTATCTACAAGTCTCCTTTCGGCACCAAAAAAAAAAACTGACCCGAAGTTTGGTAGAACCGGGTGAAAAATGAGGGGTTTCACGCTAAAAAAGCGGCCGCCATCATTTGATTCATCATTCATTCTCATTTTTCCACCGCTCAAAAGCGCAGCGCATGGCGCGTTGAAAATAACCTCTAACTTTATGCTTACATTTAAGTGCTAGATACCATGCCGAAAAATAGACCGGAATTTCGCAAAAACTGGGGAGAAACTAGTTTTCAACGCTAAAAAAAATTTGGTAAAATTGGAAAATTCATGAAGCTTGTTATCGTAGAAAACTCCCCCCGTTTCCTGGGGTTTCGAATGGTATAAAAATCGTTACGATACGACGCCCTTACGCCGAGATACAGCGAGCTTTCCTCGTCCTTCCCCTCTAATTTTAAAAAGCCGGTCTAAAACAGAACCTCCAGACAACGCAATACATAACCCCCACTAAATTCCAGATCTTCCAACACCTCAACGAACCACTGAAAGCAACAGGGGAACCGCTTGTGGTATGGCCAAAAGAACAGTGGAGATTGCTGGGCGGAAGAAACTATTGGGATCACATGCCGATGAAAGGAGCAACCGGAAGGGTAGGCGGTTTCTAGAAACAATTAACGAGATTTAAGTATACTAAAGAAATCCGCTTTTGTATAGATCCTGCACTCGTGGTACCCGAACCATCCACAACGTGCCATGCGATCCCACATCGGCGACACGATCCATCTGATTCAAATCCTCGAGATGCCGATCAAAGTCGTGCCCGTCGCCCAGAAGGGCTTGAGATTCTTGACAGCCGAGGAGGCCGAACTGGCTCGGCATGGCGTTGAACCACTTGTAAGGTTTTAGAAAAGGCTAAGCTCTAAAAATCAGTCAGAAAATACCAGTACTTTACAAAGTACTGCACTGTAAATACTGTAGAAAGCTAAAAAACGCGCCGTAAAACCCTCAGAACGCGTGACCGTATAAAAATACAGATTTCCCCGGGTTTCAAGGGCTTTAGAGGTCGAAAAAAGAGCAGAATCCGGAAAATGCAACTGGCGCACACGGGGAAAAGTGTAAAATGTAGCGCCTTGTACTGCCTGCTTGCAAACGCGACGCTACAATGCACAATTTTACTAAATGCTCTTGATGAAAAAAAAAAATTAGTTTTCCAAGTTTTTATGATTAAAAAATTCGAAAAATACCCCATCCCCCTTCGATAATGCGAAAGAACCAAAAAAAATCATTAAATTACCCCAAAGCCATATTAACAATCTCAGGATTCCCTGCAAACGCTTCGTGAAGCCCTGGGCTCCTGCCGACCCGCCGACGCAGCGCAACGCCCCGATCGCTCAACCTAACCAAATCTAAGCCATTTTTAATGTGATATCACCCCTTAATATTATTACTTTCCGAATCTTTGCTCATCATTTTGTTGCCATTCTCCTCCAACGGAAACCATCACGAATTTTGACGGGTATATTTGAGCGCCAATTCGCCTTTTTTGTGTCTTCCCGCCCATGAATAAATGGTATATATTGATAACGCGTGTGTGAGTCAGCTTTTTGTGGTATCTGACCACTCGTGTATACCGAATCGAATCGAATCGTTTTCCTGCGGATTTATTTGTTCTGCGGCAGTTCGTCTCTGCTTTTTTGCGGTTAGGGCTTCTCCCTCTCGGCCCACCACCCGGCTGACGTCTTTTGAATTGAGGGCCCGCGGGGCCTCCATGGCCTTTTTTTTGTTGACACGTTGTGTAGAAGCACATTGCGCCTTTGATCGCGGGAATTAGCGCGGAACAATGGATTTTACAGGGTGTCCCAAAATTATCCGGACAAAGTTTCAAAGCGGTTTCTTCCTATTTTTTCCCTGTTTTCGCAGACCATAATTTAATTTCTATGAATCTTTGAAGTGTATTTAAATAGCTGAAAAAGAAAACTGCGCGCTATTCCATTGGATCTCTTCGGCACAAATCGAGGAAGGTTGAACGAAATTCCTTGCCCCCTTGCAAACGCTGAAAAAGCGCGTTGTTTCCAATCCCATAAAAAAATTCAGGATGATCGGACCAACTAAGAAACCACAGGAAGAGTTCGGAAATGATCAGTCAACACTCTAGTCGGCCGAAAACCCTAGATTTACACCAGAAAATAAAACAGCGGGCCAAAAAGTTGAAATAAAGCTACGCGCCGCCCCAGTTACTTTAAAGGATTTCCCTGGAGGAACCCTAAAAACGCGATATTAATCTTGTCAAAGACCAGAGTATAAACTTTTGACGGTAACGATGAAGTACAAGCTATTTAAATTAAGCAAACTTTGGTTATTAAGGAGCTTGAGCACGAGCAAGCATCGAAACACCCTGCCCAGTAATGGGACGGAAATCGGTATTAAACGGAAAAATTACCATTAACATGATGGAATCTTGGCGGAGTTAGGTCCGTTTTGCCAGAAAACGTCATTTCTAGCCCACAAAAATGTCTAAACACATTTTGAAAGCTTGCCCCAGTTTTTATGTTATTTAAGAGGCAAAAAATTTTAACACGCTCTTCGCTCGATTGTGAAGCTATTAATGCGTTTTCCAAAAATTTTTTTTTGCACGGTGCATCGAAAATGCCTCAAAAAATATTATGAAATACAATGCGGGGGCTGAAAACAGCGGAAAAATTGAAAAAGTCAGTTTTCAGTTTTGTCCGGATAATTTTGGGACACCCTGTATTCGATTTCTACTTTTTATTTCAATTTTTGCATTATCGGCGGGAAACCGAAGGTTCTTTTGTAATTCCAGGAATGCCTTGCATTGAAAAAGGATCCTAGCAATGTTTATTGCTCAATTTTAGCCATATTTAAAGGCAAAACCCTTCAAAGCGCTAAGAATTACGACTAAATTTTTTAAATTTTGCTTTCCCGGGTGTTCTGCTGCGCAAGAAACATAACTTACCAGATTTAATATACTTTTTAATACTAGACCCAAATTTTTTATGATTGTTTTTTCTTATGTTGCCATGGGAATTTAATTGCTGCAGACGTTTTTTTAAAAGCGAATCCGAGTTTTGAAAAATACAGGGTGTCCCAAAAAAAAACCCCCCCCTCGGCATTTGGCCGTCTTCTATCGGATCGGGGCCAAATTTTTACCAGTGGTGGGGACCCATAAAAACTATGTGCTGCGGAATTTTCGACGCAAAATATTGTAAGACAAAAAAGTTCTATTGAAATTAAGGTTTATTTTGCCGATTTCACTAGGATTTTGATGGATTAGGGCCTCGAAATGTTTAGCAAAACTGAAGAGGGCACTTTTTTCCACCCGGAGGAATTTTTTGATTTACGAAAATTACGTCAAAAACGGGACTTTTCATCAATTTTTATTATCAAAACGAACAGAAACGGACCCGAAAATGACGATTTTTGGGAAAATTACTCAAAATCGGCATGCTAATTGCGAGAACATAGCGAAAAATCGGTACTAGCTTTTCCCAAAAATCAGTTTTTTAGCGATAACTTTTTTGTTTTATAGTATTTTGCTTAGAAAATTCGGCAGCACATAGTTTTTATGGGTCCCCATCACTGGTAAAAATTTGGTCCCGATGGGATAGAAGACGGCCAAATGCCGAGGGGGGGGTTTTTTTTTGGGACACCCTGTAGAATGTTGCTAGAAAACTGGAATTCCGTCACTGAACAGTAGACAACTTGCGTAAATTGTTGCCGAACGGAAAGTAGGGATTTGGGATTTTTTTGAGCTTTTCGTTCGTTTCTAATTTTTGCCGATTGATTTTTTATTCTGAAAAATATTGATATTAGCAATAAACTTTCCATCTGCCTTCTTCCATTTCCTTTTTTGAGCCTTCCGACTTCCCCTCGAGTTAATGTTTTTTTTGGTCAATTTTGGCCATATTTGAACGCAAAAAACTCATGAAATTCGCTTAGACATAAGGTGAATTTCGTTGGGTTTCGCAATATAATTCTTCGTTGCGCTATAGCTCTTTCCTAGTTTTTTTTCTAAGCCGTCGCACTTTTCCTTTCGGATCAAACCCATGTTTAGGTTTGATGCAAGCCCCGGGCCAGGGCTTCGTCGACACCGACGATGGGTTCACCGAGGACGACATGTTTGCCGCCGACGATATGAGCGGTAGTTTTTATTGATCAAAATATACCTTTGCATTTTAGCCACCCCGGACGGCATCCCGCACTCTCGCTCGTTCCTCGAGCGCGAAGATTTCGAAAGCGAGCTCGGGTCGGTCGACCCGTTCTCTGAGGATTTCTCCGAGATTTCGAGGTAGTTTGGTTTTTGATGCTGGTTCATTAGCGGGGGGACTATTGTGATAAAACATAGCCCTTTTTATAATGTTATTAGCAGTTTCAGATAATACGCATGAAAACACATTTGATAGATTAAGAAAATAGCGTTGTCGTTACATTTTTTATCAAAAAGTCAAATTTTTCCGGAGTTTTAATGTTTTTTAGTAACTTTTCATAACTAAAATAGGCGTAAATGTAAACTGCCTCTATTTAGGTCATTTCTGTTTGATGATTTCGCATTACGAGAACGTAGAAAGAGTTTTTACTGCTCTGCAACCCGCCCCCCCCCGCTAAAGAACTAGCAACGTTTTTTGAAGCATAAAATGTGTTGTTTAGCTTCGAGATCGTGGAAGTGGTTGGGGACGGAGATGCGGCTGCCCGTCCTATCGTCATCATCTACGCCTACAGATTGCCGTCCAACAAAAACTTTGACCACAACAAGTTTTTGCGATATCTTCAGGCGACGCTGGACAAGGTTGGTGGAAAGCTTGGACGTTGAGAAGGTTTTCCTTGTTTTCTCTCTCTCTCTCTCTCTCTCTCTCTCTCTCTCTCTCTCTTTCTCTCTTTCTCTCTAACGATCTGCTAAACTGAAAAATCACAGCTTATCTTGCCCAAACAACCGGTGAGTTGCATACGCGTTTTTTTCGTTGAAATTGAAGTCTTATGATTTTACGTACATCCGGAATGCGAAGGAATGTCCCCAGTTAGCTAGCCTGCGAATCGGATATCGATTTTAATCGCTCTTTCAGGTGGTCGAGTCCGACTACACGATCCTCTACTTCCACTACGGGCTTCGCTCCAACAACAAGCCCCCAATCAAATGGCTCTTCCAGGCCTACAAGATGCTCGACAGAAAGTAAACCTTTTTCGCGTCTTGAGACCTGCTTTTTAGATACAAGAAAAATCTCAAGGCGCTCTACGTCGTGCACCCGACGCGCTTCATCAAAATATTGTGGGGCCTCTTCAAGCCGTTCATCTCGTCGAAATTCGAGGACAAGCTCAACTACTTCAATTCGATCGACGAGCTGGCGCGCGCTGTCGATGTGACCAGGTGCGTTTTCGGGCTACTTTTGGCAGTTTCTCGCGTTTTTTTAGGTTAACCCTCCCCGAACCAATCCGCACCCACGATGCTTCGATCGTGTCCACGGACGTCTCCGGAATTCCGAAGCAACAATCTTCCGCCGCGCCGCCAAGACCCACGCAACAATTCAACGTCACCCTCGATTTGTAAGCCGGATTTTTTCGTGAAATTTAAGTGTTTTTTCTAGCATCCTCTCCCATCACCCCGACGATGAGGTGCCGCCGATTGTGACGCAACTTATCGAGTATTTAGAGGCGCATTGTCTGAAGGTTTTATTCAATTTTTGCTCAATCGCTTTTTTAGGTGGAAGGGCTTTTCCGGAAGAGCGCGAGTGTTGCTGCCGTCCGCCGGTTACAAGAGCGCATCAATCGAGGTGTGTCTTCCGTTCCCAAATTTTACCTTTCACTGCTTAATCCGATTTTATAATTTTTCTATCCTTTTCCAGGGGAGCACGTGGATTTCGTGAGCGACCCAGAGTACGCGGACAATCAACAGCTGGCCGCCATCCACGCGTCGGTGTTGTTGAAGACATTCCTCTCCGGGAAAAGCCTCGGCGAGCCGGTCACCACCAATCGACTATACCCAGAGTTGGCGGCGTTGGCTGGTAGTTTGTTTCGTATTTCCGGAAGCCTTTGTCGTTTAGATGTCCCGAAGCCAAAGAAAACCGAGGCCGTCGCCGAATTCGTGAAGCTACTCCCGCGGCCAAACTACTTGCTGCTGAAGGCGGTTTGCCGGCATTTGACCAAGGTATCTTGGTTGTCCTTAGAAACCCGGCTGTCTTCTGTCCGATCAGATTAAAAAAATTACCGCCGCCGGGGACACATAATAACATCGCTAAAAAAATTATTTTGGTGCAGGTTCTTTATTTTGTTTGTTTTTTTAGTTAACACTCGAATTTTGGGTAATTTTCGAAAAAATCGCTCCATTTTAGCCCGATTTGGCTTTTTTAGAACATAAATCATTAGAATGTCTTTTCATGTACATTTTCTTCTCATTCAGGTGGCCGCCAATCACCAGGAGAATCTGATGACCGCCAACAATCTGAGCGTCGTCTTCGGGCCCAATTTGACCTGGCCATCCGACCAAGGGGTACATCCGCTTCTCCGAGCTTTCAACCCATTTCCAGGTGCCCATCACGCAGCTCAACAACCTCAACAATTTCTGCTACAAGTTGATCGTCGATTTCGACAAGATCTTCGACCACTAATCACGGTTTTTTTGTAAAACATTTTTAACCTTTCCACGAGAGTATTACCCTCACGATTAACACGGCATTTCTGTGATCATGCGCTGTTTGTCATCACTTTTCGACCCCCCGATTTTTTGCACTGCTTCTCCCCCACGTTGTGAATGAGCTTCATCTTCTTTGTGCGTGCACCATTTCCCTTCGCTTTGCCCCCCACCGTTCATTCCCCCCGTTTTTTTGGCGTTATATTGCTAGTGCTGTTCTCTCTGTGATACTTACCCACCCAATCCCAGCCGACCCAGTAACTTATTGTTGCATTGCCCAGAACAAAAGCATAAATATTTTTTTTCTCTCGTGGGCGTTTGTTTTTTGGAAAGTAGGGTGCTTGAACTGTTTTTCAACCAGATGGTTACAGTCGCTTCGCGACTGCAACCATCTGGCCTTCGGGCTACCCTAAATGTCTCACTCCACCACATCCTTTCCCACCTCCATCAATACCCCCCATAGCCGAAATCTCGTTCAAAAACTACCTAAATGCCTTCCTGATGGCTGCAGATACCCCCATGGCTGAAATCCCCTTAAAAAACTACCTAAATACCTTCCTGATGGCTTCAGATTGCTCCCCTAGCCGAAATCCCCTTCAAAAACTACCTAAATACCCTCCTGATGGCTTCAGATACCCCCCATGGCTGAAACCCCCTTCAAAAACTACCTAAATACCTTGCTGATGGCTTCAGATACCCCCCATGGCTGAAACCCCCTTCAAAAACTACCTAAATACCCTCCTGATGGCTTCAGATACCCCCCATGGCTGAAACCCCTTCAAAAACTACCTAAATACCTTGCTGATGGCTTCAGATACCCCCATGGCTGAAACCCCTTCAAAAACTACCTAAATACCCTCCTGATGGCTTCAGATACCCCCCATGGCTGAAACCCCCTTCAAAAACTACCTAAATACCCTCCTGATGGCTTCAGATACCCCCCATGGCTGAAACCCCCTTCAAAAACTACCTAAATACCCTCCTGATGGCTTCAGATACCCCACATGGCTGAAACCCCCTTCAAAAAACTACCTAAATACCCTCCTGATGGCTTCAGATACCCCACATGGCTGAAACCCCCTTCAAAAACTACCTAAAGACCCTCCTGATGGCTTCAGATACCCCCCATGGCTGAAACCCCCTTCAAAAACTACCTAAATACCTTGCTCATGGCTTCAGATACCCCCATGGCTGAAACCCCCTTCAAAAACTACCTAAATACCCTCCTGATGGCTTCAGATACCCCACATGGCTGAAACCCCCTTCAAAAACTACCTAAATACCTTGCTGATGGCTTCAGATACCCCCCATGGCTGAAACCCCCTTCAAAAACTACCTAAATACCCTCCTGATGGCTTCAGATACCCCCCATGGCTGAAACCCCCTTCAAAAACTACCTAAATACCCTCCTGATGGCTTCAGATACCCCACATGGCTGAAACCCCCTTCAAAAACTACCTAAATACCTTGCTCATGGCTTCAGATACCCCCCATGGCTGAAATCCCCTTCAAAAACTACCTAAATACCCTCCTGATGGCTTCAGATACCCCACATGGCTGAAACCCCTTCAAAAACTACCTAAATACCTTGCTCATGGCTTCAGATACCCCCATGGCTGAAACCCCTTCAAAAACTACCTAAATACCCTCCTGATGGCTTCAGATACCCCACATGGCTGAAACCCCCTTCAAAAACTACCTAAATACCTTGCTGATGGCTTCAGATACCCCCATGGCTGAAACCCCCTTCAAAAACTACCTAAATACCCTCCTGATGGCTTCAGATACCCCACATGGCTGAAACCCCCTTCAAAAACTACCTAAATACCTTGCTGATGGCTTCAGATACCCCCCATGGCTGAAACCCCCTTCAAAAACTACCTAAATACCCTCCTGATGGCTTCAGATACCCCCCATGGCTGAAATCCCCTTCAAAAACTACCTAAATACCTTCCTGATGGCTTTAGATACCTCCCCTAGGGGAATGCCCCATAAAAAACTAAAATAACGACCGACCGGATACGTGGGAGAAAAATAGAAATGAAATGGCTCCCGTGAAAATTTTCATCCAGGGAACGCACGCCACCTGGCTCACTATGTACAAAATCACCCCAACCTCCATCCCCTCCCTCGAAAAAACTTTCAAAGTTAATTTTAATAATTTAAACTAAAAGTTTTTCATAATTTTTTTATCAGTTTGGGGGTTTCCGAGCACGCTCTATCCGAATCCGAAGAGAGCTAAGCTCTAGCTCCTTTCCCCTTCGAGTTGAATTCGGCTTCAGACGGACGGACAGACGCGTCAAGAAAATTATTATAGTTGATTTGCCCAAACGCAGGGTCAGCTGATTTCCAGTCTTCCGCTTTTTCTAATTTACGAGTTTTTTTAAACTATCCATTTTGCAGAACTACGCAAAATAATCGTGCGTTGTACGTTTCTCTCCCTCCCTCTCGCTCTATCGCATACTCTCGTTGCAGAGCCGCAAAAAGTTGGTTGCCCAAAATTCGATCAAAAATCCACCTCATCGTCAAAAACTGATCCTGTAAACTTTCGATTAACGAGTTTTTCAAATGCTGGTATCGTCATTTATTTACATCACAAAAATCAGAAGCGACTAGTATCGCCATCGCAAATACACAGCATAAATTCCGATAGTCAACACACGAATCGCCAATTATTCGAGTGTCCCGGATAATTATTATCCCCTTCGTGGAGTATTCCAATGGTTATGCATTTGTGTTATTTCTTTGATGTGAGTGGTCGTTCCGAATCCCTCTTATTCCTTGCTCTTCTTCACCGAGGATGACGATTTGTCGCCGCTGGAGGTCGGCGAGAGGCAAATCGTTTTGTCGTCCTGTAAAAGTTGGAATTGTCCCTACTCGTGCAGTGTAATGTGTGTTATAATAAGGAAACATTGGGGTGACCCACATTTTTTTTCTCCTCATAATCGTCCTTCTTCCACCCTTCTTCGAGCTTGTCGTTAAATTGCTGTTGGGCTGAAAAATAAGGAAATTGTAGGTTTAAGCCAATAAAGCGTACTGGTGATGCTGTCGTTGATGTTGACGTGGAAGATTGGCTTGATCGCATTTTTGCCCGGATCGACGTACAGGACGGCGCCAAAGTTCTTCTAAAAAACCACAGTGGTAAGGTCAGCCGGCGAAGAAGACGAGAATATCAAGGCGAACACGGAGCAAAAGGCAATACAAATATCGGTATATTTTAGATAATGGATCGTAACAATGATTGACTTACCATCATACTCGTCGGCGGCACCCCTTCTATCGCCTAAACAATAACATAAAATGGTTGGCATATGGTGCATACGGGGGACCCGTAGAAGGATGACGAGAAGACAGTGACCAACGGAAGATCGAGGAACCGATGCACGCCGTTCGTCATGTACTAAACGCAGACGAACTTGGGTGGTGTTAACCTAAGAGGTGGAGTCTAATTTTGGCGATTTATCATCTATCAAGAGCTCTCGAAAAGGCAAAAAAGCGGTTTACGTTCTCCACTTTATGGCTGTTATGCTCACGTTTTACGGCCAAAAACCAAGTAAACTGCCGATTTATGTGTATGTGATCTCTGTGTGTAAATCGACGATGGAAAGCCGCTTTTTACGGAAAACCAGAGACCGCCGCGAGGACACTCCGAACAAAAGAAAGCACCTGGTGTCCACGGATGATGAATTCAACGCCAAGCCTCTCAAGCGCTTCGTTGATAGCCTTCGGACCACAAAGATAACCGCAACCGCGACCGGCGTTGCGCGCGTATCTGAAAATACTTCGTCCCTTACAAGGAGGCCGCAGTTGCGGGCTGGGACCCAGGCAATCACGCTCAGAATTTTTCCCTGGTCCCGAACCTGCCTTCCGATTTTGCAACTTACGACGCCTTTCAGGCCTAAAATTGCCTCCTTTTGCCTACGCAAATTTCGCAACTTTTCTAAAATATGTGCACGGTGAAGCAGCATATTTTCCTGAGCAAAATCCGGTTATTGTTTTGGATCAAAATATTTATGGTTTAAATAAATAAGTTATAAATAAATATGCACAATATAGAAGGTGTCACAGCCAAAAGCACGCAAATGTAAATGGAAAGTGAAAAAGACTTACAAGTCAGTAGTCGGCCCCGGGTCATTCCATCGTAGGTTCCTGTTCATCTCCTTCAGACGCTTGTTTGTCAGGTCCCATCCTTCACGCAGAAACTTTTTCGACAGAGTTGGGGCTGAAATGGGGCACAACAATTGGGGTAGACCAAGCAAATTTTTTCATTCAGAACCGTCTGAAAATTTGCAGTTTAAAAAGGTCATTTAAAACTAGCCATGTATTTTTTAACTCGTTTCAAAGGTTTCGGGGTCCGTGGGGTCTACTTTGCCTTCCCCTGTAAGGCACTATTTGCGAATTCTCCGTTTTTGTCGAAGAACTTTTAGAAAACGGAAAACACCGACTTATCATGCCGTGCACGCAAAGAATCCTGTCGTCTATCAATCCAATCACCGGCAGCCACACGAATAGCTCGTAGATGCCATTACGCACTTCGTCGGCATATCGGCGAAGGCCAAGCCAAATGTTGAAGGATTCACAGGTTTGCACTTCCTCGTGATTGCCACGAATGATGTACACCTACAAGAAGGATTAGCATTACAGCCAGTGTAACAAGGACGGCCAGAAGGAGACTGGGTTTTTCGGCAAGCCGCCATCTTGATACCTGGTTGGGGTAGAGTGTTTTATAGGCGAGGAGCAACGTCCAGCATTCAATTTGACGTAGCCCACGATCAACAACGTCGCCGAGGAAGATGATGCTGAAGCATAAGGATAAAAATTTATCATTAAATTCAAGGATCTACTTTAAAATAAATGAAAGCACCCACTTTTGACCAGATCCACCGCCAGTTTGATCCGATAGCCACGCGTGGATAATGCGCCACAGATCGTTGAACTGAAAATCGACATTTCGATTTCTTGAGTATCCGTGCGGGGAAGGGGGGAAAAGTCTGCAGTTTACCCGCTCCTCTCTACCTCCTAGCCGGCCCCAACTTTTGTATCTCAACTCCCCTATGTGCTACAGAGTTCTAAATTACATAGATAAAAATATTCGCCTAATTCGGTAGAACCAGAGGAAAAAGCCCCCGCCCGGAACCACTGAATAACCGAATTTCGGCTGTGGTTCAGCTTACCCCCCCCCCCCAACCCCCCAGCCGGCCCCCAACCTTGTATCGCGACACCCCATTGTCCTACAGGGCCTGTAAAGTATACGAAAATACTCGCCAGAGCAAGGCGAACATTTTGGTACACTTTACACACCTGTAGACCAACAGGTAGCCGAGATACAACAGTTGGGGGCCGGCTAGGGGGGTCTGAACTCTTATCCGAATTTCTTTTGCCAATCGGGTCCGCGCATGATCAACCTATCCAATACGAACATTGCCATGGAGGTCACCGACGACAATCGACTTGCCCGACGGGCGTGCCACCCCCTTGTAGGCCTTCATAATCGGGGTCAGATGTTCACAAAGCACACGAAGATCATCAGGATTCGGCGTGTAGGATGGCTGAGGCGAAAAAAAACATTATTAATGCGTCGAGAAGCCTTACGAGGTAGTCGCTTTCGGAAAGCCAGCGCTCGCTGCCCAACTTGTTGATAATCTCCGTTGCGACGGTCGTCGCATCTCTGGCCGTCGCGGCATCAAAGTCCTTTTTCGCATAGCAGTACATCGGTGGTGGCCTGGGCAGCTGAAAGGCACCTTTGTTCTGTATCAAAAACAGTTAGCATTTCTTCAGAATTTTCCTTATACAGATGAGAGAATGCACACCTGCTTGAGTTCTTTTGTCTCGTTCTTCTTGCTCTGCGAAGCTGTCTGAAACGATGTTGTTTTAACAACGTCTAAATATTGCGCTGCTCATAAACCGAGAACCATAGAATCAGGATAAAGAGTAAGAAGAGCAAAAATCCGGCGTGCGAAAGAGACAATTAAATGGAGACCGACGTCCTTTTGTGCTGTTTTTACTGGGCTGGGGATGACCGCCTCCTTCTTCAGTTCGACAGCTCTCTAAAAGTGTTCACAATAACCTTCTTGAAGACGGCGGCGCAATTTCAGAATAGGGAACTCATTTTGATCGCGCCAGATACCGCTAGCTGGGGTAGTTTTTCTCGCTCGTTCCGAAAAACGGTCTGCTCGCTCGCAAAAAAAACCAACTTTCAATCCTATGTGCGAGGAAATAACTGTGTGGCGCAATCAAACTGACTTTCCTATTCGGAAAAAATGCCCCAGTGTCAAATCTGCAAATCTGTTTTCCGACCGAAGATAACCGTGCGGACCTCTACAACTGGCGGGTTATCCTCGCCCTCGAACGGATTCTGAAAATCAAAGATCAAAATATCCCCCAACGAAAAACTCCCAAAATTCATGCGCGAAAACAGTAACCCCCCACCAGTTGTGTGCGATCGATTCTCAACGCAAACCCCTCCGGCACCAGATCGTAGAGACCGTCTACGCGTTCCGATTGGCCTTGAGGAACACGCAACTAAAGCGCGTAGCTTGCAAACAACCAGCGATACCATTTTATCCCAATGTTTCATATGCCCTCCACTGATGTCGACTGTCCGCAGTTCATAGATTACGCCCGCGAGGCTCTTTGGTTTTGCGCGCGGCAGGGGCACCACTTTCGTCACCTCGACCGCCTTCTCCTCGTCGGCAACCTTCACAGTCTTCTCCACATCCGGTTCCGGGTCAGGTTTCTGCCTGAAAAAGATGGACTGCGAAATCAATGACCGCATACTTTCTCAATTTTTGACGCAACAGAACACCGCCGACAATCAGGACGAGGAAAATGGCGCCGACAGCTGAAATAACAGGGAAAATGACCTCATTTGTCATAACGGAAAATATAGTGGTCTAGCAATGGACAATTTCCCACCAGCTCCGATAAAGATGAGGAGTTCATTCGTCTTTGGATCAGCATCTTCCGTAGCCAAGATTGGAGGTGCCGTGGAGGGGGGATGGCGATTTGCGCAGATTCTCTAGAAACGGCCAATTCATTTCTTTTAACCGTTTTCGATTCAAAAAAGAAACAATTATTAGCAAAAGATGCCGTACAGTGTCATTGATCCCTTGGCAGATCGGCGGCTTGATGGATAGTCCGCTTTTGTCGCCGTTGCGAAACAAGACAAAGATGTTCTTGTCACAATTCAGCATCACATCCGCCTCGACTCGTTTCCGATCTTTTCCCTAAATACAACAAGTTTCTAATTGTCACAAATTGAGCATCTACCGCCAATTCATCCATATCAATGCATCGGGGATATCGAATCTTCTTTTGGTCGTCAGATTGGCGACGAGTACGCCTGCTTCCTTCGTCTTTCAATTCGGGCAGCACTATCTAAAGAGGGCTAAACTCCAGATAACCCCCCAGCCGACCCCCACCTACCGTATCTCGGCTCCCTGTTCATCTACAGGTGTGTAAAGTATACCAAAATACTCGCCACAGCAAGACGAACATTTTGGTATACTTTATACACCTGTAGATCAACAGGAAGCCGAGATACAAAAGTTGGGTGCCGGCTGGGGGAGGGGGGGGTTATCTGGAGTCTTACCCTAAAGAGGGATTTAAAATAGCCAAAGATAAAGAAATTAGAACCTCGTGGAAATGGAGAGGAGAAAGCGCTTCTTTCGTTCCGTTTGTAGTGGAATCGGGTGATGCGATGTTCGGATCATCAGAAGTCGGCTTCTCCGTTGTCACATCGGCCTTCAGATTCTCTTCCAGATCCATGAAGACGGCATACGGCCCAGACGGAAAAGAAATAACGTCTTCGGAATCTCCAAAAAGCCTACCAGAGCTCGACGGGCTGTGAAGAAGGGAATCGGGCCATCCGGATCCGAGATATCCAGAAAAACACAATCCTCATACGTAGCGCCGTGTTGGTATTCGCACGCCTTGTCACAACCGGGTGGGCCAAGAACTTGCGTCGAGTCAAAAACTGGATCTCTGCAGAACTCGTGATAGTGGTAAGCAAACATCATACGGTATTTTTCCATCTTCTTTGCAGATTGGTAGTGGTTCGCAAGTCCCATCTGGAGGTCTTCCGCCATTCTCGCAGTACTAAATGCGGAATTTTAGCTTCCGAAATGCTTGTATTACCGTGATGTTCAGAGGATCGGCGATATCGTATGTGTAATGAGTGAATGGCGATTCATCATTGGTGGCATATCCGGCGGCTAGTTGGAGACTTGGAACGCAAGTGGCTTTTGGCCCATCCGCTTCCATCACCCCGGCTTGCTTTGCTGCCGAGATCGCATCAGCGAGGACCCTGAAAGCGCAAAGAGGTAGCCCACAAGAAAAGCACGAACGCTGGAATGGTGAAACCGGCGTCGCATTGCACGAGGTATTGGTTGGTCATTTCGAATAAGTTGGTCTTGTACGGTTGCGTGCTCCTAAACTAAAATGAAACTAAAAATAAAATAGTTCCTACCAAGCTTTTCCTTGACATTTGCCGGCTGCCATCATTTCACGCGTACACACATTGAACGGGAAGGGTACTTTATCTAAAAAGAAAGCGCCCGGGGTAATGAAAACCCAGACCTTTCCCAGCGTTGATCGTTGCTGGTAGAATGCAATTCGGCCCGCCAGATGCTACTTCTCCTTCCTCTTCTGACTTGTAGGCCAGATTTGATACGCTTACTAATACCTACACAAAATTTCGGACATCCCGTATAAACTTTCAGCTTTCCGGCAGCCTCGCGCCCGGTGAAGCCCCCAGCGGCGCATGGCGGCGGCGTACAACCTGGACATTCAGCTTTCAACCATGCCGGCATCTCGATTCCCGCATCAGCTAGGTGTTCGTAGGCATAGCAGAGGAAAGGGCGCTGTCCGCACTAAATAAGGATGGTATATATGCGCGAAAAAGTATTGGATACAGTTTCACGTCGAATCCGATGGTGGTTGTCGGGAAAGGGGGATGGATTGTTGAAGGGGTGAAGTCGAGGTTGATTAGGACGATTGACATCCCTGTAATACTCCAGATAACATAGCTTAGACCTTGAAAGACGTCGAGAGATGATTATAATATTATCCATGCAGCCAAAGCGTCGGCAGTTGTCTAGAGGACTTAAAGAGGGTGAAATTACCTACTATTCTTTCTTTTACTGTTAGCTCCTGGGGTTTTAGTAAAGGGTTTCTATGCGTATACCAGCTGACACTCATTTATCTTGTGTCTTTTGGGCGGGCTGACCCCGAGCTAGCGAGGGATCTGCTTGCCCGCTCTCCTGACTTTGGACTCCCGGCACATGTAAGATCTGTGCTAGAAGACTAATAAACATCAATGCGCTTCGCTTAGCATCGAAAACTATCCGGCAAACTTTCCTCGCTAACATTACCCTAGGAAAATAACAGAACTGACGACTCGGCATGGACATTGGCGATGAAGAAGATGGCGAGGATGAACGAGTAGAAGATCCGCATCCAGCCATCAACATCCATCATCAATCGATGACGACGCCTCATCGATGCGCGAGTAGGAAAGGTCGAAGATGTCGACCGAATGAACGAAAAGAGCAGTAAGTTTAGCTTCGTCAAGATACAAATCATCGTTAAATGCTAATTTACCACAAATCGAAAGTCATCTAGTCGCGGATCATGCCGCTCTTATGATCCATACGAGCCCATCGAACCGGCAGCTTGCTTTATTCATCATCACACATAAATTATTTTCGATAGATAATACAGAAATTGATGACACATGTGTTCGAGTTTTTCAGATATATTTTTTGATGTTAGTAGTCGTGCCGAGTCCGTCTCATTTCTTGCCGTCCGAGCTGGGGGTTGTCTTTTCATTGGCCGCAGTGTCGTCCTAAAAATGATTTATCCCCAAGGAATGTAAAAAATATTTTGCTTCTTTCAGGTCAATGATACAAATTCAAAAATTTCTTGAAAGACCCACAGATTTGCCCCGATCCTGGTTCACCGTCTTCCACCCTTCTTCGAGCTTGTCGTTCAATTGCTGCTGGGCTGAAAAGAAGGGCAATTGTGGATTTAGGCCAACAAAACGTACTGGTGATGTTGTCGTTGATGTTGACGAGAAAGATCGGCTTGATCGCGTTCTTCTCCGGGTCGACGTACAGGATCGCGCCGAGGTTCTTCTAAAAAGAAAAGTCCTCAAGCAAAGGCCGCCAAATCCGACCTTGTTTTCGTAGAAGGATGACGAGAAGACGGTGACCAACCGAAGATCAAGGAACCTTTGCACGCCATTCGACGCATACTATAAAAAGATGATTTGTTTATGTTAGGTTAGGTTTATGTTTATGTTTAAAAGATCACCAAAAAATGATCGCGCAGACTTTCAGGACAAATGCTATATTTTGTTTCTTTTTTATATCCCTTTTTTATATCTTTTTTTATATCCTTTTTTATATTGGGGGGGGGGGCAAAAATTTTGGCGACTTCCCTAGTTCGACTTCCCCCCTTAACTGCATTAGCGCCGAAAAGATTAACAAGAAAAAAACAAACCTCGTGCCCACTGATGATAAATTCGCCAAGCCTCTCAAGCGCTTCATTGATAGCCCTCGGACCGCAAAGGAAACCGGCATCGCGCGCGGTGTTGATCTCGTAGCTAAAGACCGTAAGATCGAACAAACTCGATTTTAACTCACAAATCAATAGCTGTTGAGGGTTTGCTCCATCGAATATTGCGGCAGATTTCTCGCAAACCGTCGCCAACCGGATTCCAACCGACGTGCAGAAGCTCCTTTGTCACGTCCGGTGCTGCAACGGATGTTTGCGGGGTTGACAAGAAGGTTTCAAAAAGGCTGACCAAAACGCCGGTTTTACTTGCAACCATAACAGTTTGCGATAGAAAGGTGCGCATGAACAAAAAAATAGACCTGAGCGGGGGGAGATAAACCACGGTTTTTAATGTGTTCAGACGCTCTGAAAACAGACTTATCATTCCGTGCGTGCAAAGAATTCGGCCGTCGATCCATGCCACGGCTGGCAGACATGCGAAGAATTCACCGAGCCCGACCCGCACCTTCTCCTCATATCCGCGTTGTTTCATACAGGCGAGCAAGGATTGGCAGAACGCCAATTCTTCGTGGTTGCCGCGGATGATGAAGACCTGCAAGAAATGTGTGCAAAGCACCCGGCCATAGGAAACCTGGTTGGGGTAGAGCATCTTGTAGGCTAGAATCAGCATGCAGCATTCAATCTGGCGCGCGCCGCCGTTAATGAAATTGCCGAGGAAGATGATGCTAAAAACTATTGTAAAAAAGGACAAAAATATCTACTTTTGGCCAGGCCCGCCGCCAGTAGCATCCGACAGCCACGCGTGGATGATGCGCCACAGATCGTTGAACTGCAATCAGAATTGTACACAGGCACCCGGGGCACATAATAAAATAGCAAGCCCGGGGGTTCCGGTTAGTCAACTAATCAAATTTAAAGTGTTTTTACACTGTTTTTAATAGGTTTTAATCGTAGTTAAAGTAGAAAACCCGTTAAAAAAGCTAGAAAAACGCTTGAAAAAATCGAATTTGGTAATTTTGGGTAAAAAAAATCAATTTTCTGCCAAAATTCATGAAAGAAGATGAGAAACCGACATTGCCATGGATGTCGCCGACGATGATCGACTTTCCGTTCGGGCGTACCACAGAATTCTCAGCCTTGACAACCCGGAACAAATTACCGCATAGACTTCGGATGTCATCAGGGTGCGGAGTGTAGGATGGCTGAAGGGATATAAAATCTACTAGTGAGCCCATAAGCCATACGAGACAATCATCTTCTGACAGCCAGCCTTCACCGCTCAACTTGTTGATCATCTCCGTTGCAACGACTTTCCCATCCCTATGCGTCGCGACATCAAATGCGATTTGTGAATAGAAGTAAACCGGCGCGGGCTCGGAACCCTAAAATCGTTCCATTGAAAAGATACTCAAGCCAGGGATACCTTCGTAAGTCCCTCTTCCTTTTTGATGGTCACCGGCGGCTTGTCCTCTGTCTTCGACGGCTTCTGTAACAGGCAGATAAAAGGCTGTTAACGGGGGCTTTCGTCGAAAATTAAACGCCAAAACAAAGACCGTACCAAATCGGAGCGGTCGATTCTCAGCGCAAATCCCTCCGGCACCAGATCGTAGACGCCAGCCAAGCGTTGTGTCGGGGCTTGTGGCTGTTTCAACTAAAAAAGCGTCATTCCGAAACAAACGACCTAACCATTCTATCCCAATGCACTTTGTGTCCTCCAGCTATTTTGGCCGTCCGCAGTTCATAGATGACGCCCGCAAGGCTCTTTGGCGTTGCACGCGGCAAGGGCACCACTTTCGCCACCTCCACCACCTTCTCCTCGTCCGCAACCTTCGCCGTCTTCTCCACATCCGGTTCCGGGTCGGGTTTCTGCCTGAAAAGATGGACTGCGAAATCAATGACCGCCAACTTTCTCAATTTTTGACGCAACAGAACACCGCCGACAATCAGGACGAGGAAAATGGCGCCGACAGCTGAAATAACAGGGAAAATGACCTCATTTGTCATAACGGAAAATATAGTGGTCTAGCAATGGACAATTTCCCACCAGCTCCGATAAAGATGAGGAGTTCATTCGTCTTTGGATCAGCATCTTCCGTAGCCAAGATTGGAGGTGCCGTTGAGGGGGGATGCCGATTTGCGCAGATTCTCTAGAAACGGCCAATTCATTTCTTTTAACCGTTTTCGATTCATCAAACGATCCGAACAATTATTAGCAAAAGATGCCGTACAGTGTCATTGCTCCCTTGGCAGACCGGCGGCTTGATGGATAGTCCGCTTTTGTCGCCATTGCGAAACAAGACAAAGATGTTCTTGTCACAATTCAGCATCACATCCGCCTCGACTCGTTCCCGATCTTCCTCCTAAATACAACAATTCTAATTGTCACAAATTGAGCATCTACGTCCAATCCGTTCACATCGATGCATCGGGGATATCGAATCTTCTTTTGGCCGTCAGATTGGCGACGAGTACGGCTGTTTCCTCCATCTTTCAATTCGGGCAGTACGATCTGAAAAAGGAATTGTAGAGTTAAAAAAAAGCATAAGAACCTCGCGGAAATGGAGAGGAGAAAGTGCTTCTTTCGTTCCGTTTCTGGTGGAATCAGCTGCTGGAATGTTCGAATCATCAAGAGCCGGCTTCTCCGTTGTCACATCGGCCTTCAGATTCTCTTCCGGATCCATGAATTCCGCATACGGCCCAGACTGAAAAGAAAGAACATCTTCGAATCTTCCAAAATAATCTACCAGAGCTCGACGGGCTGTGAAGAAAGGAATCGGGCCATCCGGATCCGAGATTTCCAGAAACACACAATCATCGTAGCTAGCGCCGTGTTGGTATTCGCATGGCTTGTCGCATTCTGTTGGATGAAGTACGATGTTCGTGGTAAAGTGTGAGCGCCTATAAAAACAGAGGCGGGGAAGGGTTTTCCGGGGGTTTTTTTTTTTTTCAAATGAAAAAAAATCGGTCTTTGGGTTTTTTTTTGGCCCCCTAAATTCAATATTTATTCTCCATCTACCATGTTGTGCCGTCTTCTTTGCAGATTGGTAGTGGTTCGCATGTCTGATCTGGAAGTCGCCCGCCCTTCCCGCAATACTAAATGATACTCTTTACGTGCAAAAATGATCTGATTACCGTGATGTTCAGAGGATCGGCGACATCATATTTGTATTGAGTGAATGGCGATTCATCATTAGTGGCATATCCGGCGGCTATTTGGAGACTCGGAACGCAAGTGGCTGCTGGAGGATCAGGTGCCTGGCCATGTTTTGCGATTGCTTCGATGACGACTCTGGAAATAAACGTCGTAAATGCTGAAATTTTCGGCATTTTTCAACGCTGCCAATACAATTTCGTTCGATAGGAAGCCAACAAATCAGTGTGAGGGAGACTGCTGCCATCGACCCAAAAAAAAAGACTACCACACACGTTGGGATAGTGAAGCCGGCGTCACACTGTACGAGGTATTGGTTGGTAAAGGGTGGTCTGTCCATAAGATAAATCATTGTGCTCCTAAAGCCACAATGTCGATTAAAATTCAAGAATGTGCCTCTACCAAGCTTTTCCTTGACATTTGCCAGCTGCCACCATTTCACGCGTACAGATGTTGAACGGGAAGAGTACTTTATCTAAAAAAGAGTGTACCGGGGTAATGAAAAGCCATACCTTTCCCAGCGTTGATCGTCACGGGTAGAACGCAGATTGGTGCGCCAGATCCTTCACCTTCTTTTTCCTCCTCCGGCTTCTATAAAATTTCTTCAGAAACGCGCCAGCTCGACTCACACAAAAATGAGGTTTGCAAGCGTCATTGACCCTGAGCCTTGGGGAGCCTCCGATTCCAGGCGGATTTTCGCATGTTTTGGCCACACAGTCTGGACATTCCGTCTTCAACCAGGCCGGTATCTCGATTCCCGCATCAGCCAGATGTCGATAGGCGTAGCAGAGGAAAAGGCGACCGTATTGACACTAAAAACCTGTATCACACACTAAATGAGGGGTGTACATTGGCCTCATCATCACGCCGTACAAGATGTTGGTTGTCGGGGAGGAGGGCGGATGGATTGTTGAAGAGGTGGAAGTGGGTGTGACGCGGTAGACTGGCGTATCTGAAATAATACGAATTAGCCCAGGAAACCAAGATATATTGCCCTAGAAAACCAAAAGAAACCAACAAGTTAATCCGGGGGATATGATTTTTTTTCTCAAAAAAGCGATTAGGTCAAAAAGTTAAGTTCAAACGGGTAAATGAGGTAAAAAGCCGCCAAAGCGTCGCGAACAAGTTTTCGCGACGGCTCCAAGAGTGTAGGGCTGTAAACTATAAACTATCCTACTATATTGAATCGCTCCTAATACCCTAGAAAGTAAAGAAAAACTGACGACTCGGCGTTGACATTGGCCATGAAGAAGACGCCGAAGATGACCAAGTAGATGCTCAACATCCAGCCACCCCGATGACGGCCTCTCATCGATGGTCGTGTAGGGGACGCCGAATTTTTGCTAAATTGGCAAATGAGTGGCTGAAGATGGCAGTCAGCTGACGTCAGGGGAGTTTCGGACCGGAAATCCCATTGATATCACTAAATTCTATTTTCTAAGTTGTCAAATGCTAATTTAGAAATTTGTGTGAATAGAGTAAAGCGTTTTAGCGTGATTTAACTATATTTGAACTGGAAAAACAATAAAAAAGTTGAAAAATTTCTAGTTTGTCGAAAATCGGGCATTTTCGGTGGCAAAATCTCTAGTTTTTGTGTTTTTACTCAAAATGTGTAGAGGTTTCACGCTTAGGAATAGTAAAAACAGTTTAGAAACCTTAGAAAAAAAAGTTTATGACCCCCGATAAGGCCAAAGAACCTCAAAAACTACAAAAAACAACATAAAACTGCAGTTTAAAATTCCGAAACTGTTTTTCTCTTCACTGGCCCGCGTTTTTTCGCCGAATTCTTGCATTTTAACATTCTAACAAACTTTTTAGACTTTTTTAGTATTCAAAAACTTCTAATAACATTAGACACTTTAAAATGCCGAAATTTTTGCTTTTCTTTCGTTTTTTTCGCCGAATCTTTGCAGGCACGACCTTTGTCTCTTACACCGTACGGCGGCTCATTTTGCACGCCATGATTGTTCATTTCAACGAATTGGTGATGTATCAGGCCCCAAAAAATCGGGTTTCTATCATGCGATCCAGCCGGTGCAATGTATGTATGTATGTTTGTGGCCCGTGGTGGGTTGGCTGGTAGAGATAAGCGGTGGCTCACGCATAGTTAGTGCCAGCTGGTGGTGCCCCGGTCCATTCTTCTTTGTTCGAAAGTTCGGGCGCCGTTCCACGGCTCGATTTTCAACGGGATGTATTTTGTGGCGCGAATTTTAGCGGGGATTTTGCCTGGGAAGCTAATCTCTGTTTTCTGCACTTTTTTCTTCTACATAATCGATCTTTGAAGGGCGAATTCTCTTCGGGGTACAATTCGGATAAGCGGGGGGGAAAATTTTAGGCGGCCGGGGAAACCGAACTTTTTTCCGTCCAAGCCTATATTTTTTATATAAATAGTGGAAGTGTTTCTAAATTGTTTATGGCTATTCCTAAACATAAAAATATTACAAAACTTAATTAAAAAATTTAATTTTAGGTCGAAAAATCAATTTTTCGGCCCAAAAATGACCAATTTTCGACTTTTTCAAGCGTTTTTCTAACTTTTTAAAAAGTTTTTCCGCTTCAAATACGCTTAAATTTTGCTAAAAACAATGTGAAAACACGTTATATTTGATTACTATCCCCACCAGGGCCGACAAAAAAAAGTTGGTTTCCCCGTCAAATTCCCCCCCGCTATCCGAATTGTACCCTCTTCGGTACTGGGCTGTTAGCGGCGGGGCGGGGACTAAAACTTGTATTTTTTATATATCAGTGTTTTTATATTCTATAATATATTCTTTGAATGTTTTTGATGAATAATGAAGTTTGATTGCTTTCACTACAAATGTTGAAAAATCGTAGATTTTGACCTTTTTTGGTCATTTTTCATAATTTTGTCTTGTTTCAGTAGAGTAGAAAGTCTTCTTGTAGAAAAAGTAAAAAGGCCCGTAAGATTCTGCCTATTTCTATGGGTTTTGGGTCCAAAAACTGTGTAAAATGCTAAAAAATGGTACCCGATTACTGGAAAAATGTGACTTCGGATTCGATGGGAAATGGTCCTCGAAACAATTTTTGAGCATTTTAGGCTGTTTTTGGATATAAAACTCATGTAAAACGTTTGCAATTGTACGACTTTTTTGGCCGTAACAGGGTAGTTTTTCATTAAAAGAATTTTAACATCGAAATATAACCCGATATTACTAGGTAGAAAGATACCCCCCCGCTAAAGAACCAGAACTTTTTAATTCATTTAAGTTGTTGTTAAGGATTAAAAAACCTTGTGCCACTTTTTTTTCTAACAGATTTTCGGGTGTTTGGAGGTGTTGGCCCCAACGGTTTCCCCATCAAAACAAGGCCCTCCTCATTTCGCCATGCGCTATTTGTTCTGGGCGCAAAGTCCATTCAGATCGACCCTCATCCCCCCCTCATGTGCTTCTCTTTTCTTCTTTTCTTCTTTCTCATTCTTGCCCTCTCTTTCTCCAAACACCAAAATAAACCGAGAGTAAACTAGTTGGTTGGTGCCGGTCTATTTGCCTCCGTTCTTTCAGGCAACTTTTCACAATTTATCGAACGTATTTTGCCGTATTTTAGTGATTGTTCTCCTCTCTACCGCATCATGATTTATTTCGGGTTTTTTGTAGGCCTGGCGCCGACTCCTGACCTTTTTAGGTGATATTGATTTTTTGAACTTGACCTAGCTAGTTCGATGGAAAAATTCTGAGCAAGATGTCCGATTTCCAAATTCGCCAACCATATGAATCACAATAAAAATTAATTTTAAGAAAAAATTCTGGAGTCAGGCTGCGACCCATGGATCAGGCCCGGGACATAGCCCACAGCGCGAACCAGCATCCGCATGAGATGGTGGCCTAGTGGATAGTGCAGGCGCCTATCAAACTTTTGCAAAATTATGCTCGCGGGTTCGGAACTCTCTCTATTATCTGTTTCGCTTTTTGGTCTTTAACGCTACTGAGGCCATATTTGGCATCACAAAGAAAAGCAAAAGAGTTCACTACCTAGGAGTCGAACCCGAAGGCAAAAAAGATAAAACTTGTGAAGCAAATGCACTACCAATATGCCACGCGATCATGGTGGTTCAAGGGTCTGAAGGGGGCTATGTTCACGCGCACCACCCCGAGCCAAAGCTACGGATCAGCTGAGAAATGATGGCAAAATTATGGATTTTCAAATTAATTTTTATCGAATACAATACACGGTTAGCAGATTTGGAAAACGACATCTTGCTCAGAATTTTTTTCTCTATCGAACTAGCTAGGTCTCGTTCAAAAACTCCAATATCACCTAAAAACGACTCCTTGTGAGAGTAATTTGAATTTTTTTCATTTTTTATTTTTGCTACATCTTTTGATCTCGAGCAGTTGTCCGATTTCCGATTTTAAAGTGGGGACCACGCCTGGAGGTCTTTTACAAAATTTTCCGCTGATCAAAACTTACGTCCTAGAATCGGCGAAACTGCAAGTTAAAAAGTTATCAAATCTAAATTGCTAAAAAAAAACCCGAAAATGCCTTACTACAGCCCAGTTAAAATTTTGCAGACCGATGTTCTGTGAAACTCTTTAGCACATCTGGCTCAGAAAAAAACGCTTTTTCGAATGTGCCATCTCCCGCAGAAATTTAAAAATCTCCTGAAACGTTAAAAAACGTCCTGTTTTGAAAGGAAATTTTGGAATTTGTTGCGGAAAAATGGCTCTTGCAGAACATCATCTTTTTCTGAGCCAGAGGTACTAGATAGTTTTCGCAAAAAAAAATTATTCAGGAAACTTTGTTGGGCTAAAAAGCAGGCTATTTTCGCCGTTTCACGCTTTAAGTTATCAAAACTTTTTTGAGTCTGGTCGTTTAGCCGATTCCGACAAGTGCGTTTTGATCAGCAAAAAAAGCACAGGATAGGCTTTGTGCCGTTTGAAAACTCGGTTCCCATCTAAAAACGTCTCCCTGCAAGCTATGCCCAATCGTAAGCCTAAACCCAAATAATTTTTCGAGGTACCCCAGCGGCGTTTTTCTTTCTTTTTATGCGAACGTTTGTTACCATTGGCAACGGGAACACCCCCAATTACAGGCGACCCTTCTGCCCCCCTGTCAGCCCATCCAGCCACTATGCGGCTGCTCGACAATTGGGCGATTTCAATGTGAGTTTTTTTTGCGCTTATAGAAACCCGCGGAATTCATAGGGGTCTCCTCGACAACGGGAAACAAAGTCGTGCCGGTCGTCTGCTGTGGCGTGCCGGCGTTGGCGCGGCTTTTCTGATGGCATTCGTCCATTTGGTCGACCATATCACGGGTGGGTGGCTTGGCATTCAATTGTAAAATTAAAAGCTGGTGTGTGAATTTTATAGAAAAACTTTTTAGCTATCAAAAATTGTTTGACCATGGGTTTTTTATAGCCGGGAAGAATTGGAACTTAAAATTTGCAAAATTCACAAAAACCGAAAAATTCCTTACGTATTTCAAATTTGCAAAAAAAATACATTTTAGATAGTAAACCTTGAAAATTTAATCTGTTGGAATTTTCGTTGAAAAAATTCAGAGCAGTAAAAGAGCGGCAATTTTCAAGAATTTTTCTATATAAAAAGGCGTATCCTAAAATACAGCAGGTATAAAAATAAAAAAATAAGGGCAGTAAAAAGGAAAAGGTGGGCCAATTTTCATGTTTTGTTGCTATATTAAAAGCGTATTCCTAAAATTTTACGGCGTAAAATATGATACTTTTGCCCGAGTCCAAAGTCCAGCCACACCTTTGCACACTTGACATACAGCTACCCAGTGAAAAGGGGCCAATTTCTTGAGCTGGATTTGACCCGTTTGAGGGCGGTGGACGCTCAAAATTTATCCTTATAACTTACTATTTAAATTTTTTTTTATATTCCTAAACGTCAAATCATACACCAAATTTTCACAATTAAAAATCACAAAAATATCGATTTTAGGTCAGAATTCCGAATTTTATTCAATTTCTAATTTTTTGGATAGCTTTAACGCTTCAGATACATCTAGATTTTAATAAAATATAAAATCATTTTATTATATTCAATTATTAGCCCCTATTTAATTGAGTCCCGGTGCCCCCCCCCCCCGATATTGCCAAAGCTCCCTAAGATTCTTTATCTCCGTTTTTTGGTCCCACGTTTCGTGCCATTTATGAAAATGTCCGAGCGATCTAGAGGAGCATCAGGAAATTCCTCGCGCTCATTTTTCTCATAGCCCGCCGTAGGGTTTTGGCAAATAGAGAGAGAGAGAAGAGAGGGAGGGACAGACCTCGTGCTCCTCCCCTTGTTCTCATTCTCAGTTTTCTATGGCACGCCCATCTCCCCCCGACCGTTTCGAGGCCAAAATATTCGTGTGCCCCGGGGTTCTTTTGTCAGTTTTGTTGCTCGCTCGTGCTCACTTTTCCTATAGTCCGCCCCGGCAACGGGATGACGATACAATTTTTTGCTATTTGTTTGACCGTATAGATACGTCATTTTTGCTAGGTTATTTCATCGTTTCGCGGCCAAAATTTTTCGGGAATATATTTTTTTATTTTAGATCCTATCCTCAAGGGTTTAAAAAAATTCCAGATAACCTTCTCAAAAATTATAATTTGTGTAAAAATTCGAAACCATCCGCAAAATTCCGGCAACTATGTCGATATTGCCGACATCAAAAATGCCCACATCGAAATTTCGAGATTCAAAATACCGACAGCCGATCGAATTTCTTGACAAAATAGCTTTCTATTCCAATTTCAAATCCTTGCGGTATCGGCATTTTTAGCTATATTGTCGATATTTTGATCTATTTGTCGACATTTTCACACTCGCTTGTCGGTATTTATCCTTTTTTCGACATTTTTAGATTATCTTGTAGGCATTATGACCTTGGAGTTTCGGCATTTTCATTTTTTGGCGGCTTTTGCTGGGATTGTCGGTATTTTAATTTTGCAGTCAGCGTTTTTCTGAAAACTTCGGCATTTTGAGCTGTCGACATTATTCGGTCCAGCTCGACATGTCGAAAATTCATCAAAAAATCGGCTGAAAACCATATTTTCTCGATTTATCGATCCGTCGACTTGGTATCTTGTTGATGAACCCCCTACCCGTCTAGCCGCTCGACAAAACAACTCTCACAAGTTGACCTCTCTAAGACACTGAAAAACAACTCTATTTACTAGGTATTTTGACACCAGTTTTTACCATTTTTGAATTGAAGCCAAGATCCATGCTACTACGGTATAATTGTGTGTTTGTGCATAGCCGAAAATTTTGGAAATTTTATGGTATTTTAGGGTTTTTTTGCTAGTAATGAGCAATATTTAGGCGGGATGCCGCTCGACAATCTGCATGGATTTGTGCTGCCCAAATTCGACAAGGTCGAGAAGGTTTTTAAGTGAGTTAAAATTATCTGTATAGTTCTCTCTCTCTCTCTCTCTCTCATTCTCTCTCTCTCTCTCTCTCTCTCTCTCTCTCTCCCTCTCCCTCTCCCTTCTCTATCTCCCTCCTCTCTCTCTCTCTCTCTCTCGCTCTCTCTCTCTCTCTCTCTCTCTCTCTCTCTCTCTCCATCCCCTCTCCCTTCTCTATCTCGCTCTCTCTCGCTCTCTCACTCTCTAACTCGCACTCTCTATCTCGCTCTCCTTTTAACTAGCTCTCTCTGGCTCTCTCTAAAGCTCTCTCTCTCCCTCGCTCTCGCTCTCCCTCTCCCTCCCTCTCTTTCCCCTCTCTCTCTCTCTCTCTCTCCAAAACGCTTTTCCCAACCCATATTTCGAGCAAAACCCCGTTTATAATTGCCGGGTTTCCCCCCTCAAAAACCCGTCCACCGCCCGGAAACTGTGGCAATTTTGATGAGCAAGTTTTTGTGATTGTTGTGTGTACATAGGAAGCTTGCGGGGGAACCAGTTCCCCCCTCCCTCAAATTCCGCCTTGTTCCCGGGTATTTTTGTGGCACAACTTCGCGGGGGAATAATAATGGGGCAGGGGGTGAACACTCTCACTTTCTGCCATCCACCACTTTCCATGGAACACCAATTGACACTCCGGGAGGACGGGGATCGGGTAATATGATGAGGTAATCGGTTACTGGTGTTAAATCGGGCGTAAAAATATGGTAGCGAGCGGAGATCTTTGGGGAACGCTGGGAGAGAGAGAGAGAGAGAGAGAGAGAAAGAGCGATAGACCTGCGGAGATTCCGTAGGAATGAAATAATTTTACGCGGCAATTTGGATATCTGCCAAGTGTAAGCCCCAGGCAAGCTAGCACAGATTATTTTGGAAATTACCCCAAGGAGGGCAGGCTAGCAGAGACTCTTTGAAACATTGCGGAGCGTGAGAGGCTTTTTTGTGGCTTATCAATGTCAGTCTAGCCGCTAATCTAGCCACAAGCACGATCAAGAAATGGAAAGTGATGAGAACTGAAATAATCGTAGTTTTCTCACGGTTTCTAAGGACAAAAGTTAGTCTGAAAATTTCACATGTTCCCCCCCCTTATCTCTTCTCTCTCTCTCTCTCTCTCTCTCCATATCTTTCTCACTCTTTCTCTCTCTCTGTCTCTCTCCCTCCCTCGCTTTTTTAGTTCTCTCTCTCCCTCTCTCTCTCTCTCTCCTCTCTCTCTCTCTCTCTCTCTCTCTCTCCCTAACAAAACCCCGGAACGTCTCGCCGCTTCCGCTTTTCCATCCGATATCACAACTTTTTTGCCCCCTCGTTCTCCTCCTCATCTCTCTCCCCCATCCCCCGATATGCCATGGCAGCCACACAAAAAGTGAAAAATGCTCACCAAAGAATTTCCCTGCCAAAACACCAATACCGTCAAATTCTTTTCCAGGAAAAACTTCCACGATGGATGGGAAAGAGAGGGGGCATCTATTGCTGTCTATCACAAGGTCAGCAAATACAAAGGAATATGGGGGATTTTTTGGTTTTAAAGGGATGGTGAAGTGAAGTAATCGGTATGACGCGAGTCATTAAAAACCCATTAAAATGCACATTTTGAAAATAAACTTGAGCTTCTAAAAGGGGCGTGCCAGAAATTCATAAAAAAATTCTGGGTACGGTAATTCTAATTTTCCTTTTGCAGGGAGAATTGGTGGTGGACCTCTCTGGCGGCTGGATGGACAAATCGGCAGGGAGGAAATGGACGGAAGAAACGAGAACCGTCGTTTTTAGCACAACAAAGGTATCGAAAACATAGCTTGCCTGGCGAACCTTCCCCAAAGGAACTCTGCTCGTCTGCCTCGGCAGATTTTCCATTTTTCCTGGGTCGATTTTAGTACCTTTTTCCTATATCGCGCAATGAGTCTCTGCTAGCTTGCTCCGTGCTGAGTCGGTTTTTTCGACAGACAAGATAGAGAGAGAAGGAGAGAGAAAGAGAGAGAGAGAGAGAGAGAGAGAGAGAGAGAAAGAGAGAGTGTGAGTGATAGATAGAAACACACAGACGGAGATATTGAAAGTTATCTTTCTCGCGGTTAACGCTGTTTTTAGCGTTGCGTGTCGGGAGCGCATCGGAATTGGCGGAAATCCATAGCCATTCCTCCCTTTCCCGTCTCTTTAATCCCTCCATTCTTCCAGGCAGTCGGCGCCATGTGTGTAGCCCTTCTCGTCGACCGTGGCCACCTGAAATACTCGGATCTGATGGTCGATTTCTGGCCCGAATTCGGACAGAATGGCAAGGAGAACATCACCATTGATTGGGTGATGAGCCACAGGGTACGTTTAAACGGATTTAAAGCTCTATTTTATGTCATAATCGATTACGCCACATTTTCCAGGCCGGTCTGGCGGCTTTTGATGCGCCAATCGATCTGGAGGCAGCCCTGGATCACGAGCGGATGGCTGAGATTATTGCCAAGCAGACGCCTAACTGGGAACCTGGCACCAAGCATGGGTAGGTGAAAAACCGGCGTGTAAAGGGACTGGCAAGGCATGGCTATGGATTTATTGACTATGGATTATCTATTGAATTTTCCGCCCTAACTAACGGAAAGAGTATCAAAAGCTCTCGAAAAAGCAAAAAATAAGCGTACTTAATGTTGTAAACCTCCCTGGTTTTCTATTAAATTTTCACGCAGCATATTTTTCCTCGTTAATTTAGTAAAAATAAAATCAACATTTTTAAGTTTTTTAAAAGTTGTATAAAAATTGTTCCGAACCGATATCCCTCCCTGCGGATAAACGGCTTAATTTTTGCCTTCGAAGCCCCTTTAAAATTATATTATTGTTGTTTAGATACCACGCACTGACCTACGGATGGCTGGTCGATCAAATCGTGCGCAGGGCAGATCCACTACATCGAGGAGTCGGGCAATATTTCCGGGAAGAAATCGCCCAAAAACATAGTAAGTTTGGGGCCGGATTTTTCTGAGTTTGTAGTCTGTAGTTTGTAGTTTGTAGCCCAGAAAAATTTCAAATTAGTATGGCAAAGCGGGATCCATTAAATCCTGTAAAAACCCATTTTTCAGACATCGACTTCCACCTCGGCCTCCCTCCAAGCGAAGAGCATACCGTATCCCGGTTGACGCTCCCCTCCACCGCGCATTTGCTGAAGGAAATTGTGCACGATCCAAGGGTACGTTTTTCCTATTTTCGAATACTTTTAACGATTTTGTTAATAATCAAATGCTTGTTTTCGAGGGCTACGCTACGAACCAAATTGCAACATCAAGTTACGTGTATTTCGTACTAAAATTTATTATTTCACCCGTCATTTGGTGTAACACGTAGCTCGATTCAATTACGCAATGGAAAGGCGGCGTTCACGATGCGTGTCACGGCGGAGTAGGGAAATTCGTAGAAAGCCAGAGCGTCATTTGGTGTACCAAGTAGCTATACGGAAATACGAATCTATGGCCGGAATTCAGCTTTTTGTTGCGCAACCGATTACCACCCTATCAGGCCGTTACGGGACGCGCTGCATGTCGTGTTGCGTGTCTCGGCTCGGCAGGGAGCTCAGGACGTCCACAAACCAAGAAAAATCCAATTACAAAGCTAAAAATAAAACTAAATAGATAAAATCCAAAAAAAGACGTACAACTTGAAATGTATAAAATTGTTTTAAAACCAATAAAAATTAGATAAAAAAACTCAAGCTATTTAGGTACTAATCGTGCTCGCCATCTTCCACCTTCGCCCACCTGGCTCAATTGGGCGAAAAGTACGGGAAAATCCCCAATGGTTCAAGCTCGAACAGGTAAAAAATCGGTTATCATATTTCTTTCATCATAAAGCGAAACAAAAAAAAAACAGAAAAAACGTTTCTGATCATCAAAAACAATAAAAAAAAAAACGGAAAACAGCCCATTTTTTTAGGAAGTGAACACGTTCAACGCCCCCGAACTCCACCAAATCGAGCAGGTCGCCGCCCTCGGCATCACCAAGGCGCGCGATTTGGGGCGGCTTTTTGCCCTGTTTTTGAGGGGTGATATTGTGAATAAGGTATGCGAATTAATTTAGCCTAATTTTCAAGAAATTTGGGTTATACATCAACTTTTCAGGAGATGATCAAGCTGTTCGCCGAGCCACAAATTGATGAGGGAATCGACCAGGTTGTCATGGTGCCTATGCCAAAGGGACATGGATTTTTGTACGAGCGGCATCCACTTCTGGGGGTAATTTTTGGTTTAAAAAATGATGTAGATCTCTCTCTCTCTCTCAGTCTTTCTCTGTCTCGCTCGCAGTCGGGCTCCTTCTCTCTCGCTCGCTCGCTCGCTCTCCCTCTCCCTCTCTCTCTCTCTCACTCTCTCTCTCGCTCTCACTCTCTCTAATTCCTCCATTTTCCAGCGCAAATGGCTCGTCGGTCACCCGGGCTACGGTGGCAGTACGGTAATGATGGACACCGAAGAAGAGGTATTTTATTGATCTTGTAAAAAGTGTTTATCGTACGCTACCGTATCCTACCGTAATCCCCCTTATTTCCAGGTGGTAATCGCCTACGTCAGCAATGGCCTCAAAACCGGCATGGGCGAGCTGACGCGGACGTACAGGCTATTAAGGTAAAATTGTTTTTTCACAATTTTTTTAAAGGACCATTGAATCCAATAATTGCGATAGATGATTTTGTGGGGTTGTCAAATGGCCAATCTCAAAAATATGCTTTTTCTTTCAGAAATGCTGTCTTCGAATGCATCCAGCGTGACAAAAATATCTGATGATTTTTTGCGGTTTTTCCACTACCGTACCCCTCGCTTCCGATTACTGTACATATCCGCACGATAATAATTCGATCAGGCTGAAAAAGAGCAGCTTTACGGGCCCGTCTTATGACATTTCCAGATGAATTCCTTTTGCATAGTTTTTGAACCAATTTTTGTCTCTCTCTCACTCTCTCTCCCGTTCTCCCTTCGATCTCTCTTTTCTCTAACTTTTTCTCTGCCTGTTTCTCTAGCTCTCTCTTGTTCTCTCTCGCTCTCTCTCTCTTTCTCTGTAACTCTCTCTCTCATCTCTCTCTCTCTCTCTCTCTCTCTCTCTCTCTCTCTCTCTCCCTCTCTCTCCCTCTAGCCCTCTCTATCCACCCATTTAATAAATTTATCCTTCAAAACACAATTTTAACATAATAAGTACGCGAAATAAAAATAAAATAAGGCACAGAGATTTTTGGAAAATTGTAAAACGATGGGGAAATTTAAGTAGCTTTCAGGATTTAAATAAAGCATAATTTAGCAATTTTGGGATTTTATGCCGACCGATTATTTCACTTCCCAGCCCCTTTAAAATAAATTATTATTCTAAATAATTGCCCTAGAAAACGAGAATACGGTAAGCAGGGCGAGGAGAATAATGGGCTGCGGAATATTTGACGAGGAGGCGTAAATATTGCACCGTGGCGAATTGCAGCAACGGATCGAGTTTTGCCCGACGGCCTCTTGGATTTGCATTGTGCCGACCGTCTGAAAACAGCTTAAATTGTACGCATTATAAGGCAAATATAAAAATATTACAGTTTAGTAAAAAGAAGGAATTCAAGTAAAGCTATTAACGCCGCGTTAATTTTTTTTTAACGACAAAAACTGACTTTTTTGTCTCCAAACAGCATTCATACAGCCACATAACGGTTACAGAAGGTAAAATCAAAGAATTATTCTCTGATTTTTTTAGTACCGTAATGATAAAAATATTTAGTGATTGTTACTACGTTCCTTTGTCAAAGTAAAAAGATCTTTTTCTGTCTTTCCGAAACCTTGCTCCACCTACCGTACACCGATTCCCACATCCCTGTTTAACGTCGAGTCCCTTGTCGCTTCGATTGATCCCCACCCCGCACCATCCCTCACACATTATCAGCTGGTCCTGAAACAATCGGTAATTCGTGTTTTTCATGGCGTAAAAGATTCGAATCTTTCTCTCCCCCTCTCTCTCTCTCCTTCTCTCGCTTCTTTTTTTCTCTTTTTTTTTTTTTTTTTTTTCACCCTCTCTCGCTCTCTGCCTCTCTCTCGTTTTTTCGTTTTCTCTCTCTCTCTCTCTCTCTCTCTCTCTCTCTCTCTCTCTATGTCTGTCTTTCTCACGCTCTCTCTCGCGCCCTCTCTCTCTCTCTGTAAAACTTACAAATGGCTGATTTTCAATTGGCTTCCCATTGAAATGATTTGACAATATGCACTCCAATGTCGCCATTACGGTAGGAAGGGCGAGAAATAGCAAAACTATCGACTTCCCGAACAATCGATCGACCATCTTCGATTGTAAAGGGGCAGCGAAGACCTGAAAATTTTGCCTTTTTGCGGCGCAATTTAATTTTCACAGTTTCTTTCTCAAAAAATCGAGCTCTGAACGCTGCGTCCGCTTCGGGACTCATTGCAGAAACAGCAAACAAACCAAATATGGGCTGATGACAAACATGAAATGGGGGATTTTTGGTGGATTTTGGGAACAAATGGATTGGAGTGGGAGGCAGGCTTTTTTTGGGAAAAGACGAGGCCCTAATTTTAGTTTAGTGCATATTTATACTTCTTTTACACTGAAAAATCCACACAATCTCTCTTGACTATTCGTTGGCAAGATAGCAGAGTTTCTTGCGGAAAACTAGGTCTGGACCCTGGGAGGTAGGGCATGCTAGCAGAGATCCTTTGCGTAAAGGGGCAACTAGCTAAGACCATTAGTGGAACCTGGATCCGATGCCATGCTAGCTGAGATTTTTTGCGGAACTTTAGGTATATTTGGCATCAGAATCGAACCTCGGAAAACCGCGAAAAATGCCATCGGCGTTTATGGTATAGGTGTATATAGTAGCACAGCGTAGTCGGATCGGCTCAAGGAAATTCCAAGCAAGAGATAGGTAGAGAGAGAGAGAGAGAGAGAGCTTGAGAGAGTGATAGAGCGTGAGATTGAGAGAGCAAGAGGAAGAGAGCTAGAGAGAGCGAGAGAGAGCGAGAGAGAGAAAGCGAGAGAGAGAGAAAGAGAGAAAGCGAGGGAGAGGGAGTGAGCGAGAGGGAGAGAGAGCGAAAGATAAAATACAGAAAAACGCCAAAACCAGGTTCTAGGACCTAGAAACTAACTCCTTCTGAAAAACAATCCTGGCAGAAGCAGAATTATCCGCCCTTGCCGAGTTGGCAAGATGAGAAGTTGCCATCTAGAAAAAGAGGGGCACTAAGATGCGAAGAACTAATTGGGAAGAAGAAGAATCTATTGGAAGGGCAGAAGCCAGCGGAAAGAAGCAGAAGAAGAAGAAGATGAAGGAATTGAGAAGGGAATGCCCCTTCATTCCTCATCACAATCCCCCCTTCCCTTCTCCCCTGCCCTCTCACCCATCTATTCCACATTCCAATTGGCCCCTCCCCATCCCGACCTCTCGCCTTGCCTGCCCATTTTTGCCAGCTTTAAGGGGCCCAGGGCAGTCGGAAATCTCGGAAAATGAACAAAAGACCGTGAAAATGGAAGAATTTGGATTTGTAAGCGCTTAAGAAAATCGTATCCAAAAATTCCATAAAATGACCCCAAACATGTATAAATCTAAAACGGCACTATTTCAGCGGAATATGGAAGCTCTAGGATTGTTGCCCTAAAAACGTAGCTTAACAAGCCGCTCAAGGCGAAAATTCAAATAAATTTATTTTCGTATAGTTTTCGTGCATCGAATGGTGTAAAAAATTGCTAAATAACACCGAAAAATATAAAATGTCTTTTTTCCGAGATTCAGGAATTCACGGGCTAGTGTAATGTACGCGGTTCCACTTGAAGCATTCAAACAAGGCTCAAAACTTCCTGAAAAGTTTTTAAGATTTTTTAAATCAGCAGAAGCCGGGCTCCTAAATAATCTCTTCCAGCTACGTCAAAAATTAATTTAGCCGACCGATCTCTGAAATTGGCCGAACCCTGGATTCATTCAAAAAACATGGAGGGGTCGGAAATGAAAGTCGTGCTCAATGAAAATGGCATAATTAAATCGAAATGGGCGGGCCAAGTTTGAATGAATGGAAGAGAGAGCGAGAGACAGAGAGAGAGAGAGAGCGAGTAGAGAGAGAGCAAAAAAGAGCCGTTAGACGTCAATCCCCCGGAATTGGCATCAAAATAACAAGTATTTTGACGCTTTGACTTTCTCAATTTTTCTAGCAGTATTTTTAGTAAAATAACTATATTTCATAATTTTTATGCGTCTAGATAATCCAAAAATCGACAAAAAAATTATGCCCTTCTCGCCTGGCCCCACCCTCGTTATAGCGGAACGAGCCCTGGAGATTTATTTCAGTCCGAGAAGGATCAAAAAACTCGCGGAAACCCCGAAATTTACTACCCTCCAGGGTATTCGGATACTAGACACTTGAAATATCAGCATAAAGATGTATTAAAATAATTCGCGGACGGGGGATGATTCGGGGGAATTATGCGATGAATGGATAAAAATCGGAGAGCCGCACCCTTCCTATGAATATTATTTGCATTGCAGATTTATCTGTGGAGGGGGGATGGAGACGGACTTTTGGTATCTTGTCTATTCCGAGAAAGGGCGCCACAAGGCCGGAAGTAGACCAAGAAATGGAAAGGAATAAAGGAACTAACAAGGCAAAAACCAAAAATATTTGCAAAAATTTGGTTTTTTTTTGTATTCTGGTGTCTCTCTCTCCCTTTCTCTATCTCTCTCACTCCCTCTCTCTCACTCCCTCTCTCCCACTCTCCCTCTCTCTATTTCTCTCTCGCTCTCTCACTCTCGCATTTCAATTCTTTATTGCACACAAAAATTCATCAAAAAAATTGCGCAAAAAGTCATGGGTGATAATTGTGTCCTTCTCCTTTTCTAGGCGTATGGCTAGAAAAGTACTGGGTATGGGGGGCGGCTACGCGAGGATACGGTAGCCGGGGGCAGGGTTTAGGGAATTATTCTTGTCTCGAGATGGCGTGCCGGGGCTGCTGGACATAATCATAGTCATCGTCACGGTGGAGATGATCGACGGAGACGGTTTTTTGGAGCGGGTCGCCAACCTGGAATTGAGGTTTTAAAGGGCCGTTGAAGGGAGATATAGAGAGAGAGCGATAGGGGGAGAGCGAGAGAGAGAGACAAAGAGAGATAGAGACAGAGAGATGAGCGAGAGAGAGACAGAGAGCGAGAGAGCAGATAGATGAGCGAGAGAGACAGAGAGATGAGTGAGAAAGAGTGAGAGAGAGAGAGCGAGATAAAGAGATAGATAGACAGAGAATTACCTGATGCAGCTTATCATAACTTCGTGCTCCTCTCAACCCTCCTCCTCCTCTCATTTGATGCTCCAATGGTATCCCTCTATGCCCTCTCCTCCACGCATCAATAGACTGTTCCAACGTGGGGAGTCCCAGCTCGGTCCTGCTCCTTCTGAACTCCTCCTCCCGCTCTCGGTGCTCCCGAATTTCCGAAGCGATCCTACCCTCTCCGCCTCGGGAGGTATCTCCGTTTTCTTGGTCCTGAAAATGTTTTAAAACCAATTGTTTTACGTGTTAGTCTAGTTTACGGTTGGAAGAAACGTAGCCGAACGTCAAAGATACGCGATTACGTATAAAGATTAAGTTAAAGTTAACAAACCGGATACTGCCGTCCCTTCTGCCCATCCAGCCGCTTCACAAATCGCGGTACGTTCGACTGGCTGGATACGTTTTTTACGTATCTTCCACTAGGGTTTTGAGATGGCAACCGGGATGGGGACATGCCCTAAAAATAGTAATAATTTAAAAATTATAATGTGATCATAATAAGCGGAGCTTACAAGATGTTGAACAAAAAACTTAAAAATTGGCAATTTTTAGCATATTTTTATTTTTTTTTCTACTTTTCTTAGTGGGCGATAAAAGGGTTAATTACAAGTTTAATTAATTAACGCTACTGTATCATGGTACTTTATTTACTTACCTGTGGGGTGTAAGAATGTGGTGCCTCATCCTCGTAACCCCGCAATTCCACTCGTCTCCACGGGATCACGTCGAGAACGGCCCGGATTTGGTCGGGGATCAGGATTCCGAGGGCTGGAAATAAGTTTTTTTTGCAGTAATTTAGCATAGCTTAATTCAGTAATAAACGGCTGAAAATGGTGGATAATGGTCAGATCGACCAGAGAAACACTTAAAAGCGACTTTTTGAAAGCGAAATTTCGAATTGCCTTTGAGCCTTTGAACTGCTTTGAAAGAGCACAACATACCAGCCACCATGTCTGCATTCTGCTTGAGGTAGAGAAGCAAAAGCTGCTCCTCATGGCTCAAACTGATTCCCATCGGGGTTGTGCGCTGATCGGTCGAACGGGGGCTCGGTTCGGACCTGGAACAGCGGGGTAAAATGATCAGGTTTTTGCCTTCAAGACTCCTTTAAAGCTACAGAAAAGACCGTGCTAATTATTTTTGGCGATGGATTCCGTAAATTTTTGCCCCGGCCGTGACAAAACCAAATTTTTGGGCATTTTTATGCATATTTACCAAAAAGTCGAACATTGTCGAAGTTTTTTTATAAAGTTTTTGTTTTATAAACTGTATAAATTTTATGAAAATGCTTTATATTACGCTATGGAGCCGTAGTGAATTTCCTGGAAAGACGGGGTAAGCTAAAATCTTAAAATCGTAATTTTCCGGGTCGAGACCTAGTGGCCGTATAGGGTCGATTCAGGTGCTTCTCGGCAGCTTTAAACCCTAAAAACGAACCCATAATCCATTTCCCGATACACTTCCTGCCGTGTCGGTGGCACTTTTTGTAATCGGTGGTGCTGGCTGGGGTACTTGTTGCTGTTGTTGTGGATGTTGTTGCTGCACCCCATGTTGATGATGATGATTTTGCAGATCGTGATGCCCGCCAATTCTTCCATTTCCCATCATCACCGCTCCGTTATTAGAAGTCACTGGAGTCTGGGGGGAGTCGGCGTTGTTGTTGTTGCTGGTGGGGTTGTTGAATTCCAGGGTGTTGTTGGGCCCATTTCGCGGCGTCAACTGCAATGAGTACACTTTTTTGCGACCTATACGGTAGTTTTGAAAACCTAGAAAATCTAGAAACGCGCCTAAAAATCAAAACTGAAGGTGATACAGGTGCAAAATTTGTTTAAAACCAGATTTTTCGCTATTTTTCGTGCTTTTTTGCGCTTTTTCGAGCAAACAACGTGTCACTGTCGCTGTAAAATTTTCAGTATTTCTCGACCACAAACTTTAGGCTACAAGCGATGAGCTACAAACTACAAACCTGCATGCCCGCCCTCGAAAACCTGACGAGCCGCGTGAATATTGGCGATGGATTCCCGCGAGATTCCGTCCCGGATTTTGGACTTATCGTACCACGGCTGGTAGTCCACCTGAAAATATACGGATTGCCTGTTAAATTCTGCCTGCATGGTCCCTTTAAAAGGCTCACCTGAACCTGCGCCAACGACTCCATGCTCTTCCCCTTGGACAGCCGCTTTGGCACGGCCTCGTGGATGACTTGCTGCAAAAGGCTAGGTTTTCTATGGATTTCCAGCCTTGCGTGGCCTTTAAAGTGGGCTTAACAGTCTAAAATATGCCAAAAACGATTAGGCTGGTTTTGAAGGGCTTAAAAGCGAAATTCAAAAAATCTAGTTGCTGATTTCCCGGGGTTTGATGTGTCGTGTGGTTCTCGATACCCAGTAGCCCTGTGGGTTTAATTTCGGAGCACAGAAATACTGCGAAATTGACCCTTAGGGACGTTTAGGATTAGACAAAGAACCGTAAAGAATATAAATTTTGAGTCTGGGTTGGTGGAAGATGTACTCGTCTAGACCTAGTTAACTAAAAGGGTTGATTTTCAAGCCTTCCCACCCCTTGAAAATGCAAATATCTAGCTCGTCATTTCCCTGACTTCCCTGTGTGTGACTGCCCAATTAGTCTAAAGGGAAACAATCTGACACGATCTATTCGCTATGTGCCAAATATCGATGTTGCGATCTAGGGGGGCTGTCAACTGGAATCGACAACCAATGCATCCATCCCAGAGCTCGATTTTAGATCGTTATCTTGAGGAATATTTAAATAACATCACAACATCAAATATTGGCTTCCCAAAAGGTTTCCACAACTCAGAAAAGCCGAAGAGCAATAAAATTGAAAATATTCAACTTTGGCGCAATTTTTGGAAATGCTCACCTTAGTGCGCGTGGCCTCCCTCTCGGTCTCTTCCATCTTTTTCAGGCGTTGAGTAGGGATTCGACTGTCCGTTGGGATAGAAACGGGATTTGAAGCAACTAATGAAGCCGAGAGCGCGTCGGTAGATCGCCATTTCGGAAATCCATAGCTTTGACGGGGTTTTTGCCATTGGTCTTCCTGAAAATGGGAATTTTAGGGCTGATCTCTCCCTCTCTTTCCTTCTCCCTGTCTCTCGCTCGTTCTCCCTATCGCTCGCTCTCTCCCACTCACACAGTCGCTCTCCTCTCTCTCTCTCTCACTCTCTCTCTCTCTCTCTCTCTCTCTCTCTCTCTCTCCCTCTCTCTTACCCTAATTTGCATCTCCCTCCTGCAATTCTCCTCCCAATAATTCTTGACGCCATGGGCCCTAGGGTTCTCGTCCACTCGTCCCGCCAGCTTGCTCCCTGCCCACCCGTCGGTGGTTGTGCTGCCTGAAAATACGCAAAATAAAGATTTACAAAAATAAAAAGTTCTCGAAAATTCGGACTACGATAGTCCTATTGCCGTCATCCAGGATTTCAGGTTTTTCTTGTAGTTTGAAGCCAAAAGGGCTCGGATTTTGCAGGAATAGCAAAACCATAGCTTATTTGATAAAGCTAAAAGTTGTGCCTCAATTGTATTTTTAAAAATGGCAAAAAGATTACGGTTTCCGGGAAAAATCAATTAAGCTGGAAATCATGGAAAAATCAAGAAATCAAAGCTTTCACCACCCATTTTTTGCGTAAACAGTAACGAATCCGATTTTTTTTAGTGAAGTATATTTTACGCAAAATTTTTTGCGTTATCGATTCTGCTATTCTATAAACAGAAAGACTACAAACTACAGCTATACGCAGAAACCGTCTCAAATCATCTTAGTGTAGCTTCACAATTAAAAAAAGGCCAAAAAACCGTCGATAAGATCAAGGTATGGTAAAGCGAAAATCCAACGTATCCGAACGGAACTTGTGTCTATAGTACGGACGCGGAACGGATGAGGGTATGATGAGGGATGATCCGAAGAAGGGGGGAGGAGCTGACCGGTGGGGGGGGGGGGAGGAATGGGTTGACGGGTGTCAAGCCTGGAAAGGAACGGAAAGAGAAAGAGAGGGAGAGGGGAAGAAGCCGAGACACCGGTCAACTCTAGCCACTACGTATATCATCTGGATATCATCCGGGGCATCAGCACGTCGTTAGTATCGGGAAGTACGGAATTTACAGGAAATTAAGCAACGAGCGGAACGTGACGGAATTTTGTCGGCTATCCCCGCGTTGCGCGACATCTACGCCTTTAACCGGCCATAAATGCTCGGAATCAATGCAATTTCAGCTCGGGAAAGGCCCGTAATTGATTACGCACTGCGTAGCCGGTCGTGCCCGTTCCTGTGGCCAACATCGAAAATCCAAAAATGCATAAAAATATAGATCCAGCCTTCCTAATCCATTTTACAACCTCTGGCGAAGAAGAAGGAAAAAAAAATCAATTTATCACCTACCAGTCATCTTCTTCCGGAGAGATGTTCGTGTATTGAGAAGAAGAGAGGAGGGTGGGTGTGGATAGGAATGGAAGGGAATGGATGGATGACCGGGATGGGTGTGTTGTATTTGTCTTCTGGTTGTTGGCTAGGGTTTGAGACTCTTACGGGGGCAGTTCTCTTGGCAATAGACAGCAGAAGAGAGAGAGAGAGAGAGAGAGAGATAGAGAGAGAGAGAGAGAGAGAGGGAGAGCGAGAGAGTGTGAGCGAGAGAGAGACTAGGGGTTACCGATGGATTACCGATGTTTAGCACCCCAGAATCAACTGATCAAGTACGAAAAAACTAGATCTAGAGAAAAGTGACAGAGAGGCAGAGAGAGAGAGAGAGAGAGAGAGAGATACAGCGAGTGATTCTTGGATTTCAAGTAATTTTTTGTATGAATCGAAGAGGGGCGAAAAACATGCCAGATTGGTTGGTGCGCTAGCACGCTAGAGATAATGAGCTAAAAAAATGAGAAATCAGGAACGGACGGGCGTAAAAAAAAAACGAAAAAACGAGAGAGAGAGCGTGAGAGAGGGAGGGAGAGAGGGAGAGAGAGAGAGCGAGAGAAACAGACAGACATAGAAAAGTGGGCCCCACAAGAAGAAGCCTGGAGAAACTGACGACCCAGGGCAAATAGTGCCCACTTGCTCTCTCTCTCCCACTCTCTCTCTCTCTCTCACTCTCTTTCTTTCTTTCTCTCTCTCTCTCTCTCTCTCTCTCTCTCTCTCTCTCTTTCTCCTTGAGAAAAAGAGCTTATGGGCCCCCGCACAAAATCTCGGAAGACAAGCGCCTGGCCGGGTGGTCGATCGCGCGCATGGAACACGGGACACAGACACACAGAAAAGCAGAGCGAAATTCGGGGGAAATATGCAAATTTTAAGCAAGCATATCTATAGTCAAATAAAGCTACAAAATTAAAAAAATGGAAATTTATGCGGATCAATTTGAAATTAATAAAAACCGCAAAAATTGGCTCGCTCAGGACGTAAAAAAGATAAAATTTCTTATTTTTCTTTTTTTATTAATTCAGAGTCCATTTAGAATAAAGTTTTTTCTAATTTATTTAGCATTTTGTTAACGCGGAGCGTCTAATAATTTTCAACCCACCATTTAGGCCACTGGGATGTCGAGAAGCGTGGCGTACCTCCCAGGAAACGCGCCTAAATTTCAATAAAAAATGCTTGCTATAAAAATAAACATAAAAATTATTCAAATAAGCCTAAAAGCATTAAGATTAATGCAAAAAAGCTTACTTGACGGGATGGGGCTCGCCATTGGCCATCAAATCGGTCAGCGATTTCGATCGGTGGCGATTCTCTGCCTCTTCTGATCTGCAAATAACGACCAAATGAACAATCCCTTGAATCAACAGAATCGAACTAAAAAAATGGGACGTTTCTTGATTCGATTGGATCTGGTCCAGAGAGCAAAATAGACGCCGGAAGCAGCCGAAAATTTATTATGCGCTCCCCGAATTCGCGCATAGTTTGATTTGATGAAGGCCCCAGGGGTGGGAGCCCAGAATTTTTAAGGGAATTGAGATCTTGGCACGTCTCCAAAATCTGGGAATTTTTTGGCTCTTTCGCATTATCGGGGGGTGGGGAGCGGAAACCAACTTTTTTCTTTGTCAAGAAACGCCTATCAACGTAGTAGTCGTTAGTCAAATGTAGTCAATACTATAATAATAAGTAAATTTAGTAGTAAAATCTAATATAATTTAAGTAAAAAACCGATCAAAAATCTTAGAAAATTTTTGATGGGTTTTTTATAAAAAACCTGCCATTTTGCTCAAAAATCATTATTGGGGCTCTCCCCCTGATAATACGAAAGAACCGAATGGCACCTTAAAGGGACCGAGTAGCCAAAAATCGCCTTGTGGTCATCTGGCTGATTTGGCCCGTTTGGATGGTTGAAAACATACAACTGCGCAGCGGAAGAAGTAGCCTGGGGTAACCGCGGATCCATCGCTTCATCAGCTCTTTCTACTAGAAAAAAGTGGTGCACCCTGAAAATCGTTAACCTACCGTATCCATTAACACCGTAGGCGTCGCGGCGTTCGCTCGATCGGGATGGGGACTAGAAAAAATATAGCCGGTTTTTGATAGCTTTTTCCTTTTTTTGTAAATTTTGCTCATAATCCGCTTTTTTGGGAATTTCTAACCGCTACCGTATCCCGCTAACTTACCGGCGGCTCCCTGATCGTCACATGCGTCACATGGCGATTCACACGATTTTGCCTGGCCAGCGAATCCGAGAAATCGGCATCATTCCGTCGCCGTAAATCGTCTTGCGAGGCGTAGTGCATACTGTAATTGGGGCATCGAATAGAAAATACAAAATCACAAATTTTAGAGCCATAAAATCCTTAAAATTCCGTACCTATACTGTTGACTGGTGACAGGATTGCTGCCCGGGACAGCCGGAGGGAATCGAGCTTCTACCTCCTCGAATTCCGGGTTCTAAAAAAGCAAAAAATACTTTGAAAGTTGTTAAAAAATTACCGTTCGCGCGTTCGGGGAAAAGCCGCCGAAATAGACGTGTTTTCGGGGTGGGACCGGGCTGGCTGAAAATTGGCGATTTGTCGTTGACTCGAACGATCTCTGCTAGCCTGCCTGGCCAATCGTAAAAGATCTCTGCTAGGCTGCCTCTGGCTTTTGTTGTGAATTTTTCGAAGGTCTTAGAATTCCTGCTGGCGCTGGTTCTCCAAAGATCGTTGCTAGCTTTCTGAGGTATTCTTTAAATTTTCCTCAAGGATACCTGCTAGCATGCCTCCCAAACCTCGGTCTTTTCATCAAGAATCTCTGCTAGCCTGCCATCACAGCCGCAATGCTATTTTCGCCCATTTTTCTTCCCGGCTAGCTCGCCACAAGGAGCCTTCCTCAAGAATCGTTGCTAGCATGCCTCCCAGGCCTATTTTCTACACCAAAGAAAAATGCCATTTCCTCGAAAAAACCTTGCTAGTTTGCTCCAAGGCGTCTTTTTCTGAATGATGGGGGCTGGCTTGTCATAGTCCACGTTTCCTCAAAAATCGCCGCTAGCTTGCCCAGATAGATTACGAACGGCTAATGTAGTTTCTTCAAACATCTCTGCTAGCCATCCCCAAGCCCGGGATATCCTCAATGCTCTTGGCTAGTTTTTCAAGGCTGCTTCCAGCTTTTCAAATTTTCCTTAAAAATCTCTGCTCGTTTGCCCTCACCACTAGAAACAGGTGCCCTCCTCTGGATCCTCGGCGAAGCATTTTTCTTCCTTGTTTCCGACTCCATCCTCACAACGCCAGCCTCCTCTGCCCGCACCCAGTTCCCCAGTCTTCACCGGTCCTTTAAAGCGATAGACTCCTCTGGACGGAAAGTGGAAAGGCGGAAGGAAACGGAATTCGCAAAGATCATCAAAAAATGGCCATCGCCAAGGTGGGAATTGGCCAGAATAGAAAGTTTTAGAATATTCTAGCACGTCCACGAGGAATTGGGCAGAATATAGGGAAGTGGATCGAGGAAAAAAGCCAATGAAAGGGACCGAACGACAAAAAATTAGATCATTAAATAAAAACAATGATAATTATAAAATCCATAATACAATAGAACACAAAAAATAAGAGGAAACTCCCGAGAAAGGTTACCTATTTAGAGGATGTTAAAAATAAATGGGAATCAGACGTTTATAATTTTGCACAGTTTAGCACAGCACAGTTTCCATGAAAATAGTTGAGTTTGTAAACCCTTTAAAATGGATATGTCCGTTCCAAAAGATATAGCAAAAATAATCACCCAAAAATCTCAAGTCAACACCCTTATTTTCCGGAATACATATCTATTCCCACCCACCCAATCTCGAATCCTCGATAAATAAGGGCTGAAAGGAGGGAGGGAGCGAGATAGAGAGCAAGACGGAGAGAGAGTGAGAGAAAGAAAGAAAGAGAGAGAATGCGCGAGCGAGCGAGCGAGCGAGGGAGAGAAAGAGAGCGAGAGGTTGAGAAGTAAATCAACCTTCCTTTTCCCGGGATAATAATATGAATCGAGACAGGAGGAAAGGAGGAGTGGGATCCAATTAATATATCGCAACTTATGGAGGCGAGAAAGAACCTATATTTTTCAGGGGCTGGCTTTTAAAGGGAGGATGACAGAAATAGAAAGGGAGAGAGATGGAGAGCGAGAGAGAGCAAAAGAGCGAGAGTGATAGATTGAGAGACAGTTAGACAAAGCAACAGAGAGAAACAGAGAAATAGAGTGAGCGAGCAAGAGAGATAGAGTAAGGGCGAAAGATCGATTGAATGAGACAGCGAGAGCAGTAGAGAGTGTGAGGTCGAGAGAGAGAGAGAGAGAGAGAGTTAGAGAGAGAGAGAGAGAGAGAGAGAGAGAGAGAGAGAGAGAGAGAGAGTGAGATAGAGCGAGATGGGGGAGAGAGAGAGCGTGAGAGATACCCAAAAAAAATTTTCCTGAAATCCGTTTTCATACAAAATTCATCAAAACCTGAAGCCCGTCAAAAGTATCGTATCGGAATCGGCACATCGAAAGGATAAATCGGATGGGGGCAAAGTTGATGATGATGATGAGGGGAGAATCTCGATTGGATCTCTCAACAAAGAGGGACCCCCACTCAAACAATCAACTGAAAGGGAAGGGAGGGCACCCATCCACACAACTATCTAGCCATCTATCTCGGTCGCATCTAGCTTTTCCTAACCGGAATAGAAACGGTTGGAAGGTTTAGAAAGGTTACCGGAAGTTATGAAAAAGCATAGTTTAAAAATAAATGAATTTTGTGTCAAATAGCTAGGGCGAAGGCGAGTGTAAAGGGGAATGCAACTTTGCCCAAAATTTTCCAAAAGAATGACGTGAGAAGGGAGGAAAAATAGCTCGAAAATGAAATAGAAAGAGAGCTAAAGATAGATAGGGAGAGATAGAGTGAGAGAAAGAGAGCGAGAGAGAGAGAGTGAGAGAGGGCGCGCGAGAAAGAGAGTGACAGGCACCGTTCCATAGAAAAATCCCAAAAATTTACCCAGCTGTCACGCTCCCTTTAAGCGATCGAGCTGAAAACTCCTCAAAATCCCCAAAAAATGCTCTGCCTCTCTCCCATTAATCCCATAAACCTACAAATACACCTCTACACATGCAAAGCGGAGTGGCTGTATGCTGAGTGAGTGAAGTATGGCCCTAGGGATTGACCCCCCTCGGCTTCTTCTAGCTCTTTGAAGGGGGAGGCAAGCGGAGAGTCTTTGCTAGGGCGCGGAAAGAGGACTGTAGTGGAATAGAGAGAAGGGGGCCCCGCTGAGCCTGTTTGTGTTCCGTTTAGCTCCTATCGACAGAGGGGTGCGATGGGGTGCACAAGGGACCCCAGAACTACCCCTTCACGCCACGTACTCTCCTTAATGCATGGTCATGTTTGCATAGGCGGGGTTAAAGGGGTACTAATCTCTAGACTACCGCATGGTACTATCGACAGACGGTTGGCAAGTTTTTGAGCTAGTGGACGTGAAAATGTCACAAAAATTCGAGAAAAAACACAAAATTTTTGGAAAATGGAGCTCTTACGAGTTTTAAAGGGAGTGTGGCAGACAGAGAGCCAGGCTGAGAGAGAGAGAAAGCGTGAGAGGAAGAGCGTGAGAGAGAGAGAGAGCGTGAGGGAGAGGGCGTGAGAAAGGGCGAGAGAGGACGAGAGAGGGCGGGAGAGAGCGAGAGGGCGAGTGAGCGCGTGAGAAAAGAGAAAGCTATAGAGAAAGCGGCGCAGAGAGCGAGAGAAAGACCAAGGAAAGCGAGAGAGAGAGGGAGAGAGAGAGAGAGAGAGAGAGAGAGAGAGAGAGCGGGAGAGAGACAGGGAGAGAGGTAAGGAGATAGAGCTAGATAGAGAGAGCTAGATAGCGAGAGACAAAGAGAGAAAGAGAGAGAGGGAGAGAGAGAGAGAGAGAAAGAGCGAGAAAATATGCAAAAATCACAGCCAAAACCATTAAAACCTTTATTAAAGGCACACACAAGACTGTGAATCGAGTAGAAAATGAGGTGCGATATGGCGGAGAGGTCAGAGAGATTGTCGCGTGTCGATTGGAGCGTAGCGTAGTCGCCTCCATCCCCTTCACTGCAGATCGATGACGGGGAATTCGGTCTTCAGATGCTCGTCGGCGACGACGACTGGCATCTGTTTCGGCGCCTGACGGGTGGGAAAATAGGAAAGTTGCAACAAAAAACGAATTTGTGTGATTTTTGCCATAATTCAGGGTCCTTTTTGCCTTATTGCGCACTACAAAAAATTGCAACATTTTTAAAAAGATGGAAAAATTTTAAAAGTAGAAAATCCAGCCTCCAGAATGCCAATCCAAACATCTGAGGGCCCACATTAAAGAGTGAGAGTTTCTGGCGGCTGGGTGATGTTTGTTTGTTTGTAATCCGATGCGATACTCCTTACAGCTCAGAAGATTTCTTTAGAATACTTCAGACAAGAGAGCGAGAGAGAGAGAGAGAGGAGAGAGACGCAGCGAAGCCGAAATCCACGCAAATATCTACCCCTGCTTTCTCGCCATGTTTAATTAGTATGGGAACCGGTCCCGCCGGGCAGCTGACTCTGGGCTTTTAAAAAGTCGAAATTGGCAGCTACCCAAAAGTGCTAAAATTAGCCTTCACTGGTCCTTTAAAGGTCTTGGAAAGGCTGGCTAGGAATTTTCTATGGGTTTAACCGCGCAGCGACACGCAACGCGCGCGCCCCGCTTCGTCGCCAGGCAATCCATTACGCCATGATACGAACGCGTTGCGTGTCGCGACGCGGAAAATGGAAAATCCTTAGCAAATTCATAACCAGAAAGCTAGAATTTTTCATTTGTTTGCCTATCTTCTCCTACCTCCCTGACGGTCATATCCCAGTCGGTGCCCGGCCCGCCGCGATGCCCATCGTTTGGCTGAAAAAAATTGCAATTTCAATAAAAAAAATGGTTTTTGAGCGCCTTAAAGGCACGGTTAAGGCAGAAATCTATGGATTTTTATGTCTTCGATAACTTTTAAAAAATCTACGCGATTGAAATCGAAGCCATCAAAAAGTCACTTTTCTACAGAAATTTTGCCTTCACAGTCCCTTCAAATGATTTTATGCTTTTTGGCAACTGTACCTTCTTGGCCTTCTTCTTCGACATCTTCTCGCGCCACTGCACCCAACGGCCCATTTTTAGCGGGTTTCGAAATGTTGGTTTCTCTGTTAGTTTTTTGTGTTTTTCTGCCATTTCCGTTACATTGCTATGTACATCCAATTAAATGCAAATTATTTATACAAATCAGTCGGTGGTATGGTCATACCGTATAACCGTTTAATCGGGAATTACAGTACGATACAAATTACGTCACAGTACGGTAGAGTACATTGAAGTACGATAGTACGTAATACTACGATAGAGTACGCTACAGTACAATGCCGAGAACGTACGGTTGCGCTAAAGTACGATAAGGTACGCTTTAGTACGTTTCAGTACGTTGCAGTACGCCACAGTACGGTACAGTCCGCTTCAGTACGATACAGTACGATACACGAATTCCGGGAGAATACACGGGTACTCGACAATAAATCAACACTAATCGACTCTGGGCACTAACCAAAGCGGGCGGATAACAGGAATTACCGTAGTAAACATGAAAAATGACAAATGTGGATCCGGTTACGGTAGCAAAAATATAACAAATTCAGTATTTGTGGCTTTTTACCGTATCCAGGCCAAAAATGTGCATCGGAGGTAGTGGGAAGTCATGAAAATTGCCCCAAAAAAAAGGCTTTTTCAGCGGTTTTAAAATTTTTCTATGGATTTTCCGACTTCCCAGCCCTTTAAAAATGCAAAAATCTGCATGTTGTCTAGCCGACATATATAAAAAAAACAGAATAAGAACAATAGATAACCGGGGTGATAAATGGTCTACAGCCGCTGCGTCGAGAATCAGGAAAATCGGACAACAAAAACACATTTTAAAGGGACTAGCTAGGCAAAATCTGCAAAGAATCCATAGCCAAAATAAACCTGCCTTGCTAATCCCTGAAAAATACAGTATTTTTCTATAGAAGATCTTTCGAATAAGTAAAGTATATCAGAGGGGAAAAGCGCTTTTTTAAAGTTTTGTTGTGTGACCGGTATTTGGTGGGATGGGGGGATAGCTTAAAAACATTCCAAAAAATGTAGAAAGATGTGTTGTAGATTACTGTAGAATTATGCAGATTGGCCCTTCAGCGATTTGATGTAGCCGTCGAGCTGAAGAATATGATAAATTTTAGAACATTTTTTATAAAAACAATTTTTAATTTGAATCAAAAATGTATGTTTTAATTTAATTTATTTTAACATAGAAAAACTTGTCTTAAACCGGTTTGGAATTTTAAAAATCATAAAAATCCAAAATTGAACTAGAAGTGAAGTTTGTCGTTTCATGTAAATTCAAAATTTTAGGGCAATCGTTAGCAGCGATTCTTTGGGAAACTCCAGTTTTTGGAAATGTAGAAAAATTAGAAGAATCTAAAATGATAAAATCCCACAAAAAACCGGCTAAGTTAGCTTTGAATCTAAGGTTTAAATTTTTTTGCTTCTTCAGGCATGCTAGCAGTGTTCTTTGCGGAAAAGTCATTTTGGAAGTTAATTTAAATTTTATTGAATCACCGACCTTAAGCGCGGGTCCCGTCGGGATGTCCATGTGATTTTTGATCGTCTCAAAATTCAACAAAGCCAAGGCACGACCGTCGATCATCTAAAAAAATTTAAATAGCAGATTTTAGGCCGATTCTGCTACAGTAATCCCAAGCCACAGTACGCTTCACAACTCTTACATGCTCCTTAAACGTCTCGACAATATTTGCGTCAAATTTCCCCCTCATTTCTTCTTGCAATTTGTCGACGGACCATTCGACGAATGGCTGGGAGGTCTGGTTTGGGGTGGGAGATTCGGTTGTATCTAAAAATATAGGAATTTCCAGAATTAAAGTAACACAGCTACCGTAATCCGGAAAAATTAGTACCTGCAAAAATCGTGTCTTCGACCTTGACCTTCAGATTCTCATTGGCGTTATTTTTGCTCTGGCATTGGGTGCAGGGAAGTGGAGAATCTGAGTACAGATTCGGACAGCAACCGAGCTAAAAATATTTAAATAATTTGGTTTACTACTTCTTTAAAGCTCATCCTCTTTTTTCAGAGCCCAAAACCTTGGCTCGATTTTCGTACCTTGGCCGTCAACTTCCGCAAGTAGTTCCAGGCGACGCTGACGTTCTTGACGATGGGGATGAAGCGAACGTGGGTGAAGCCTTGGACTTGGGCAGAGACAGAGAGGATTGTGACAGCTCCCGCCTCAACTCGACGGTAGACAAGGGCTTGCTCGATGCCGCAGTTGATCAACTGTTGCGTTGCCTGAAAAAGCGATATTTTTGACATTTTTGGGATTACGGTATGCTGCAAAAAATTCTCAATCTAAGGGATACTGTAGGCTGTTTTATCAATTTTAATCTGCTCATTTTTGGGTTAACTTTTCTCTGAAAAGGTTGTGGAGTCTCAAAATTCCATTGTTTTAATTTTTGACAGCTTGACAAACCATTTCAAAGCATAGGATTACGCTATTTTTTCAATTAACTTTTTATTAGGTGGTTCAGCATTAAAACTGTCTTAAAGCTATTGAAATTTAGCTTTAAATAATTTTTTAAAGTGGAAAGGAGCTAAAAAGAGTAAAAAAGGAAAATACCGTACTCCAAAAAATTTGTATGCATTTTAAAAGGCGTGAATAATTAACTAGGAAGCTAAATAAGCAATTACCGTACCTGTAAAGGCCAAAAATTCCTTTTAAAACACGATAAATACTAAAAGTAGCTTTAAATTTTAATCTATCTAACTATCTAATTTTTTATAAATTTATGAATTATCACCATTCTTAAATTGTTAAATTTACGTTTAAATAAGTTTTAAACATAAATATTCGCTTACCTCCCTAACAACATGATGAATCGATAAGGGTCCAATAGCTTTCGGCAGCTCTGCCAGCCTCTTCGGATCCAAATATTGCCCCGGATGACAATTCCGATTGATATGGACGACCACTAGAATCCACATTAAAGGGCCCATGAAGTGGTGGACTCACTGCTTCGCTGGATGACCGGAACAGAGTCGCCACAACTCAGCAGCACATCAGCTGCCTGAATTCCCTAGGAGATGAACAAATCCTTCAAAAAAGGGGGCCCGGGAGAGGAGGAGGAGAAGCAACGGATAGCACACAGAGTATCGATAGTACACAACACTACAAAGTACGGTAGAAATTCGAAAAAGAAGAAATAACTGTAAATTGATTGTTCCACCGTGATACTCTGGACGACCAGAAAATTTTGCCTAACTTAAGATCGTAAAAAATCAGAAAACTGTGCAATCTTTTTTAAAGGGATGTAGACGGAGGAATTTTCTACGAAAATTAGGAAAAGTACGTTCTGAAATGTAAAGATTTCGGGAAAGTCGGAAAAGAGAAAGAGAAAAAGAGAGAGATAGGGCGAGAGACAGCGAAAGCGAGAAGAGAGGCAAGACCAGACCAAGACGACGAATTTCTCCAAAAACCCACTTTTCCATCCGGAGCCTTTGGTATTGTGCTGTGACGGGGGTTCAAAAGTCCCAGAGCCGGTGAAACCGACTTTTGGCGGGGAGGCTTCACGTCCTGTTCGACGTCCTTAATTAACAGAATTTTATTCAGGTTACGGTAACTTATAAACAAAAAGAAAAGCGATAAAAGCGAACCTCGGTGGGGGTTTCGGTTTTGCGGCTCTCGACGCTTGGGCGGGCTGGTGGAACTCGAGGGGCTACTGTAAAACATTATTGAATTAATTTCTCGTATTTATATGCATTTCCAAGGTGATAGTGAAGTCAGAAAATCCATAGCATCATCGATAAATATGGCTAAAAAGCGATTTTTATGGATTTTTAAGATTTTTGATATGACTATAAGAAAAATCCAAATTTCCGAACCCTGGCAGTGTCAAAAAATAAAAATAGCATTTTTTCAAATTTTTAACTACTGTACCCGGCCTCATACTTGCTACTTTTAATCCTAACGAGAGAATAAAGTTAAAGACGTAAAAATCGAGAAAAACGTTCGAAAAATCGTTATTTTGGATTTTGACTTAGAGGTGCCTTAAACGAGCTTTTCTACCTGAATATTCTGTACTTTTAAACGCGGATTTACAAATGATAAAATTTTCAGGAAGGTTTGTATTATTTTTAAATAAATTTTAAACGAATAAAATTAAATTTCCAAAGGGATGTAAGCCTGAAATCATAGAGAAAGCAAGAAAATTTCGAAAAAAAAAACCAGGGTTTTCGAAACAAAATTTAGCTGCTACTACAAGCACTTACCACACTTAATCTTTGCCGGAACTCCGGGTCTATTGGTGGGATTTGCCCCAACATCCGACAATCGTTGCATCGAAGGTGCAGCCGGTCTCTTCTGTGTGGTTGGCTGTGGGCTGGGTTTTTGCGTTGGAATCGAAGTTGGGGATACACTCTGCGTCTTCTTCTGACTCTTTGCCTGTGTCCGCCGAGCTTCCGCTAAACCGGAAATTACTAATCATCCTCCGTATTCTACCGTACCCCTCAATGTATGCATACTCATTGCAGCCACTTCAAGTCCCGCCCTCGCACTCCATCCGACCGGGAATAGATTACGCGATTGAAAGTGTTGCTCGATGTCGTAGCTGCTTGCCCAGCCGTCGAAATGGATTTGGAGTTGGCCCTAAATTTTTGTTAATTAAAAGGCGGTTTGCGAGCCACCCGAACAAGGCTTGGCACAGTTTTTTTGGACCCTGTTTTTTTGACGCCATCTGAAAGAGCATGGTCGAATTAGTGGGGTGGCACTATTTAGAGAATTTTAACAGTTTAATTTCGGGGTTAAATCGGCCGTTAAAGTTGCCGATGTCAAAAAATTATCTCGAAAGTGGCTTGAGGGAATTTGCTAAAAATTGGTGTGCATGCCTAATTTTAGACGCTGATCATTTCTCTAATACATCGCGAAACGCGAAAATGACCGGAAGATAGTTAAATCATGTACTCGAGATGGTTTTCCCGGAATCCATAAAAAACGGCCTTTTCTGCGCTCCATGAAAATAGCCTAGAAAGATGCGCCATATTTTTTTACGTCGATACATGTGTCGTTTACCCGAAAACCAGCTCCCCTCCTCTTGCTACAACGCGTTTTATACGCCAAAAACGCGCCAAAAATGGCCCCCAAAAATACAAAATCTCCGATTTGGAGAAATAAAGACAACAGATCGCATCTAGAAGACGAGCTGAAGCGATTGCAAAAAAGAGCAAAAAGAAATTCGGCTTCTGAGAGGGGGCTGGGATTGAACCCGCGCCGCCTCTGGATTGGCACGCCGACGCTCTACTCATTGCGCCACGGGGCTCCCAGGCGGAGGGTCCGGGTTCGATTCCGCGACATTGAAATAAGGCTAATTTCTTTTTGCTCTTTTTTGCAATCGCTTCAGCTCGTCTTCTAGATGCGATCTGTTGTCTTTATTTCTCCAAATCGGAGATTTTGTATTTTTGGGGGCCATTTTTGGCGCGTTTTTGGCGTATAAAACGCGTTGTAGCAAGAGGAGGGGGAGCTGGTTTTCGGGTAAACGACACATGTATCGACGTAAAAAAATATGGCGCATCTTTCTAGGCTATTTTCATGGAGCGCAGAAAAGGCCGTTTTTTATGGATTCCGGGAAAACCATCTCGAGTACATGATTTAACTATCTTCCGGTCATTTTCGCGTTTCGCGATGTATTAGAGAAATGATCAGCGTCTAAAATTAGGCATGCACACCAATTTTTAGCAAATTCCCTCAAGCCACTTTCGAGATAATTTTTTGACATCGGCAACTTTAACGGCCGATTTAACCCCGAAATTAAACTGTTAAAATTCTCTAAATAGTGCCACCCCACTAATTCGACCATGCTCTTTCAGATGGCGTCAAAAAAACAGGGTCCAAAAAAACTGTGCCAAGCCATATTAGGGGCTGTTCGAGTGACTCGCGGATGGCCTTTTAAAGTTTTGGTTCTTGTGCATTATCGGGGGGACTTTATCAGGGCGATAACCTTTTTCCTTGGTATCAGATTTTTAATCTAAAAGAGGGGATGTTTATAGACTTTTAAGAATTTATATTTTTTACTCACATTCTGGCTGACTTTCACGATTGTCGCGACATATGGCTGACCGCAGAAATTCTTTGTGTCCATCACCTCGAGCTTCTGCCCCTCCTCGAAAAGACATTTCGGCGGTCGGAATTTTTTGTCGATCTAAAATGTGGACTTTAACTGGCTTCAAAAAATAAAGAAATTCGATGGCAACCTAGCAGGCATTCTTTCGGATTCGATACTCCAGCAATTTGGGGCCAGAATTTGGCATGGGAGCAAGCTGGCAGAGATTCTTTAGGAAAACACTTGCTAAACTCTAGATTTTGGTAGGCAGCAGGGATTCTTTGGGAATCAGGTCGTCAAATTCTGGGTTTATTTAGGGCAAACTAGCAGAGATTCTTTAGGAAACATGTTTTTTGCAGAATTTTCGTATTTTAACTGCTCGGAAATACGGATTATTTGGTATACCTTTTATTCACTTACCGGTCTAAACCATTCGGGCCTGGCCAAATGATGTGTAGTTAACATCTTGTCCTTCCACGAGTGAAACGTCCGCAAACTGATCCGGAATCCGACCGGCGGATTGAGAAGTGTCTCCTCGCCAATCGGGGCTATTTCCGTATCGTCGCACATCACCCAGTGATCATCTGAGTTGTCTGTTCCCTAAAAAACAGAAAAAGTATCGTTTTAAAGGCCCGTTGAAGTCAGAAAAATCCCAAAAATTCCCGAGACTCTTACCTCCAATCGAATAAAGATCCAGCGTCCGCTGACCGCTTGGACACTCCCGAGGCACGGCATGTTTCCTCCTAAAAGTTGGCGTTTTTGGATTACGGTAACCGGGCCAACCTTTAGCATCTGGTACGGTAAGCAGGGCGCCCACTTCGAAATCGTTTCGAGGGGGCTCCTCGGACTGGTAGAAGGCGCGGCTCGGGGCGGCCGTCGCGTTAAATTCTAAAAATAAGGATATTTTTACCTTTTAGACAAAAAAAAAAAATCATATTTTCTATAATTCATAAATGTTCTAGACCGATTTTATCTAATGTTTCTCACGATTTAACCGTTATTTTTTTCCAAAAACAACCTTTGAGATACGAGTCCCAGCTGAACGTCTCCGGCTCGGTCTTCACCTCGACGGTGCTCTTTTTATTTTCATTTCCGCCGTTCTCTTCGGCTACAGTGTCCTAGAATTCAATTAATAATTTTTTTAGTCCGCTTTTCGAAGCAAAATTTATCGATATTCGTAAAAACCCACCGGTTGGACATCGGCCATTCTCTGCGTAGAAATTCTGTCGTGAAAAGTGGTTGGGTCTCTGAAATTCGCTTCATAGTTTAAAAAAGGCTAAAAATAGTCAAACAAATAAATTAGAAAATACTATCTAAATGCGAAAAATGCAAAATTTAAGCGCTTTTCATCGCAATTTCATCGGTTCGACTAGCGAATTTTGCGCTAATCTTTGGGATAAATGCGTTGAATTGCATGCCGGCCATTGATTTCAACGCATAATCGATTCAAAGAAGGGATTTTTAGCTGATTTTTAGGATAAAATATTTGAGTTTCCAAGCCATCCATCTATTTCATGGCGTAATCGGTTCGAACCGTTCGATTTTTAAGGTAATTATCAATAAAAGTTGCTAAATTCCAGTGCAAATAAGGATTCCATCGCTTAATTGATTTGATTAGCTATTTTTGTGTTAAAGTTCTGGTAATTAACGAAAAGCGCTTAAAATTCCCACAGCCGACAAGGATTCCATCGCTTAATCGATTAAGGATCCCCCGCCAAAAGCTGATCACATGGTAAAACAGGACCCTATTTTGAAAGCCATCCCCAGCCGGTGCCCTATTTCAGGGTAGGGTCAAATCTGGGCGGAGGTGGGGTTGAATTTGGGCGCGATCCGCTCTTTGCACACTTTGCTTGAGTGCTGAAAGCAACAAACAACTCGACCCTTCAGGGGGTAGTCGCCAAAAAAGAGGCAATGGATTGGAAGGAGGAACGGGTCGACAATATGGACAGGTGAAGGGGAGAACTAGAAGAAGCCCTTTTTGTCCGACCGCGGCGAGGGTGTGAAAACTTGAATCGACCGCATAAAAGTTCGCTACAACGCTGCTTGCAACGGTTTAGCGTCAAAAAGGGTCAAAAGCTCAAATCGCACGTGGGAAGACGAGAAAAATGGTATACCAGCCAGAATCCTACTTCACAAACTTCCGAAATACCTTACGCCCAACCTAAAAAGTAAGAAACTACCCGGAAATAGCTTGAAAAAGTGTCAAAAAGCTTTAATTTCAGGTGCAAAACCTAGAAATCGGCTAGAATCGTACTTCAAAAACTTCAAGAAAAGCTTAAACCTTTCAACTCTTACTTAGAAACTAAGTTACTACTAAGATAAACATATCTCGACTTTTCTATGCCCTGATCAGCCTAACAAACTCTCACCACAAAAACCCCCGACTTTCGAAAGTTTCTATTGCGTAAGAGTTTGAATCATCATCGACTACGAGATTTCTAGCTGGTTTCAAAACTTCTACCTGGATATATCACTTTAAAAAGTCGTATTAACAACGTTTATAACTTGAGAAACCACAAAAAGTCCTGGAACAAAAGATATACCTATCGTAATCGACTACCTAGAAGCGTCAAAAACTTCACTTCTAACCTTTTTCAAGTCTAGCCATGAATTCCCTAGCTTTCGATACCTCCTAGAAGCATTTATCTATCATATCAAAGTATATAAACCTCTTGTTTGCAAAATAAAGATAACGTAACGTAATTGTTGACCCGAATGAATCAAGATTTCCAAGCTTTTTCATAACTTCTAAAGCTAATATAACCTTTATCTACCTATATATAACTTCCCTACAACGCCTCAAATCAAACACGAACTTTCAAAGTCGTATTTACAAAGAAAAAGCGGTGATTTGGGGGTGTTCGGGGGCCCTTCCGAGGAACTCCCGGGGCAGACACGCGGCGCTGGGGGGTGCGTCGCGTCGCCCGGGCCCCCTTCTCCCACCCGGCCGTTGCCCCGCATCGATTTGATGGCTGTCTGCCTACCGTACCCTTTGCGCGCGCGGGGGCGCTGGGAGCGCTTTTGGCGGCGCTGGGGCGCTGGGCGCCCGGGGGCAAATTTTAGAAAAGGCGGGCTTGAAAGCGGGGAGAGCGGCGCGGTGGGGTGGGAAAAGCAAAGAACTGGTGGTGGGCCCGGATCGATAGAGAGAGGGATCCCTCCGGTTGGTCGGGACGCCCGAAAAAACAGCACACACACAGCAGAGGAGGGCCTCGCCTCGAAAGGGCACCAAAGTCTGGCAGGGAGAGTGAGATCAACATTTTGAAAGTGGATTTAGAATAGGTTGGGTTCTGGGTTCGGGCTTAGCAGAGATCTTTCGGGAATGAGGTGCTTTTCGGTTTGGAAAAGTCGGGTCCAATCGTGAAATTATCGATTGAAATGGCGAAGGTGATCGAATTTGTGATTTTGCTTGAGCGGAGAACATTGAGGAATTCATGGATTATGGATTTAACGGCTTGAAGACCCGGAAGAGAGCGAACTGGCTTCCAGGGTTTGGCGGAGATCATTGGGGACGCAGGCGCTTTCCATTTTCGAAAAGGAGAAGCCTAACCCTGCTGTCATCGATTGACCAGGACGAAGAGGCGGAATAGTTCGAATACAGATCCTCGGTTTAGCCGAGATCATTAAGGAATTCGAGAGCTCTGGTTTTTAGCTTGGCTAGATCGTTTGGAAGTTCGCTACACACAGGTTGTAAATACGAAGAAGCCCGCCTTGACGCCATCGTCATCGACTCGAAGAGACACATCAAATCGATTTTTCCTGCTAATTTTGCTTTAGAAAAGTTATTGGGGAACGGGGTACCAGAAACCAAAAAAGATATCTGGATGGGCACAGATCATTGGGGAAAACCGGGCGGTCATCGAGTAGCACCAAGAAGACACCGTTCGCACATCGATTTCGGACTATTGCCATAGCAGAGACTTTTGAGGAATTCGGTGTAAAAAGCTCTGAAGAAAAAGAAAGCAAAGGAACGGAAAGAAAATTGATTGATTGATTGATTTGGGAATTTTGCTTTAGCAGATTCAGTACGGAATTCCGATGAAGAAACCTTCAAAAAGCTAACCCTAATCTCATGCCCTGATCAGTCAGAAGACCTCTTGCTCTGATATTCGATGATGACCCATTCAAAGCTGACGGGCTCATGATGAAATTCCATCCATTTTGGGGCACCCTAATGCCCCCTGGCAGGGCCAATTATAAGGATTACGGGCCCGTGTAATCGGCTGAAAATCGAGTAGGCGACGGCGACGGTTCGGAGCTAATTGGCGAAGCCCATTTCGTGATTAGCCGATTGATCAAAAAAACTTTAAAGCCAACAGAAAAGCGGCCAATCGATCGAGACATCGATTTATGAAGCCTCAAATCGCCGCGTATCGATTTTCTATGAATTTTAGGCGCTAGCTATCTTGATTCAGAACCTTCAATCGACCCTGCCGCGTTTGGCAGCCTGCCAAGCTTCTCAGAGTCTCATAAAGCTTTTAACTTTTAAATAGCGACGGCTACAAAGTTCCGCATCAACATCGACTCCTCCGGCCAACAAAACAAACGAATAACAATTTTACACGTGGTCCCACCCAAAAATAGCAGACCACGGGAAACGGTTTGTCATGCCGGGGCGTACTTTAATTGTTAAATTTCTCTCCATTATGAAATTCTATGAACGTCTAGCACTCGTCATTTGTATTCAGATTCACGGCGTTGCACCCGCCAATTTTGGGTGTTTTCCATGCTGTTTAGGAAACTTTATTTAACTTTTAACTCTCAGTCTTTCAATATAATCCGTTTTCAGGGTCTAACATTATGACCTTCTTCACCAGCTTCTCTAGTCCACAAAACATAAACCCAGAAAAAACAATTTCACACACTCGTCCCCACCAAAAACGCACTTCCTCCTCCTCCTCCTCCTCCTTCTCCTTCTCGTCAGCCAAGCCGTGCTGTGTGTCTGCTGCTTTGGCCAATCGATAGGGCAATTTGGGTGGGGAAGAGCCCGGTGCAAAATTCTCCGTTTTTCGCAACGATTTATAGCCGGCCATAGGGCGGTGCATGGCAAAAGAAAGGAGGATAATGCATAATGGCACATGGTTGGGTGATTTTATGAAACATGGCGGTGAGCTGGAATTAAGAAAATGAGCAGGGGGCGTGTATCGAGTTATCGATTGATTGGGCTTTGTATAGACGGGAGACGAACAGGGAATTTCTTCTTCCAGAAATTCGAATCGTTTTTCGACCCGGGAGCTTGAAAATTAAAATATTGCCTTTCGAACCCTTCTGCCGCCATCACTGGATCGATTTCAGTGACTTCAGCGTCTTCGAAATTGGCAAAATTGATTCGAATTCGAATTTTAATCCTAGGTCCCTCTCGCGATGCAAGTTTCTTTACCAAAACGCCTTACGGTTCACTACCTCTTTGCAAAAATGTAACGGCAATTCGTGTAGAATCGATCAGATCGGAAAGACCGGATGGCATTTCCGAACCGAAACTACCGGGCGAATAGTGTGATGATGTCCCTTTAATACTGATGTTTTGGTGACGACCTAATCGTCGTATAAGATCTAGGGCATGGTGAAGATGGCAGCCGATGCTTGTCAAGCTTCATAGAAATTTATTTATTGTTAGACTGAACCTTCTCTCCCCAACCGAAAGTTCCCAAAATTTTTCGAGCTTTCCGCGATTTTGTCGGGATTTTAGCTACGCCATTCGATAAAGCATCAAAAATATACTTAGAGTTTTAATTGCCGGCAACAGTTGTCGATCCGTTGAAGTAAAAACGAAGAGAAAGAGCTTCTACGAGCTTCATTTTTCTGGCCCGAACAGAGATCTCGTAATTTCTTGTATTATTTGTCGCACCACTATTATTAGTGTACCAGCGCCCAAAACCCGCTTCGCGGGCCTTGGGCGCTGGAATGCGGCCTTTGCATGAAAAGTTTGACTTTCTGATAGCTCGGGTCCTTCGGACCCCCCTTCCCTGTCCCGACCAAACCCGCGAGTGCAACTTGCAAGGATGAGGAAATTTGTATTTTTTCACATTATGCAAATTAGCCTGCCTGGACCCCCAAAAATCAATAAAACCGGCTTTAACTTTTTAAACTTGTATTTTATCGAAATTCTGAGAACGCCATCGGAAACAGAAGGGTCGATTCCCCCCGGGTGACGGAGAATTGAGGCGTTTTGGACACGGGAAGGCCCTCAAATCGGGCCTCGAAAGTGAC